GATTTAAAACGGTTAGTACTTGGTGATACCTAAGGAAACTTAAGGGCCTGTCTCGCTTCCTAGTCCCTCTAAAAGAGCTCACGGGGCTGAGATTTGGCAGAAAATAAAATAAAAACAATTTTTGCGTCGTCTAGAATCCCAAATTGCGTAAGTTTTCTTCACATATATTTTTCTTGGTTTTACAACGGCGCTGATATCAGAAAAAGGAAAAATTCGTTTCTGAAGAAGGAAGAGAAAGCAGAAAAAAAGATCAGCACCATAGTCAAAAATAAGGTCCAAAATTGTTTCAATTCTTCTGGGATTCCGACCCCACGTGAACTTGCCCCGTGCTGGTCGGCTGTTCAAACGGCCCGGAAACTGCGTAAAATCAGTGAAATCTATGAAAATTGTATCACCTAAACATTTTAGAAAATAGTCTATATGTCGCTAAAATATTTCGCTTCAAGAAAGCTGAAGAAAACGGGGCCCTTTTCCAGGCCCAATATATAATTTCCCTCGGGAAATAAATCCCCCCACTGGATGTTTCGAGCCCCGCCCATTTTCTATTTTGTGCGTTCTGTGCTTGTCGTGGCCCTCTGGGGCCCTTTTGGCCCTCTCAGCCCGCTTTAGCAGTGTTTCTTTGGTTTCTATGGGTCCCACGCCGACGTGTGTGTAGCCGATGACAAAACCAAAATCCGCGCACAGACCACAGAAGCCCCGCGCGACTCATATGGGGGCTAGAAACTACAACCTGTAATTGCCGGGGATGTTGTGCTTTTTTTATTGAAAATTAGTATCGTATTTTAGCGATTTAATGAAGGCTGTTAGAACAAAAAAAAATTGGGAAAAATTGGGATTTATGCACGAGGGATGAGGAAATTATGGAAAAATCCGGTAAATCAATCAATCATCAATCAACAAAAATCGTGAAATCAAACAATCAAAAATCATTATTTATATAATACAAATTCTATATAATGCTACTAAAAGACTTTAATGAAGCTGTGAGATCGCTAAAATAACGTGGTTTCTGGACTGTTAGCAGCGGGAGAGTCAGCTGGAGACTCATTCTGATTTTTCCCCATACCTACTTGTTAATAATGCATAAAGTGAGCCCATGGTGTTTTAATAGTTTTTGATTGCTAAAAAGTTTAAAAAGTTTTTGAAAAATCGAAATTTTTATGATTTTGTAATTTTTCGTGTGTTTTTTGCATCTGAAAACCGTGTAAACGGCAATTAAAACGCTCTAGATTTCGCTATATCGCCGTTCAGGGATACCAAACAATATTTCATCGCCCCGCTAACGGTCCAGTACCGGGAGATTTACAAAGTTAACCAAATGCGAACGATTAAGATTTCAGCGGGAAAATTTTTAAAAAATCAAGGTTGTCGAAAAAATATGGTGAATAAACGTTGCAGCTAGGAAATATGAATCATAATTTTACAGTAATTACAGTCATAGCATCCTGCCGAAGCAGCAAATTTAGACCTCGAACGTTTCCCACTGCTTCGATCCACCATGTGCTGTGTCGACCGAGCCCTTTGTCAGGGAGACGCCAGTTTTTACAGGGCGACACCTGGACGACGGCATTTAAGACAAGAGAGAGAGAGAGAGAGAGAGAGAGAGAGAGAGAGAAAGAGAGAGAAAGAAAGAAAGAAGGAGAGCTACAAAAAATTACCAAGGCAAGCCGCCAAACACGCAGCTTCGGATGTTCTGGTTAATCGTTAGGTATATGATGGAGGACACGCCTAAAACAGCGTACTGTGAAGGGCCTGTCCGGTTCCCTTAAGCTGCAAAATCCCACTGCCACAACGAATTTTTCAACCCAAATACTGACCTGTGCAGGTCTGCCAGCAAAAATGCCCCAAAATACACCAAAATCGAGTGCCAGCCGATGCGTATTGCATACCGATGTAGAGGAAACAAGCGATGAGCATCGGGATCGTGATTAGGAAGGATTGGAGGAGGAGCTGAAGAATATACCAGAAGGCTAATAAATCTCTCTCTCTCTCTCTATCTCTCGCTCACTCTCTTTTGCTCGCTCGCTCGCTCGTATGCGAAAATTAGCACTTACACTTTTCTCCGGTGCACTCAAGGTCCTGGTCTTGCTCACGGTATAAATGCAAATGAATAGGTAAGAAAAGAATAGAAAAAGAGCCGCACTAGCGTTGTTGAGAGGGTGGGCGTGGTTGAAGTAAAGTGTATATTCCTGAAAATCTAACTAGTACAATTTAATGATTTAATTGCGAATTACACGGTTGTGTTAACTTGCGGAAACCAAAATTTTAAGTGATAAAGCGTGCTCTTTATCCCAAAAAATGCGTTTGAAAATCCAGCGCGCTAAAAGTAAAAAATTTAATAACAAAACACCTAAATAAAAGCTCAAAAAGCGAACCCCTCAGCTCTCATAATCATCCATCATTTAACCCGAGCGTTTTCGGCTCCGAGGAGCCTTCGGCCCGGGCCGAGTTTCATCAAAGCTTGTCGTCACCGGGGTTCGAACCCGCGACCCCTGGCCTGGTAATCCTGTCCCCAGACCACTTGGCCACGGGGGAGAGCGGAGAGGGGGCATGGGGGAGGGTCAAAGACCTTGGCCACGCCCCCGGAGGGTCCGAAAGCCTTGGGATACCTAATAATTTTACCAGTTTTAAAGGGCCGTTGAAGGCAGGAAGGTAATTTTACAAACGGCTAGGAAGTGAAAATCAGCATTTTCGGCGATTTAACTTAATGGTTAACAAATTTGGTTTAATTAAAAAAGTGTCGGCATTATAGTATTTAGGCATTGTTAATTGCGCCTAGTTGTCATGGAAACGGCAAATTAAGGTAATTGTTGAAAGGATATTACAGTCGCGACGTCATCAGTAATAAATGGAATCCAGGTGCCGAGGAAGACATTAGAGTTGAACCCCATTGGCTTGTGCAGAATTCCGACCCAGGCGGCATACAGGAGTGGCCATGGCATCCACAGGATACCGTAGTAGCTCTGAAAAGAGAGAGAGAGGGAGAGAGAGAGAGAGAGTGAGTGAGAGAGAGAGTGAGAGAGAGCGCGAGAGAGTGAGACAGAGACTCACGTTAAAAATCGACGCCATCCACCTCCATTCACAAACCACAGATAACCGATTAACAGCCAAAGTTGAGTAGAGGCCGCAAGCTAACGCCCAAATGACTAAAAAATGTCTTTAAAGGGGTTGAGAAGACCGAAAATCGACCCCTTCCATCGACTAGGTCTTGACAACCTTCAAAATCCAAATTTTCTAGCGCGGGTGTTTCGTGGCTGTCGTGACCCGCCCGATCCAGGGGTTGATTGTCGATTACCATTACATTTCATATGCAAAAAAACTCCTACAAATATTGTACGCTCCCTCGATATACATAAAAACGGGACTCCAGCAAAAGACGCCTCCAATCGCAAAAATATAGCCGGCGAATAGAGAGTTGGCGGTCAGGTTCATGATATCGGCAAAAATTAGGCAGAACATGATCTAAAAATACCGATTTTCAGGGTGCTACTGGCTGGAATCCTTTCCAAAATGCCGACAATTAAAATCCCGACACTCTAAATGCCGACAGCCTAAAATGCCGACAGCCGAAACGGCCGCACCCATAATCTAGGCTCGGCAGATGATGGCTTTCGCGATTTTGGCTATCAGGATTCCCCCTTACACAATTTACAGCCATTTTGCTGTTAATCGCAGAATTCAGGAAGTTCCCTAATGATCCCTGCTAGCCTCGAATCGACCTTTTCAGGGCTTCCCCAAATTTTCTCTGCTAGCTCGCCCAACGTCACCAACCCGATAGCACGGATTCTTCAGCAGCTTCAGCTTTATCATCGAGTAGATGGAAGGCAGGTAGAGGAGCTTAAAATGTGTTATCTTAAATGTTATTCCGAAACCATACTATGTAAAACGCGCCCATCATGATGAAAAAATTGCCCAAAATTGGCCACTTCTCGCCGCGGGCCAGCCATTCGGCACTCGTTCGCCCCGAGCAATTATACATCGAATCAGGGTACCCAAAAATCGCTCTTATGGTCTAAAAGATTTAGTTATCTTACTGAATACCGTAACCCACCTCCATTTTGGTCCGAAAATTCTGTGAAAACAAGATTATTATTTGATGTTTTTATATACCGGGACAGAAGATGCGTGTTTATTTGAGCCGAGTTTGGCTCCTCGCTGCGTCTCTCTTTCTCCCTCTCTTTCTCCCCTCTCTCTCTCTCTCTCTCTCTCTCTCTCTCTTTCTCGCTCTCTCTCTCTCTCACTCTCTCTCTTTCTCTCTCTCTCTATCTCTATCTTTCTACCTACCGTAACCCGAACTCGAGCGTCATTCCGTAATATTTATGCCTCCTTTCTAAATATCCACTGAGGCTGAATTTTGAGACCACCAAAAACAATTATTTCCATCCATTTTTACTCATAGTGGTCATCAGTGTTTTTTGATGCATGGTTGAATATCTAATAGTAAGGCTGAGAGTAACATATGCTTCCCAAATTTTTTGCCGTAAACCCTATGGCAAGTTATCTTGAAAAAAAAAGAATTTTTCAGGTGTTTTCTGCCTTCCGAAAGCTTTTAAATGGCCTAATGCAAAAATTGCAAAAACAAGGTCAAGTTGGTGTTGACGGGAAGGGTTCCAGATAACCCGCCAACTCCGGACCATTGCTTGGAGGGGTGTAGAGGGGCTCGGGGCTATATACCCGCTGAAAATGGGTGGGCCATCTGGGGGAAATTTCGGGAGGCCGGCAGAGAAAACGGAGAAGCCGGTGCTCTCTCGCCCGGCTCTGACAATCGGCGGCCATTTCGTGGCCAAACAATTGCGGGGCTCGGGTGGAAAGAGGGTCTTTTCGCATTATCGGGGGTGAAACGGGTTTATTTTCATTTTGTCGCAAATCATATTGTCGAAACCCGATTTTGTCGAAAATTTGAATGTCTGGCAAATTTTTCAGTATTTTCACAGCTAAATAGGCGCAAAAAGCGCAGCTTTTTTTTGTGTTACGGTCTATTTTTTATGCTAAGAAGTTTATTCCACCTTCTGCTTCCTAAAAATAGCACCAAAAATGCATCGCAAGATTTTCCAAGTGATGAAAATTGTCAAAATTAGAGCGAAAACTAGAATTCCGATGACGTCGAGAAGGTAATATTGGCTGAAGGAGAGTTGCCGGCCGTATGGGTCGAGTTGCGGGAGGGGACCTGCAAGATTTTGGTGAGAGAGAGAGAGCGCGAGAGAGAGCGAGCGAGAGCGAGAGAGAGCGAGAGCGAGAGAGAGAGAAAGAGAGAGAGAGAGAGAGCGGGCCCTAGTTCTAACCGTATTTCGCTGCAAACTCCACATGCCGAACGAATGTCTCCGATGCCGTAAATGGCTTCTCGGCTATCATTTCGGCAAGCTGCTCGGCGTTTTTCGACAAGCTTAAGGGTATTTCATCGAGGTTTTTGGCATCAAACAAACTCATCGTTGTCTAGCAGCTCCTTAAAAGCTTTCACCAGCTTTTTGTCGTCCTTCAGGTCGTTTTTATCGAAAATTTGAGCGGCCCCGACCCGCGCTAATTGCTGGCAGTTGGCGAATTGGTCAGCAAAGATTGGTATGCAGAGCACCTGAAAATTTGACATTATTAATTGTTAAAAAAGCCCCTTGATCTCACAAATTCTAGGCAACGCTGGCCAAAGAATACCAAAATATTGCTTTCAAAATTATTCGGATTTGACGATTGAAAATTAAATTACCTTCCTTCCGCTAGCTGCAACTTCTTGCTGGCTACCAGCTCCTGCGTGAGAAACGAAAGCCGAGAGGCGTTTATCAGCTGAAACGGTTCATACTGTAATTTGATTTAAAGGGGCCAGGAAGTGCCAGAGAACCGACCCCAATCAGACTAGGTCTCGACAGCTACACGACATTGCAAAGGACAATAGAATTTAACTGGCTCTTTTAGCCTGACGGCACTGTACTACTGGGTGTCCCAAAAAAAAGCACCCCCCTCTAGCGGTCCGGGGGAAGCTCAAATCGGGATAATTTTTATACCATTCGAAAGCTCTCGGAAAGGCGAGAAAACAAGCAGGATTTATTTTATGAGATTTATTTTTATACGCTGGATATTCAACGTTTTTCTAAAAAACAGGTAGATTTTCAATAGGAATTTCGCGATTAGCATGCAGATCTCGCGTAAATCTGCCGTTTTCATGGTTTTTGGACGTAAAATTTGCTAATAAAAATAGATAATAAAGAAAATGAACCCTCCTTGTTTTCTCGCCTTTTCATGAGCTTTCGATAGATACCTAAACGATGAAAATCTGATACGACTGCGCGCCGCTAGAGGGGGTCCTTTTTTTGGGACACCCTGTATACCAATGTAGTTAAAACCATGTCTCCGTGTCATAAAAACATATAAAATTCACCTAACAACGCCAATTGCGGGGCCCACGCAACCGGATAGACATTTTGTGGCAATTCTTTGACTAGAGGGTCGCTGAGATTTTCATATTTCCAGATGAAGGTGACGTCGGGCAGCCTGAATTTATAGTGATTTTACACATTAAAAATAATCGGTTTCCATGCCTTTTCATAGCGACCACCAGCCCGTTCCTTGACGCCATCGGCATATCTGCCGATTTGGCCATCGAACCAAATGAAATAAAAACAGAGTGCTTTCGCTCGCCGAGGATACGGTCAAATTCCTAAATCGAATTTAGAAATTAGTATTAAAAATACCAAAAATATACCGATCCAAGAAGCATAGGATTTTTCGACCAAAATGTCACTTTCTAAGGTTTTGAGGTGTTTTTCTCTCGAAATATGGCTAAATTGTATGAAAAAACGCAATTTTATATTATTAGTGTTAGTAATTTCTGGGCATCCATCACCTCGCTCAACGGTTCCACAGATTTCGGCACCGCGATCCCGCCGATGTAGACGATCTTGGCGTGCAAAGGCTTGGGGAAGTCCAACAGGGGTTCGGAGTTGAGCAACAGATACGAGGAGCGCAACATTAGCTCCTAAAGGATTGCGCAACAATCAAATTTATCGCTCAAATCTTTCAATTTATCGCTTTGATTTATATTCTACTTATTTTTATTCTAGTTATTTCCAAATACTTTTAAACGACAGTTTTGAACCCAAAAACCCCGACACGGACAAACCTTCGACCCCGGGTACGCGGGCTCTTGGGCGTACATGAACTCGTCGAATCCCTCGTAGCTGTCGAAAACTGGCCTGGAATCATTGGAAATTTAAAGGATATACCGTATTAAATAATAAAATCTAAATTCCAGATCAAAACTGAGCTTACCGCTCCAACAGCGTGTAATACCAATTGAGAGCGCGCTCGCGAAATCCCATTTTTTCGATCCCACGAGAAAGCATAGCTGAATTTTACTCTGATTAATACCTTATTTTGCTGATTTTATCAACTTAATTCAAGCTATAAAATACGTTCGTAAGAATACAACAGTAAATTCAAAATAAAAAACTTACTTGGCACCCAGGAGACCGCCGAGTGCGCCCCAAATATCACCGGATACGTCGCACCTGGATTCGCCGAAAACACCGTCACAAACTTCTCAAGCCCAAGCTTGTAAAACAGAGCTAACAAAATTTTCTAGAACGTGCCCAAATCTACCGTAACCCGAGGCCTCCATCGGCTGCGAAACCGCCAAATCGAAGTGGTAGCCGCGGATTTTTGAGAGGAAATCGGGGTCGGCGTAGAAACCTAAGGGTTTTTCGTTTACAAAAATCGCTAAAATTTTCTACATACCTTTTAAGTGCTCCAGCGCGGCGAAACGGAGTAGCGCGACGTACTAAAGGAATTAGAAAAATTAATTTTTAAAGAATATACCTTTTTTCATGACGGCAAAATCCCCCCAGAGCGTCGTCTCCCATCTCGCCGAGCCGCCCGTATCGGATTTTTGCGCCGAAAATACCTTTCTCACCGATTCAGGAGCCGGGATTTCGATTTTCTAAAGGATTTCCGGATCATGAAAACGTAGAGTTGTAAAAATTCTTTTTTTTAACCTACCTCAACGCCGGGATGGGTGGGACCTCTGGCCGAGACTTCATCTAGGAAGAGGGGCTCGAGGAAAACCTATAAGGTATGTGATTAAGTCTCCGATTAAATTGTCGAAACTCGACTAAAAAAGTAGGATCGAAAAAGTATATTTTGTCTTTTTTTAATAAAAATTGGCAAAGTTTTGACGTTTAGGAACCCAAAACAATAATTTGCGAAAAATCCGGCGCTTAGAAAAAAATTATTCCCTCGAGAATGCGAAACAATCGAAACGGGAATTCAGCCGTACAAACCGCTAAAAACTAAATAAGCTTTAAAAACTGACCACCCGATGCCCAGCTTCCGCCAACGTATCACAAATCTTGGCGAGGAAATTAGTGTGCGAATGCCCGAAACGGGGGGGAATACACGAGAATATTTAGGGAATAGCTTCTACATATTAACAAGCATAACAGCAATAGAATTCTAGCCCTCATTTGCCCTTGGCGATCAAAAACTACAGGAACAAAGGCCAGTGGCCCCGATCAGACCCGCCGTTATCAACGCGAGTTGCCCCCGGAATATACGAGTGTTTGTTTTTCTGATCACCCCCTTTGATAATGTGTTCGAAATCAGGCGCTGGTCCAAATATCAAAGGAACCTAGAGTCTAAAAAAGTGCTCAGGTCTTTTAGTTCCAAAGAAAGAAAATGTCAAGGGCAAAAAAAGTTCGAATTTTGCGTCCGGACAGCGGCCCATAACGCGAATAATGTAATGAACCACCGGATCTACGTATATAAAAAACTACGCGACGTAATCTGCAACTCGAAATTGCACAAAATCCAAACAAAAACCACTGAAAACCTTTCAGATGCTTCTCTCCGCAATCGGTGCCCGAAAATGTGCCCACGGTCAGCTTCCAGACTTCTGAAACGCTGTTTCAAGTTTTTTTTTTACTCCAAAAGGTGCTTCATTCATTTTTCTATAAAAACTAATTTTATTTTTATTTTTACAAAAAAAAAAAAAAAATTACGAGCAGAGTACGCGTTACACCTATGGCCGGTCTAACGTATGTTGTAGCGCAAAGGAGGGGTGCTTCGCCTTTTTTCTTCACGCATTTTTGGAAAAATCAATAAAAATTCTAGCCTTTACAGATTTTATGTTTTTCGATGCCTTATACAAAAAGATTTAGCTATTTTAGATGTATTGCGCTTTACTAGTCTGTTTTTCCGATTTGGACTAGTGGGAGGTTCGGAAAATATGTAAAAAACCATACATGGTTCTATTTATTGTTTTCGCGCTCCTTTTGTTCATTCCTACCATTTTCGTTAATTCCCTTTTTCTAGATGGACGGCGGCAAGATTTTGGTCGTCGGCGACGAGACGGACATCCTGCACTGCGGCTACAGCCACGCGATCACCCACGAGGGCCGCCGGTACCCCTCCGCTGAGCACTACGCGCAGTCGATGCTCCTCATGCAGTTCAAGATTGACGAGGCCAAGATACTCGAGCTGTTGAGCTGCAAAAGCTCCGAGGTCAGGCGGCATGCCCGGCTCATCCTACTCGAAAATATCCCGGATGGGCAAAGCTGGAAGACTCTCGCCGACTATATGGATAGCGCCCGACAATCTTTCACCATGGAAGGCCTCCGCATACGTTATCAGCAAGATCCCGAGTTTAAGAAGGCGCTGACGGCCACGAAGGACTCGCTGTTAATCGTCTGTGATAAGAAAGACGCGGATTACGGCATCGGGATGGATGAGGACGCATTTATACAGCTCGCCAATAAGGAGCGGTTGACGGCGCAAGGCCTCGACAACATGTTGAAGGGACATGTGCGACCGCCCGGCATAGGCGCCAACCAGCTCGGCACGCTTCTCATGTGGCTGCGGTATGAGGAGCGCGAGAAAGGCCGAAACTCGAAAATCTACTTGCCGGTGAACGAAGTCGATGGCCTCAGCACGGACGACGATGGCAGCTTTCTAAAGCTGAAGTGCAATGATCAGATCATCTATCTGAAGGGCATCTTCCGGCCGTTATCGAATTTCTACCCGCTTCCCATGGAGATCAAAGGGTATCGATACCGGAGCGTCGAGCACTACGCCTACGAAAAGCTCTTCAATGCACTCGATCTGGATGCGAAATGTGTCGAGAAAGTCGTGACCACCGTCAACCCGTGTGATTTGAAGACGGTGGCGGGCAAGGTCCTTGATGGGCAGAAAATCGACGCCGAAGTCTTGGAGTCCAAGCTCGCCAAGTTGGACCGTTGGAGGCAGTCCGCAATGAAGCAAAAGTTCGCCAAGTTGGAGCCCCTGCAGCACCTTTTGCTCAGCACCGGTCAATCGCTACTCGTCGATGATGCGTGGAGCCGTGACGACTGGACGTGCGGCGCCACCGAGTCGGGCTTGCAAACAATTATGGCGAAGGATAAAGTCGGTATTGAGCAAATCATAGATTGGATGTGCTCAACGGAGCCGCCGAAAGATGTGTGCCATCTCCAAGGAAACAAATGCGGCATTTTGTTGATGGAGTTGCGTGAGAAATTTGCCGCCTCAACGCCGAACCGAATTCCGCTCACCGTGCCTCCCGTGGACCCTGAGCTACTTGGCAAGATCTCGCCGCATATCATCTGCTTCACCGGGGAGAGCGTCTTTTCGCCGTTTTATCCCGCTCAAATCCGGCCAGAGGTCGGATTGCCGTTCCTTGCGAGCCCAGTGCATTACGTGGCGCAGGAGACGACCAAGTACCTGGCATTCAAGGACTCTACGGCTGGATACGTAAACGCAGCTAAATCGCCGATTGAATGTTGGCGTCGCCTCTATGAAACGATTGCCGGCCTGGGCCGTGGATTCGAGCGTGAGCGGGTGTGGTTTATGGAGGAGCGGCAGAAGCTGATCCGCGAGGCTCTTCGGCTGCTCTTTGAACAGCACGCCCCACTTCTGCGTGCCCTTCTCGAGACCGGCGATGCTTTTCTAGGTAAATTTATTCTATTTTATCTTTTCGGCAGCGTCTGGGGTTCCTTAGTGCCCACTTTTCTATCATAAACCAGATGGTTACAGTCGCTTCGCGACTGCAACCATCTGGGCTTCGGGCTACCCTACATGTCCCACTCTACCACATCCTTTCCCACCTCCATCAATACCCCCCATAGCCGAAATCCCGTTCAAAAACTACCTAGATACCTTCCTGATGGCTTCAGATACCCCCCATGGCTGAAATCCCCTTCAAAAACTACCTAGATACCTTCCTGATGGCTTCAGATACCCCCATGGCTGAAATCCCTTCAAAAACTACCTAGATACCTTCCTGATGGCTTCAGATACCCCCATGGCTGAAATCCCCTTCAAAAACTACCTAGATACCTTCCTGATGGCTTCAGATACCCCCATGGCTGAAATCCCCTTCAAAAACTACCTAAATACCTTCCTGGTGGCTTCAGATACCCCCATGGCTGAAATCCCTTCAAAAACTACCTAAATACCTTCCTGATGGCTTCAGATACCCCCATGGCTGAAATCCCCTTCAAAAACTACCTAGATACCTTCCTGATGGCTTCAGATACCCCCCCATGGCTGAAATCCCTTCAAAAACTACCTAGATACCTTCCTGATGGCTTCAGATACCCCCCCATGGCTGAAATCCCCTTCAAAAACTACCTAGATACCTTCCTGATGGCTTCAGATACCCCCCATGGCTGAAATCCCCTTCAAAAACTACCTAGATACCTTCCTGATGGCTTCAGATACCCCCATGGCTGAAATCCTTCAAAAACTACCTAAATACCTTCCTGATGGCTTCAGATACCCCCCATGGCTGAAATCCCTTCAAAAACTACCTAAATACCTTCCTGATGGCTTCAGATACCCCCATGGCTGAAATCCCCTTCAAAAACTACCTAGATACCTTCCTGATGGCTTCAGATACCCCCATGGCTGAAATCCCTTCAAAAACTACCTAAATACCTTCCTGATGGCTACAGATACCCCCCATGGCTGAAATCCCCTTCAAAAACTACCTAAATACCTTCCTGATGGCTACAGATACCCCCATGGCTGAAATCCCTTCAAAAACTACCTAAATACCTTCCTGATGGCTAAGATACCCCCATGGCTGAAATCCCCTTCAAAACTACCTAAATACCTTCCTGATGGCTTTAGATACCTCCCTAGCCAAAATCCCGTTTAAAAAACGAAAATAACGACCGACCGGATGGAATTAGAGAAAAAAAGAAATGAAATCCCCCGTGAAAATTTTCATCCACGAAACGCGCGCGACCTGGCTCACTATGTCCAAAATCAGCCCAACCTCCGTCCCCCACCCTTTTACTAAGGAGAAAACTTTCAAAGTTAATTTTAATAAGTTAAACTAAAACTTTTTCATAATTTTTTTATCAGTTTAGGGGTTTCTGTGGGCGCTCTATCCGAATCCGAAGAGAGCTAAGCTCTAGCTCCTTTCCCCTTCGAGTTGAATTCGGCTTCAGACACACGGACGGACGGACGTCTTAACTTTTTTATTATAGTTGATAGAGACGGTGTTGCTAGCATTTTTTCTTTCTATTTCCAAAACGTAAAAATTATACAAATTGATATTGAAAACGTGTTGAAACCCATTTTCTATCAAACTAGGATGGTTTAAAAGAGTACTAGGTTTTTTTAGAGGTTTTCCGTTTACAGTATACTTAAATTACTAAAAACACGATCAAAAGTCCTTACTATTACGTCAGTAGGCATTTCTAAACCTGCAGGAAAAATCTGTGCTCTCATATTGCGTAAAAAACACTTTTTTTCAGCCTACTGCGTGCGCTGGAGCAGCCTCGATGCCGAATTGACGATCGGGATGCGCGAAAGCGATCTGCGGCACTGGCTGCATTCCGTGGAGCTGGACAGCAAGCAACTCGCCGACCTTTGTGCCAAGCCGCTCGCCTTTCGCCCGCCATTCCTCGGCGGCAACCACGTCGGCTTTATCCTGATGGAGCTACGGACGGAATTTCGTGAAAAGGGTGCATCTGTGTGGGCACTTCCGGAGCTGATCCTCGACACCCTGACCGTGCTGGGCAGCGATTCGCCGACGGAGAACCTGATGGCGGATGAGACGTTTGACGTGCTGGACGGCGAAACTAACGGGCTGCCCTGGGCGAATCCGCTGCTGTTGTTGGCGAAGCACACGAAGGATGCCGGCCTTTTGGAGGCGGCCCGTTTCAAGCCGCCAGGGAGGGGCCTGGTGTCCGTGGACGAGCCCCGGATCAAGGAGATCTTGGCAAAGATCGACGGGATCCGCACCGGAAAGACGAACGCACGATTTATCGAGAACCTGGCCACGGAGGAGCTGCGGGCCGTTCTCGCCCATCTCATGGCTCGCGTGCGGGGCAAGGCTGAAGAATGTAAGAAGACCGACTCCATGTCTAAAGGTATATTTCAGTATTTCATATTCCTAGAAACATATCAAAAGTTGACGTTGGCGGTAGCCAGCTTTTCCATTTCATTTCCGTTCCATCATCTTTTAGCCTTATGGATAAAATTTGTTTCGTTTTAATAGTGTTTTAAGTAGTTTCCGATACCTAAAACGTATGAAAACGTATTAAGGGCATGCTAAGACCTATTTGTTGCTCAACTTTGGCCATTTCTTAAAAGTTGTAATGCTAAAATGTCAGAATGTATTATGAAAACCCGTTAATTTTTAATAAATTTTGTTTTTTTTTAGTGATGATGACCGACATCCAGCAGCTGCGCAAGTTGAGGGACGAGATTCTCGTCGAGCCGCCAAAATGCACGCCCCCTCCGCCGCCGCCTCAACAATGCCGTCCCCGGCCCGTGTCCGAGCACCGAGAATTCTTCGGCACCTACCATCATCGCCCCACCGTTCGCATGTCCGCTGGAGCCGATCGGGGCATCAATTTTTCGGGCGATCACTGGAATCAGGGCCGCACACCCTTGGCGCGTGGCCGTAGCCATACCCCGTGGGTGCCGAAGGAGACTAGAGAGTGGACACCGCTCGCTCCAACGCCCAAGACGACACATCAGCAAGGTCCGCAAGGGCGCCCCAAGCAGCCGATCGTCATCACGCGCGGCGACGACGAGCTCAGCGACGGCGAGCTGCTCGACAGCGAATGAACCCGTTTTCTTGTCGGTGTTGTTTTGCGAGGTTGGGTGCTTTCGCATTATCGGGGGTCGGCAATTTCGACCAACAAACAGCCGAATTTCGATCAAAATGTCACCTTTTTGGATATTTTTTTACCTGGAATAGAATTAAATTATCTAAAAGCGTTATTAAAATACAAAAAAAAAGCGATTTTTAACCGAAATTTCAAAAATGTTCAAATTTTTGGAAAGTTTTCGTAGTTCAAATGAGTTTAATTTTCAGTAACACTGTTAAAACAATTCAATCTGTTCTCGCCTCCCCCGATAATGCAAAAGCGCCTTAAATTTAAATTGTTTGATTGCCGTTTGTTGTCCTTCCCTTGATTCACTTCTAGCGCCTCCCCTCATCTGAAGAAAGTTACAATTTGCTCTGATTTTGAAAAGTTCTTTTGCTTCGTTTTGCCCGTTGCTGTTGTTTTGATCTGTACCCAATTTCTCAATCACTAGTCAAAGGACGATGGATAAAGATTTTGTTAAACTTTTCCAGTATATTTTCCGAAAACAAGATCGTTGACATGGTTGCTTTATCGATTTAGCATTGTATGAATTTTTAGGGTTTGATTTTCTACAGCTCTTCACCGTGTCGCTTCGCTTTCTGGGCCCATCCACGGCGCTTCACTTCTCCGCCTTGTTGGCGTATCTCTTCGTGGCGTTCTGTGCGGAACTTTTTGAAGGCTTCGTCACGTTGGGTGCGTTCGGCACGCCTAAAACTGGTTTTCGGTTTCTAGGAAGCCGTTAGTATGAGGTCATTTTAGTAACAGTTCGATCAGTTTTTAGCATGTTCAATAGCCTTTTTTTTAACTACCGACGGTCCACAATATCGTAGCTTTGTTATACACTAACCGTAAAGGCTCGAACGTCTTCTTAGCGTGTTGCCGGGCTTCTTCTAGATCGTCGGTGATCAAGATGTTGTCAAAGATCGAGCCGGATTTTACCTAGATCTCATTGACTTTACTTGGAAGTACGCTAATGTAAGTCACGGGCTTTTTTATATAGAAAGTTGTTTCTTTCGCTTTATCGGAGGGGGAGGGGATGATTTTTTCCTAAGCATCCAGAAATGTCCTAGCAACTTATTATTAAGTATTTTAATAGTTCCAGTAAAATCTGGTTATATTAAAGGGCTGCCGACGGCATGTGTCGATCCCCCCCATCAACAAATTGGCAAGTAGCCAACAGGGCAGAGAGCGCGCCCTGGGGAGTGGCGCAGAGACATTTTCTTTCCAGCGCGTAACCGATTGACTATGCCGTCGGCCTCCCTTTAAAGTGAAAAACAACACTGCCGTTTCATTGAGATTCATTGCCACTGAGAAAACTTTTTTCATTGAACTTTGCCCAAAAGTCGGCCATATTTAATCGAAAAACGATATTTTTTGGGTTTTTTTTAATGAAAACTGATAAAGTTTTACGTTTAGGAATTAGAATAATAGGAAGTGGAAAAACACTTGCTCTAGTTATCAAAGAATTTTTCTGCTTGGAAAAAAGTTAAGGTTAAAATTTACTTCCCCCTGATAGTGCAAAAGAGCCAGTAACTTCAGGATCTACCTGCCAAATATCGATGCCAACAGCCCCGATATCTTTGAAAAGCGATTGATGCTTATGCTCGTGCTAGAATCTGCTTTTTGAGCAGCTTGAGGGAGGTTGTTCTACCCAATCCCAGTCCAGATCAAAGTCTTCTTCAACATATCCGGTGCCCATCCTCAGCCAATCGGTGCGCACTTCGTAGGTTCCGTTTGGGTTTAGGATAAGTGTGTAGAGATGCGTGAGATCGTCCCACTCAAATTGCTGGTTTTGACGTTAAAGCGAGCCTACCGCACACCGCAGGATTTCCTTGAGCGGATATTGGCGCCCATGTTGGTTGATGATTACCTGGAATAGAATAGCTGCATAATGTCGAAATTTTTATTGTCGAGGTTTCATAACGTCGAAATTTCATAATACCGAAGTTTCATAATGTCGTAATTTCATCGTGTCGAAATTTCCATTTATCGACAGCCTTTTGCACAATATTTGGGATAGTTTCCGGATATTTCTTCATGTAAATTTCGACATTTTAAAATTTCAACATGGGAATTTCGGCATCAACTATAATAAAAAAGTAGAGACGTCCGTGTGTGTGTCCGTGTGAAGCCGAATTCAACTCGAAGGGGAAAGGAGCTAGAGCTTAGCTCTCTTCGGATTCGGATAGAGCGTGGTCAGAAACCCCCAAACTGATAAAAAAAATATGAAAAACTTTTAGTTTAAATTATTAAAATTAACTTTGAAAGTGGCGCCTTAATAAAACGAGTGGGGGCCCCTCTCCCGGGAAGCCACGCCCCCTTTCCCTTCGCCCCTCTTCCCCAGGCCCCTTCGCGCGCCCAGATCGCTTTCTTAAGTTACTTTAATACTTTTTAATATACTTTTTAATACTTTTAATTATGTTAATTAATTATTTAAATTATTTAAAGTATCTAGGAAGGTATTTAGGTAGTTTTTGAAGGGGATTTCAGCCATGGGGGTTATCTGCAGCCACCAGGAAGGGATTTAGGTAGTTTTTGAAGGGGGATTTCAGCCACGGGGGGTATCTGAAGCCATCAGGAAGGTATTTAGGTAGTTTTTGAAGGGGATTTCGGCTCTGGGGGGGGTATCTGAAGCCATCAGGAAGGTATCTAGGTAGTTTTTGAAGGGGATTTCGGCTCTGGGGGGTATCTGAAGCCATCAGGAAGGTATCTAGGTAGTTTTTGAAGGGGATTTCGGCTATGGGGGGGGTTGATGGAGGTGGGAAAGGATGTGGTGGAGTGGGACATGTAGGGTAGCCCGAAGGCCAGATGGTTGCAGTCGCGAAGCGACTGTAACCATCTGGTTTTTGATAATACCGACCGAAACTGGACGTTTAGCGCTCGTTCCTCACCTGCAAATCCTTGCGCGAGTTGCAGATGTCCGGCCCGAACATGACGTGATACGGGGTTTTATCGTTGAACTGGTGCTGATCAATGGTTGAGGGCATTATCTAGAAAAGATTTCTTTAAACCTTAGAGGTCAATTAATAGCATTTTTATATTTTGATGCATTTTTTTTTTTAGTTTCATACGTTTTAGTATATACCTTTATGTAGCCGCCACCACAATCCAGCTCCTGCTCGTGCTTGACAGTAAACTGGACGATTAGCGAAGTTTTTCGGTTTGAAAACCTGGGGAAAGTGGCGGATATCGTGTAGAAGCTGCTGTTCTGAAATGTTTAGGCTATCTTTGTTGAAATTTTACATTTTTTAGGTTTTAAATTTTGTAAGTTAAAATGTTTAACTTTTTCTTATTAGATTTTTTAAAAATTTTAACTGACGTTGTAAAGAGTTTTTCGGTTAGCTTTTTATTTCAGGTTGTTTCGAATTATCGGGGGGGTACTGTTTTCACAAATCCTGGACGCAAAAACTTTACAAGTTTTATCAAAGCGAAATACAAAAATACCGATGTTTCCAGCTAAATTTCGAATTTTAACATCTTTTACGGGTTTTAGATAGCTTTTTGGACCAATACACCCCCCCGTTATTTCACATATTTCCAAAAACTCGCCGTCATCGTTTTGATGCCCTGATCACGGGCCGCATCGTCATGGTAGACGCCCGATGACAAATTCCACGTTCCATAATTTTTCGGGAATTGCGACTGAATCCACCGGTCCCGCCACGACTCATCGTCGAATTCCTCGAGGAAGTGGATTTTTGTTTGGAAGAGGGGCAGCGTCAGCAACAAAGTCAGTCGACTTTTCATTGTGAAATATTTTTTAACGGAATCGTGGATAGGAGTGTATAGTTCTCTAGGAAACTGGCAGTGTTTTAGCATCAGCACGCCGGTGGTTTCGTGTTGAATACGATGAATACAGCGGAATTAATGAATTGTTACTGCTTTGGCATTCTCGGGGGACAAACTTTTCTAAGGATCCTATTTTTTTAATAAACATATTAGCGTTTCTAAACTGTTTTTTTTGCTATTCTACAAAAACTTTTAACTTTTCAAAAATATAGATTTTCAACACAAAAAAAATGCCGATTTTCGATCAAATCATTGTTGTTAACTTTTAAAAGCGTTTTTCTAATTAAAGATTAATTAAATTTGACTAAAACAACTGATTAAAATACTTATTATTAGGTTACAAAAATACAAAAAGATGAAGAAGACCGATTTCTACAAATTTACACGACAAAATTTCGACTATAAATTTTTTCTAACTTTTAAAAGTGTTTTTCGACTTTAACCGCAGTTAAATTTTACTAGAACAACTTTCCGCTTTTCAACAAAAAGTTAGTAAGATTTTCTCGACATTTTCCCCTTCCCGCAACTTGAATCATGCCTCGGTGCGTCACGTTTCATGCGCCGAGGAGAAGCCCGGTTTCGATTTTTTTAGTTATTTTCCGGTGAGCTACAATGGATGGCGGATATTTTAGCGTATTCCTTTTATATTCTCTAGTTTTATATTCGGGCATAGAGGCGGTAAATCGGGAATGCCGATGCCCACCTCTGGTGCTCTCGTCCGCTGACGAGATTTGCCATCAAACAAATTGTGGGTATTTTTAAGCATTACTTTTATTTGAGTTAAACAATTAAATTCAATAAATATCATGAATCTAATATACCTTACATTCCATCAGATTTAAGATGGCTTAACTTTAAGGTTGGGGGATCTGCGTGGCCGAAAGCTGGCATGCCGGGCCAAGCTGCTTGGTTTTCTGCGACTTTCTCGTTAGCTGGCTCTCTCTCTCTATCTCGCTCTCTCGCTCGCTCTCCCCCTCTCTCTGTCTCTCTTGCCCTGTTTCTCTCTCATATACTCTATCTGTCCCCTTTATCTCTCCCTGGCTCAATCTCTCTCTCTCTCTCTCTCTCTCTCTCTCTCTCTCTCTCTCTCTCGCCCTCTCGCTCTCGCTTTCTCTCTCTCTCTGGCTCTGTCTCTCTGGCTCTGTCGCCCTCTCGCTCTCACCTAAACAAGCTACTAGAGTTTCCAAAGAAAATTATAAAACAAGGTCTAGTGCTTTCAAAAAACGAATCGCCGGGCTTTGTGCTTGATTTTCATGGTTAACCATTTTGAGACGATTTTCTATCCTACTATATATAAAAAAATAGTGTTTGTGTGTGTGTGTGTATATTTGCATGCACTTCCGTTTGGATGTTCCGCACCTACAGGTTCAGGGAAGCATTTTTTCGGTAGGGAAGAAACGTCATAGGGTAAAGAAGGGGCTGGAATCGACTGCACACACATAAAATCTTCGAAAAATTGCTATTTTCGCTATTAAAATTAGGTTTTTGTAAAAATCTTGGCTTCCCTCTTTGTTAGGGAAAAATTAGCATACGCCGGAAGTGGAAATGGCTTATAAAAAGGAAGGGAGGGCGTGGTTTTCATTTTTTGGGCATCGTTTTTCGGCAAGAATTGTGCAAATTTTCATAAATCCTAGACGGGGCCAGGGTTGAAAAGCCGCGAAGCGGTTTTTCAACCCTGGTCATTCATTAAAATCCGAAATTTCCCTAAAAAATTGCAAAAACAAGGTCAAGTTGGTGTTGACGGGAGGGGTTCAAGATAACCCGCCAACTCCGGACCATTGCTTGCAGGGATGGAAGGGTTGGGGGGTTATGTACCCGCTGAAAATGGGTGGGCCAGCTGGAGGGAAGTGGGGGAACTGGCAGAGAAAGGAGACAGCTCGTGTTCTCTCACCAGGCTCTCACAGTCGGGGTCGAGTTTTTGTATGGCAAATAATCGGTAAAGGAGGGGGAAAGCCCTGGCAAAAATGGACTACATGAAAAACGCTTTACCGCCTGCCTTGAAAAATGTCGATGAAAAATTGTTAATAACTAAAAGAATAATTATTTAAAAGCTCTTGGCATTGATATACGAGTTGATCTTGATTGATATACCAAACAGATGCTTTTTGCTTCAAAAAACTGCGAGGAAAAAACTTGTAGAATTACTATATTTGGCTAATCTACTCTTTTTTCAGTTTATCACATCAACGTCACGCGTGACGGGGTTTTCCTTGTGGATGTGCTGGTGGTAAGGCATTTCAGCCATAATCCCGACAGCCAGAGTCCGGACAGTCAGCAATGAACATTCAGAATCCCGATACTCCAAATCCCGACAGGCAAAACCCTGACAAATTCTTGACGCTAGTTTGAATGCCACTAGCATGTCGGTATTTTGCGTGTCGGCATTTTGGCAGTCGGGATCTTGACGGTTTACCCGTGGAAATTTTCGCAATGTTCCATCACGTTTTCGTATTCCTTACGAAAAAACGATATAACATTGTGAAACCTTACCAATATCTAAAACCGTTAAAAAAACAACGAAAAACTACAACTTTAGAACAACATCACCGGCGATCCGCGACGATCGGTCCAGCCGAATGGGAGACTTATTTTTACCGACGCCGCGAAGTGCACCGCTCCACGGCCTAGACGGCTTGGGGAATACATCATTACGGGTGGGTTCCAAGTACCTGCCTTCGGGAGCATCCCGTAGCTGTCGAGAGCTAGTGGATCGAAGGGTCGAATTTCGCGCTTCCTGGTGCTTTTAAAGCTAGTAGGAGAGAGGGAGTGGGAGAGCGAGAGCGGACGAGAGAGAGAGGGGGAAAGAGAGAGAGAGAGAGAGAGAGAGAGAGAGAGAGAGAGAGAGAGAGAGAGAGAGAGAGGTGAGAGGTGAGAGAAAAGAGAAAGCGCTAGACAGAGTGCGAGTGAGAGAGAGTGTGTGTAACTGAACGTGAGAGTGAGAGTGAGAGAGAGTGTGTGTAACTGAACGTGAGAGTGAGAGTGAGAGAGAGAGAGAGAGAGAGCTACAAAAAGTTATAAATCTGTATTTAGGCACAATTTCCGACTATTTGCTACAGACGGATGAGTGCAATCACCTTATCAAGCACTATTCCGAGAAGGTACTAATTACTGTACCACGCGCGGCAAGTTCAATATTCAGAATCTTGCCAAAATCAGGGACGTGATGAGCCGATGCCCGAGGGTCCCGAAACCATTTCCCGGAAAGTGGGACCCACCGCTGGACTCTGCGGAAAATCCGGAATGGCCAATCCCACCCAAGGAGCCGTGGGCTAGGCCGGATGGAGCTTTACAACCCGTAGAAAAACACAAAGAGGGCGGCGATAAATTTGTAGAGGACGTCGGAAAATCCACAAAGGCATCTGATTTGGCTGAGGCTGAAAAACCTGTAGAAGGCGTCAGAAAGCCTGGAGATGATGGAGCCGATTCGAAAGATGAGGCCGTAGACCCTGTTGAAGAGGTCGGAACGCCCAGAGAGAATCAATCTTCATCGGTAGAAGACGCTGTAAACCCTATTGAAGACGTTGAAAAAGCGAAAGATCAGGCCAACCATACGCAAGTAGTTGAACAACCTGACGAGGACGCTGACGCAGATGCAAAAGACGATTCCGAAAAAGACGAAAAACCTGTGGAAGGCGCCACCGATTCCCCACCGTTTTCCTTCGCTTCCCTGACAATCCCCCTAGTGGCAGCTTCCGTGGCTATTTTTGCTTTTCTCTCGCTTTGCCTCTGTTGGTATCTTGCCAGAAAGAGAAGACGTGAACGCCAGGCAATGCAATGCTTTGGCCAGAGAGATTTGCTGTTGGTTAAAAAATAAAATTGAGTGATTTTTCAAGGAGATAGGAAGGAAAATCCAGGTTTTAAATTTTTCAAAGCCGCCGTATTCGACGAAAAACCTAAAATCTGTTTATCTCAGTTTTATCAAATTCTGGTTTTTGCTTTTTGCTTTTATGTGCCAAAATTTTCTTTAGGCTCAAAAATTTGACTGATTTTTAAACGATAATTTTTTAACCGGGACTGTGTGATTTTTATCTTTATTAAATTATAACATCAACGTTTGACGGTGCCGGGATTTAACAACACCTCTTTGAATTTTTTGAAGATTTTTTTGCGGTTTAACTGCTTTTAACGCATGTTTAAGACGATTTATAACTCTCGAAGTACCGGAATAAAATATTGAGCAAGTGGATCAATGAGAAAATACACATCAAAATCGAAGGAAATGCAAAAAGGGATCAAACCACATTTTTCTCGTTTTCGACCTCGTTCGCCTCGACCTCCTCGTCGTCAACGTGGGCCAGGTCGGCAAAGTATCGACGGCATCTGGGAAAAAGTTTAAAAATTAAGGGGATCTGCTAAGCTGTGCATTAGGAAAAGGGCTGCAATCCCGACAGTTATAATACCGACAGCCATAATACCGACAGCCATAATACTGACAGCCATAATACCGACAGCCATAATACCGACAGCCATAATACCGACAGCCACAAGTAAAAAACTTCTCAAAAACGCGTCATTCACACTAGAGTCACGAGAAATTCGGGATCTGGTTGTCGGGATTTTGGCCTGTCGGTATTACGGCTAGAATCGACGAAGCTTGGAATGAACTTACCGCCAAACGATATAGAAAAAGACGAGGTAACACAGGATGGCGGTACCGTAGTCGAACAGTATCCGCAGGCCGTAGAAGACACGGACCAGCTCTGGAAGAGGATAATTTAACGGATACAGACTATATATTATTCTACACTCTGTCAAAAAACTATAGAACCACGGCTTTTTCTGCGAGGAATAGTTTTCTCGCCACACGTAAATGCCTGAATTTTGAGAATAACTCTTTTTCGGGATAACAAATATGAAAATAACTGCTTATAAGAATCCGAGGGTGAATAGGTTTATTTCCGAAAAATACGGATTTCTTTCCTGTCAAAAAACTATAGAATCAAAGGTTTATTTTCAACATATCAACAAAGTAACAAAGTGAATTCTGGCTAATAATGGGTCGGTCCACCGTGCTTCACGCCAACTTCGTACAGCCGATCGGGCAAAGATCGAACGAGCTTTTGAAGAATTGTAGGGTCCAGGTTCTTCCAAGATTTTTGAATAGCCATCGACAGCTCTTTGGTGGTGGCATATTTCTTGTTACCTTTGTAGACATCACGCACCAGTAGGCCCCATAGATTCTCTAATGGATTTAGGTCAGGGCTACACGCCGGCCAAGCCAGAACCGGCACATTCCTAGCTGCGAGCCAAGTCATTGTTGAATTACTTCGGTGGACGCTTGCATTATCCTGCATAAAACATAGCCCTTGGATCGAATTTTGCTGTAGGTAAGGGACTAAATGCTTCTCTAGCACTTTCTGGTACTCGAGAGAGTCCATTTTTGAGGAGACGAATTCAAGTCCCACAATTTCGCCATCACGAAACGACGCCCACACCATCAGCGTTCCGCCGCCGAAATTTCGCTTGGAAAAAATTTCCGGCTCTTTCCGCAGGTCGTGCCAATATCCATGAAATCCGTCGGGCCCGTCCAGATTCCATTTCTTTTCATCAGACCAGATGATCTAAACGCATAGTTAACGAGTTAAGTTATGTTCCATACCAGGGACCAATCAGTGGTCATATGATTCTGAGCAAATTGCATCCTGGCCGCTTCATGGGCTGGAGAAATTTTTGGGACCCTCTTCATCTGTTCTCTTTTGATGATTGGCGAGCCAAGTACAGCATTGTAAATCGTTTGGCGGGTAACGTTTAGCTGCAGGTCGGCTTTTATCTGAGCCAAAGATTTGGTGCTATTGGAAAGAGCTCTTCCTATGGCTCGTTCGTCTCGTTCGGTCAATTTCTTTGGCGCTCCGCCGGCGTGTTTTTCATTGTACGTGTCTTGCTTGGAAATATACGTGAATACTGCCTTCTGTGAGCGGTGAATTTCCTCGGCGATTTGACGTTGACTTTTCCCTTGTTGAATAAGTAGATCAATCTTGCCTTGTTCAACATCGGATAGTTTCTTGCCACGCGGCATTTCTAAAAATAGCAAAGTTTAGTCGGAGAAGCTAAAACAATAAGAAACGAAAGCAGAAACGCACAAAAAGTGGAACAAAACTTCAAAATAAGACAATGATTCTATAGTTTTTTTACAAGGAAAAACTAACGAAAGTTCAGAAATGTAGTTTGTGGCCGCCGCGTCGCATTCTGGGTTTGTGTATATCTTGCTAGTATCTAATAATGCCAAATATAAAAATTTCAAGTCAAATGGTTCATGCACAAAAAAGTTAGTAATGAAAAACGCCTGATTCTATAGTTTTTTGACAGAGTGTATTATATGATTAAATAAAGAAAACTAGATATATCAGTAATAAAAACAGGACTTTTAAAGGATCGTAAACCTTATTGGAATTTTTTACCGAATTGCCCGGCGCAGCTTTAAAAAGCTAGGTTCCTGCCTTGGCGGTCTCTTTAAATAATCCTAGGATCTTACAAAAATCTCACTTCTATTATTATAGTAAGGGTTGTGATCATCTTCGAGCTCCTGTCGCCACTCCCTCATTTTGTCAGAACTCCAGTCGAACATGGCCTCGATATGCTCGTATGTGTTCATGCCGATCATGAAGATTTTCATGCCCTAAATTGGGGTTTTGGGGAGAAAGAGAGTAGATAGCGAGAGAGAGAGAGAGAGAGAGAGAGAGAGAGAGAGAGAGAGAGAGAGAGAGAGAGAGAGAGAGGGAGAAGGGGGCAGAGAGAAACAGAGAGCGAGAGAGTGAGAAACGGAGAGAAAGAGACAAGCAATGACAGATAGAGAGGAGCGTGATGCCAGACAGCGATCGAGAGATAGCGAAAGAGAGACATACAGAGAGAGAGAGCGAGAGAGAGAGAGAGAGAGAGCGAGAGACAAAGCGACAGCGAGAGTGAGAGAGAGCAAGAGCGCGAGACAGAATCTTTCAAAATTAACCTACCACCAAGAATAAAAATGGCATCAGCGCGTTTTTCTGCTCCAAAATCAGGCCACAAAGCAAAACAACAGCGCTCAGCACCTCCATCGGTACGAAAATGTACTAAACACGTATTTTGATTTATTTTAAAACTTAGTTTAATTCTACAAAAAATCAAAATTTTTTACCTTCCACACATCGAGCGATCGCGTGAGCACCAGTCCTATATGGAAAAAGATGAGCAAAATCTGCACGACGAGCACGAGGCAGCTGGCGTGCTGAAAAAGAGGCATTTAAGTATATTTAAAGTGGAAAACTATCCTATAAAAATAATTGGCTAATTTGGTAAAATCAGCCTTTTTGGTCAAAAATTTGGAATTTTTAGTTTTTAAATAACCTTTTAATTTTAAAATTTTTTCTATGTAATTTATCCTACTTTAATATGCATACTGTAGCAGCAACAACATTTCAACAAATATTTCGGTGCCCAATAGTCGAACACCTTGTGCTTGTGCTCGATGCGCCAGATTTTTCTCATTCGGCCCATCTTTCCTTTTTATACCTGCAAAAAATTATACTAATTATGCAATTTTTAGAATGGTAATTAAACTAAAAAGGAAAAAAAAAATTAAATTGAAAATTCGCGAATCAGCTAATTTATCAAAAATGGATTTTGATGCGGAGGAGAGAATACGAAGAGAAGCGTAAAAATGCCGACATAACAAACCCTGACAGCCCTAATCCCGACAACCAGAACACCGACAGCCCCAATCCCGACAACCAGAACACCGACAGCCCTAATCCCGACAACCAGAACACCGACAGCCCTAATCCCGACAACCAGAACCCGACGCCCTAATCCCGACAACCAGAACCCGCAGCCCTAATCCCGACAACCAGAACACCGACAGCCCTAATCCCGACAACCAGAACACCGACAGCCCTAATCCCGACAACCAGAACACCGACAGCCCTAATCCCGACAACCAGAACACCGACAGCCCTAATCCCGACAATCATAATCCCGACAAAGAAAATCCCGACAGCTCGAATCCCGACAGTCATAATCCCGACAGCGAACATCCCGACAGGCCGAAATCTAGACAAGCCAAATCCCGACACCTTGGATCCCAACAGCCAAAATGCCGACAGCCATAATCCCGACATGAAGTTTTCGATGTCAGGATTTTGGCTGGCGGGATTATGGCTGTAATTTATGGCAAGCTAGCCGAGAACATTTGGGGAATTCTTTCTAGTTTCTAGCTGCCAGAAAATCCGGAAATAGAGGAGCCAGTGTGTGCTAGCAGAGACCATTTGCGGAAATTTTTCTGGGTGCTAGGAAATCTGGAAAATGGAAACAATGGGCTAGCAGAGACCATTTGCGGAAATTTTTTGCAGGAGCTGGAAGATCTAGGAATAGAAAGAAGGCAAGCTAGCAGACAGGGTTTGGGAATTTTTTCCGGGACCTTGAAGATCTAGAAATAGAAAGAAGGCAGGCCAGCAGAGAACGTTTGGAAAAATCGTTTTAGGTGCGCGATAAATGTAGCTAGCCGAGAATCTTGAGGGATCCAGGTGATTTTTTCTGTGAAGTCTAGTGGGAGCAGGACACTTTCAGTACTTTTCAACTCGACAAAAATTCCAGCGATGGTTAAAATCCGCAAAAATAATCCTATATAACCTCCCGTTTCCAAGAAGCCAATCTTAAGTCATTTTTACGGAGTATAAGGTCGGCCGGACCTGCCAGGCAAATGCGTAAATTCGATAATGGTTCGGCGAATCCGCGCGGCGCAGGGAGTTCGACTCCCCCGCAAAAATGCGGATCATGAACCCGGGGAGGATGAGTAACGGATCTCGGTTTCGGCTGGGTGGTTCGACGAAATCCGTTCCGTCCAATTCCTATCCACACGGCGGTCCTCTAATCGGGGCAAGACAACGCGAGACTCCTCTGCACGATCTCTAGCAATCGCTGCTGCCCCGATTGACCTTGGACCCCATCAAAAACGCCTACACGATTTTTGTGGGGGCTAATTTTGGACAGACCGACTGCGGTTTTAGGTCTTTCAAATTTTCAAAAATCACCAAATTGAAAAAAATTGCGATTTTTTTATTACCGACTTATTGTCCTTATTTTTGCGATCTACAGGGCTTTAAAATTTGCATTTAAAAGAATGTGAATGAGTTCAGAGCCGCATTGATTTTTCCTGAAGGATCCCAATTATTTTTATGATTTATAGAGCTTTAAAGTTTGTCTCTAAAAGAATAAGAAAAATTTCAGAGTCTCCCTCGATTTTCCTAAAAGGTCCCTGCACGTTTGCCCCTGTTTTTTCAGCCATTCGATCAAACATCGAGACATTTACGAAGTTGTGTGGGAGAAAAAAATTTACAGTAAAACCAAAAATAATTCCGAAAAAGGGGTTGAAACTATGATTTTCAATATTTTTCTTATTTTTGCATTTTTTAACAACGCCAGCCGAAAGCGCATGAAAAGTATACCAAATTTTTTTCTGCAAAATAATGTAAAATAAAAAATAGTTACGCCTATAACAAGCAAGGGCTGGTAAGCAGCTATACACTAATTTAATGTGGTAATTCCAAAAAAATTTTTGGTCCTTCCGGCTAAAGGGAGAGGGGCACAGCAAATTCTAGCTGACAAGTAAGCCCAGAAAAATCGCGGGGTGTACCCCAGGATCCAAGGATTCCCAAATCCCTTCCCGATCCTCGCGCGAAACGGGGTCTGGGAGATTTCCGCGAACCATTCGGCACTTATCAATCACCAAAACAACCCGTCAAGTCGGTTCGGTTTGTCGCTAGGAATTTTTTGGTGGCAGAGATCTTGTCTCGATCAAACCTAATCTACAATTACCAAAAGAATCCCGACAACCTGAATCTCGACATCTTCGTGCCGTGTTTTCGAATGCCGATTCCTTCTAAACAGCTATTCTGCTTGTCGGGATTTTGGATGTTCGGGCTTTGACCGGTCGGGATTTTGGATAGCGGGATTTGGCGCAAAAGTTGTTAGTTTTCGTTCAAATAATAGCAAAAAAAGAAATGGAAAATGTAGAAATTCAAGCGATTATAGATAAACGCTCGAAAAAAAACGCGTTTCTAAATTTGAATTGCCTGAAATTGTGTAGAAATGGGAAGGTAAAAAAAGAGTAACTCTCGGTGAAAATCGGGGATAATCAGGCAGAATGCGGAGACATTTCGGCCGATCTATCCCCAGATCCGCAGAGATCTTTGCGGTTCCCCCACCACAGCCACTTTTTGTGCGATCAAATTGCGAGGGGAATTCGGGGCTCGCGAATTTGAGAGAGAGACAGAGAGAGGGAGAGAGAGAGAGAAATAAGGGGAGACATAGAGAGAGACCAAAAACTGCTGGGGGCCGTTGCAATCAACACAATGTTCCTCGTTACTTTTCACTTTTGTCGCTGAAAACTGAGGCGATCCATCCGGACCTGATTTTACAACCTATTCTCCCATCAGTGGGGGGGAGAGAGAGAGAGAGCGAAAGAGAGAGAAAGTGAGAGAGCAAGAGAAAGAGAGAATCCTCTAAAATTCAAATCTTCCGTGAATCTAAAACCCTGAATTTTCTTTCTTTTCACAGCGATCCCCGCCAGCTTCTCCCTGCCCATTTCCGGTGAAGGTGACGAATCGGCCGACAAAGCCCAAGACTTAACGACATTTCCGAGCAGACCGCGATTTTTGTGATAACGCGCGCTTTATAAGTTTACGATCGGGGCCACAGGTTGCCCATTTTGGGGGTGTCTTTTCCCACAAGCTGCCTGAATTCTGGAGATGCCCTCGAGCTTGGTAGTTTTGCTGCTGATCGTCGGGGCTTCGGCGAGCTACTTGCCGGTGCCGTTGAGTAAGTTAAGCGAAAATCGCAGCTTTCTCATCGAATCTCAACTGGGTTACAGCAGAAACGGAAAGTAGCGCTGGATATCAATCCGTAAATTCTAAGGTCGTTTTTAGATACCTTCTCCGGTGCCGAGAAGTACTGTCAATCTTTTGGAGGGCACTTGGCTTCAATTCACAGTGCATTCGACAATCAAGCCGTTACTTCTTTCGTGAAACAACAGGGATATCCGGCTGCTTTTATTGGGTTGCAACTGCAGCCAAATGGACAGTGGACATACACTGACGGAACTACCAAAAATTATGTTAATTGGGCACTGAGTAAGTATAAAACATCTCACTCTCTCAATCTCGTTCTCTCCCTCTCCCTCGCTCTCTCTCCTCTCACCTCTCTCCCTCCCCTCTCTCTTTCCCCCTCTCTCTCTCTCTCTCTCTCTCTCTCTCGCATTCTTCTCTGTCTCTCTCTCTTTCTCTCTCTTGCTTGCTCTCACTTGCCCTAGTTTTTCCAGACAACCCTACGTCCGACAACTGCACGACGGTCGGCCCCGACGGCTACTGGTATTCTGTCAGATGTGTTGATATCGACACGGCTGTTTGCTATATTGTGGATATTCCTACCCCACCTACCGTGCCTCCGGTTGCGACATCCAGTATGAAATTTCGAAGTATCCATGAAGTTTAATTATACTAGCTAATCATATTAGTGGGTTTTTAGTTGGTAATTTAATCTTGTAGCTTATATTTATCGGATCCAAATTCGAAACAAATAGCTGGGTCAAAGTATAGCCCGAAGGCATGTCTTAGCAGATCCCGGGTCGGACCACCCCTCCCCCCCCTAGTTGTGCGCTCACCCGATGTCCCCTTTTGTGTCCCCACTCGCCCACCACCTGGCCCACCTCCCCACCGGAAATACACACCCCTCCCCTCATCTACATCGCTTCTGGCCCCTGGCTTAGATCAATTTGTAGTTTATGTTCTTATCGGCTTAATCTCCGATACGTACACTATTGTGTACAACGAGATTAACATATTTTTGGAAATGGTTCGGTTAGCAGAAGCTTGCTTCTCGCCAAACAGCGTCGTCCCGGCATTGCACATGCCGTCGGGATCGGCGCACACCCCCAAGTGGGGTGAACAAGCTGACATATAAAAATTGAAATATATAATATAAAGTCTATTATAATTATTCCTGAACGAAACATCTTGTTGTCAGCTAATATTACAAAACACAACAATTTACCTAATCTACCTAAAATTGTATAATGTAACTATTTTTATCCTAGGTAATTTGCCCGGACTTACATACTTTAATCGCGATGTTTCCAGGAGGTCCAATCACCTATCAATGTCCGCCCGGTTGGAGCTACTTTGCCACGACTGGCGCGTGCTATTGGGTGAGTTTTATAGGGCTTACGATATGAAAAGCATTCTTTAGGTCGGCTACAACGCTACAGTAATCGCAGCCCGAAGCACTTGCCAGCAGATGGGCTCTGACCTGGCGTCGATCCACAGTGCTGAGGAGAATGGATTCGTTTTGGGTATGTCTATCTGTCGTTGTCTTTCTCTATCTCTTTCTCTCTCTCTCTCTCTCTCTCTCTCTCTCTCTCTCTCTCTCTCTCTCCCTCCTCTCTCTCATCAAGGCGATTTAGGTCTCGCGTTTCATTACACGACCGCCTGTTGGCAGCCCCTCCCCTATTACTACTCGGTGTGGATCGGAGGTAAGCTCAATCCACGGACATTTTAAAGGTACTGGGAAGTGCAAAAACCGACCCATTCCCTGGACTAGGCCTCGACGAACATTCTCAACATTTATCTCGAACTTGAAGCGCTACGCTCGCAAGCGTTTACGTGCGTATTTTGGAGCATTGCGTAGCGGTCTAGACCTAGCCAATTGAGCGGGTTGATTTTCCGTCTCCTGGCCCCGTTAATAACAGATTTTAGGTATTGGTGACAACGGCTACAACTACTGGTCGGATGGTACCCCCTTCAACTATGCGAATATGTGGGGACACCAAGACGGAAACATCGGCAACCTTTACGTAGGTTTTAGCGAAAGCAAAGCCTAACCTAGACATAAGCCAAGCCTGAGCCAAGCCTAAGCCAACCCAAAGCCAAGTCATTTTTCAGATCTCGACGCAAAGTGGATGTGCTGACTTCGCGTTTTGGCGCGTGGTCAACTACCAGACGCCCACCGTGACGGGCTTCGTCTGCAAAAAGTTCCCGGCTTAACGTTTAGCATAATGACAAGAGTGTTGGAATGACATAAACTATCTATAATTGTCGAATGCTCCCGACGGCGGAAATCCCGACTGGCAAAAATACCGAAACGCCAAAATCCCGACTGTCGAAATAACGACAGTCAAAATCTCGAAAATCAAAATACCGACACGCCAAAATACCGGCACGCCAAAATCCCAAAAATCAAAATGCCGACAGTCAAAATACCGACACGCCAAAATCCAAAAATCAAAATGCCGACAGTCAAAATACCGACACGCCAAAATCCCAAAAATCAAAAAACCGACAGCCAGCAACAATCAAGCAATACAGTCTTTCCAAGCCATTTATTCAAAAAGATTCACAAAAATCTTGTACCCAGATTTTTTTATCACAATTTTCCTGCGTGAATAGAATTTTTAAGTGTTGGTGGCATCCGGAATTTAAGTAAAAAAATCGAGAATACCCGTAAAGAAAATTAAGGATGCAGTTGATTGACCAAAAAAACTCAGCGTTAAATCACAAAAACTCCGAATATACAATACATACAAGTAACTTTTAGGGGAGTGTGAGAAACACTCAGAAAAATTGTACAAAATATACATACAAATACAAAGTACAGCTTAAAAAGTCTATTTCAGGCATTTTAATTTCTTCGTGTTCAGCTCGACGACCTCCCGGCAATATTCCGCGTCGACGAAATCGACGATGACAATGTTGATGAGCTCGGGGTGGGGGTACTGTAGAAAGGTTGCAAGATAGGATGCAAATTGCCCACCGATGTCAACCAATTCCGAATTGCCGCGGTGGCCCTGGTGGCCAGATGTTTCTCGAGCGAGGAGAAGGGGTTTCGGACTGGAAATTGTTGTGATTTTAAAGGGAGCCATAAAGTGGGAGTATCGACGCCTTCCGCTGACTAGGTCTCGACAGCTACGCGGCGCTCCAACTCACACGTTCAGTAATGTTTTCTAGCTTTTCAGTTACGTTTTTCAAAGTGTCGCATAGGTGTCAAGATCTAGCCGTAGAAAGGGGTAGATTCTCAATCGTTTTCATCTTTTAAAGGGACTTGGAAACACGAGAATGATCCCCGTCGCATATACTTGGCCTAGACAACCACGAGACGCAACAAGTTCAACAAGTTCAAAGCGGCTGTGATAGCCTATTTTGCGTCTCGCGTAGTTGTCGACACCTAGTTGCGGCAAGAGGTCGATTCTCGCGTTTCCTAATGCTCTTAAAGGGATCAATAAGCCTGGTAATCCACCCCGTCGTTCGACTAGGTCTAGACAACTACGCGGCATTCTAAAAGATGTTCAAACCAGTTTTATGGCTTATGAAAAACGCTTTTAAAAGAGTTTTAGGCTTTGCATAGTTGTCGAGACCCAGTCGGCAGAAGGGGTCGATTCTCACGTTTTTCGTCCCTTTAAGGGGCCCGGCAAGCTTACCAATATCCCTCCCAGTCGCCGTCAAAATTCCCTGGGTGACGTAGAATTGAAAAAGCGTGGTGGGGCGGCACTGCAAATTTGAAGTTAACAAGAATAAAAGCAGAAAAAAATTCAAATAAAATCCGCACCTTGGTCTGCATCACCTCCAAAAACTCGACCAATTCGCCGAGGTTGTTCGTCTCCGGGTACGGGGCGCAGATCGTCGGCTTCCCGCGCCAGAATCGCCCATCCTGCGGGTAGTCCTGAATTTAAATTTTTGCCAGGTCAAATCTTCCGATTTTCGTTAAGATAAAATACTAATTACACCAACCTTGAGCGCCGTGATGCAAATGAGCTGCTTCCCGGCGGCCCACAAGTTCGCCAGGGTCACCTGATCGTGCGGGAGTTCCCTAAGAAGCGGTAAATTTTTTCGGTTATGAAAATTACTGCATTTTTCGAAGCAAGCGGACGGAGAAATTTCTTTGGCACTGGACTGTTAGCGGGGGGGGGATTTTTAGCAGTGGGGAGACCAATTTTTTTACAGTAATTTTTATCATTAAACATCACTCTTTTTAAAGAATTGGCATCGGTTTTTAGAGATGAAAAGTGCGTAGAAGAATTTGAAAATTCAAAAAATGGACCGAAAAGGATTAAAATTTGCAAAATTTCATTTTTTTTATAAATTTAACATTTCTAAATCATACCTGCAAAACCGGTCCTCGCCAAAGAGTCGAACAATCTGCTCCTCCAGCTCGTCGTGGTCGCGCGGCTGGATTTGGAAGAGGTGGTTCATGTCGAGGATCACCATCTCTTTCCGGTGCTCGTCAAGGAAATCTGAGTTTTTGGTTTTTTAAGGGGAAATGAAGGTGGAATAACCTCGAATTTCCCTCAAAAATTCGAAAAAATCGGGCCCGTAGAGGGCATGGACCAAGTGGTAGCCGTCTGGGCCGCGTTTTGGCGGGTTGGAGACCCTGAACAAAAACTTAAAACAATTAAAAAATCGTCTTGCCCAAATAAGCTTTGCTAGCCCGCCATTTCTCAAATGATCTCTGCTATCAGTTCCCTCCCCAAAAAAATCTCTGCTAGCCTGCCTTTCCTTAAAAATCCCTGCTAGCTGCCATTTCTCAAGGGATCTCGGCTAGCGCTTCCTTTCCTAAAGAATTTCTTAGCATGCCCTTTTACTTTTCCCGACAGCAAAAATGCCTACGGTCAAAATTCCGACAGGTAAATACCGACAGGAAAATAGCCGTCGCTGTCGGTTTTTTGGCCGTCAGGATTTTTTCGGGATTTCTACTTGAACGTACACGAAGGCCTCGAACTTTCCGACAACGCACCTCAAATCAAAATACCGCACGCCCATCTGGCACTGTTCTTTCGCGGAGGCGTGCTGGGTGATGGCCCAGCGGCGGACGACGCGCCGGGATACTGTAGAAAGGGCAGTTTTTAGGTTTCCTCTGTCAATTTCCAACCTGTCAATCGGCCGAAACAGTTCAAAAATCGATTGCTCGCCTCGTCGTTGGCGATTGGGTACTTGATGGAGAGGGCCGAGGAGGCACCGGAATCATGGGAACCTGAACGAAAAAGGTGCTTCCCGCTCAATGAGTTCACGGGGGAACCAATTTTCATGATTTTTTAAAAATTTTGATTTGTACATTACATTATTGTACGTTCCAGACCTGGAATTGCCAACTGAAAAATGGGTATTCGCGTCAACGGTTCGGGCAGCCCGGCCATCCACTCGGAGCCCATGGCTGCAAAATTTGCATAAGCTTTTTAACACTTGGAAACCGACCTTACAGCCCAAAGCCTGGTTCAGAGAGAACAAAAATCAGCTGGACATTTATGCAAAAATTGCCAACCCAAATTTACAAAATACGGAAAATTCATCTCCTAGCACGCTCCAAAAATTCAGGGGGAGAAGAAAGAAGAGAGGGAGAAGGGGGGGAGGGGAAAGGAAGAAAAAGGGGAGGGAGAGAAAGAAAGAGAGAGAGAGAGAGAGAGAAAAAGAGAGAGAGAGAAAGAGAGAGAGAGAGAGAGAGAAAGAGAGAGAGAGAGAAGAGAAAGAGCGAGATGGAGAGAGCGAGGCAGGGAGAGATCGAGGTACTAATAAAACTCATGGAAAATCCTTTACCCTCAGAAAACCTTCAGAATTATTTTAGAAACTTGGGGGAGGGGGGAACGATCAAAGATAGTGACAAAATTGAAAAACCGTTTTGTAAAATTGGAAATTGAGAAAACTGTATAAGCTAAGTTCAGCAGATTAGCGGAAAAAGCTGGCATAAGAGTCTTCTCTACCACAATTCGTAATTTTATGACGTAATTATAAGATAAGTATCACGATAATTAAAAAGCTAGTGATTTCCAAAATTTTCTTGCTGAACTTTGATCCAAAATTCGTAGTGCTAAATGTAGTTTTGCGAATTTTCCTGCAGAACGGAGTCGGTGCAATAAGTAAAAAATCAATAGTCAATTCAAATGTTTATTATTGTTCAAAATATCGGTGGAAATATGGGTGGGCCGGGGCCATCCGCTGGGCTCGGCCCTCCCTCGTGCCCCTCCGCGTACTCGGCCACGAACCCCTAAAACGTGACCCTGTTTCTCTGCCTCTACTCGATTCCCGTGCTCTCTCGCCCTCCCTGCGCACTTTGCGAGTCCAAAAAGGCGCGCTGCGCCGTCAAAATATGCCATGAAACACCGGCAAAATAACAAGGGTTTTTGGTTAACAAGGTGCTTGGAAAATACAGAATTGTTTTTTGGATTGGAATATAGCTTTTTTACAGTGTTTTCAGATGTTTTTGGCACTCTGGCGGTACTTGCAAGTCTTTTAAATTGTGCAACTTTGCCGTTTTCATTTCGATCTGGCTCAAATTTTTATTATCGTTTTGGATAGCTAAAAACTATTTAAACAAAAAATTTCAGCGGAAAATACTGCGAAACAGCAAAATTGCCACAAGAAAAGCGCAAAAGAATCAATTTTTGGTGCATTTTTTCGTCATGACTATTTTATTTTATGGAATTCTGAAACCAATTTTATTGTGAACGTAGTTTTTGCTTCTCCCCATCTATGGCCAAAATTTGAACTTGGTCGAATACAAGGGCGCTTAAATATGAAGTAAATATAAGTTCACCTTTTCCTCGACGCTGTCATCCGTATGCAACATCAGCAACATTTCGCTGCCCGTGCTCACAATCTCCTCAGGCATCTGAAATTTGGGCTCTAAAGATTCACCCAGCTACCGGAAAAACGCCAAAATCCCGACAAGCCAAAATCGCGACAGCCAAAAGCCCGACACGCAAAATGGCTTTATAAAGGGAATGACATTCATTCTAGCGTTAAGAATATGTCTGCATTTCGGCTCTCGGCATTTTGCCTTTCAGTATTTCGGCTGTCGGCTTCGAGCCTGTCGGAAATCTGTATATCGTCATTTTTGCTGTTAAGATTATGACGACAAATTCCACCTACTGTATCGCCGCAAAAACGGCCGAATAATTTCTGTTCCTTGGCAACCGGACCGTCGTAAACTTCGACGTAGTCGTACTGGCACGCCGCGTCGGATTCGATGTGGAACGCGTGGAACTAAAGGGAAATGGATTTTACTGAGAATGCCGAAATGGCACAATCACGAAATTTCATAATATCCAAACAGATAATATCGAAATTCCTATTGCCGAAGTTCTAATGTCGGAACGTCATTTTGCGAAATGAAAAGTGACTGCGACCGTAAAAACTTACCTTCAACTTAACGCCCTTTCCATTTTTTGCCGTGATTTTCCAGTGACAATCGGAATTTGAGGGGTAGTTGTTGTCACTGAAAATAAAGGTGATAGAGACTGAAAGAGTCAGAGAGAGAGAGAGAGAGAGAGAGAAAGAGAGAGAAAGAGTGGGGAGCGACTGAGAAGAGGGCGAGAGAGAGTGTTTATACCTGTATGAAGCATGCGAATAAATATAGCCCGACGAGCGTTCGGCCGGCAGCTGGCCACCACATTCTAAAACCTCTGAAAAAAAATTTAACCCGCGATGTTTTACTGGAATTCGTGTAAATTCTGGTCGCCATCGCTTTAGAGTCATTTGGGACGCTCCCACCTGATTGATAAGTAGCGTGGAACCCTCTCCGGCTGACCGAGGCATCGGCCACAAAGCTGACGAACAGCTGGTTCGAGGAGGATACTGTAGTCGGGGGTACACTGCCGCCACAGAAGAGACCAAGGAGGGAGGATGAGGAGGAGGCTGTAGATCAGGGAATAGAGAGAGAGAGAGAGAGAGAGAGAGAGAGAGAGAGAGAGAGAAAATTACCTCCATCAAAAACCTCAAGTTTATCGTAAGTGCACAACGAGTGTTCCTCCAGCTCGAACGTCTCGAAGTCCTGAAAACGAAACCGATATCTGTGGAGGGATTAAAAACGCCCGAATCGACTACTTGGGTTTACTAGGTCTAGACAGCTGCGCGCTAGGCGCCAGTTTATGCAGACCCACCAGCGAAATTCGATGCCCAGGAGTCGTTAACACATGCCACGTGCAATTCTCGCCCTTTGGATACTCATTCGGGTGGTTGGGCGAGGTGATTTCGCCTGAAATTTTCTTGGGTCTAACCGGTTACGTCACCTAAAGCCCTACCTGACGGGTCGTTGAGCTCAAAGAAACAGCCGCCTTCCTTGCAGTTGTGCCCGTCGTCGGCGAGGACAAACCCGGGGTTGCAGCTGCACTTGTAGGTACCTGAAATTATAGTGTACACCTGCGGGTTGTTCATTTTGTAACCTACCAGAATACTTTAATCCTAAAAACCTACCAATCCTATTTTCGCAGACATGCTCACATCCGGCATTCTGATGCTGGCACTCGTCCAGGTCGGCGAAGAAGTTCATCGAAAAGCCGGAACGTTCGACGCTCCCGTCCGAGACGAACTCAAGGCGTACGAGGTTTGTCTCGGAGGTGAAGAGGAGGGGCTCGGCTGTAGAGCTTTTTCCGGTACTGGATTGTTAGCAGGGGGGCTAACAAAAATTTTACCCCCGCCTTTATACTTACATATTAATAAGTTACCGTGTATTTTTATAGTGTTTTTAGTAGTCTTTGATTGTCAGAAAGTTATACAAAAATCCTTCATACTTACCATACTCGCCGCACAGCTTGCTCCGCGCCCCAATCCGTACAAAGTCGTACGCGCACTCCGTTTTCATACCCTCCACGTTGAAGCGCGTGAAATTGATGAAGATCTGGAGGAGATTAAAGGGATGATGATCGCAGAATTTGATTTTTACGTGATATCCATCCGGGGCTTCGATTTCCCAGACGCAATGTTTGGCCGGAGGGTAGTGCTGCGGGAAATTCGGGCTTTGGATTGAGCCATTAGAGGCGTGGAGAAATCCGCCGCAAGTGCCTAAAAATAAAAATATCTGTCTCTCTCTCGCTCTCTCTCGCTCTCTGTCTCTCTCTGTGCCTCTCTCTATCACTAGCTCTATCTCTCTTTCTCGCTAGTTCGCTTACTTTCGCAAGTCCTCCCATCCTCCCGCAGGCTGAACCCGATCTCGCATTTGCATCTAAAAATTGAAAGTCGTTGAAAGTGGTAGTTAATACAATTGAAAACCCATTTCCATCGTTTTCGAAAAAAGCGATTCGAACTGCTTTTAAAGGCATCCGAAAGTAGCAGAATCGACCCCTCAGGCGGCTAGGTCTCGACAGCAACCAAATGACGACTGCACGCTCAGTCCCGCTAAAATTTTCTCCCGAGTTCAAATTTTAAGGGGCAACAAATAGGCTTTTTTGCGGCATTTGGCGCGCCGAGCGACGGTAGAGACCTAGAAGATGGAAGGGGCCGATCCTCGGTTTTTAGCGGGTTGTATTTAAGCTATGTACATTTCCCGTAAATTATACCTAAACCCGCCGACAGTATTCTCGCAAATATGTTCACAGGGATGGGTGCCGGAGTGGCACTCATCCAGCTCCTTCTGCCACTCCAACTCGAAACCGCCCTTCTGTACCGAGTTGTCGGATGTGAATCTAAAAAACGTACGGTAGGTATTAGTGTATTTTTGGTGTATCTTTCTACTGGAATAGGCTTCGCATTAGGCCAAAATTCCGCATTCTAAATAATGTACCCCTACCGTATTGTCACCACATTGCTGCTCCTGGAAATTATCGACTTGTCGGTGAGCTGACCGCAAAGATTGGCCAGAGGTTCGCCTAAAAATACGTTTTTTTACCTTTGGGTCGAAACACCCATAATTTTAACATTTATACGTCAGTTATGCGAACAAATTAGGGATCTAAAACTCTTTAAAAGCATACCAGCACCCTCTTTGGCTCCCTCCCAAATCACCAGCCGGTCGTAGATGCAGTCCTTATGCTGCTCTACCTGTAAGAAAATTTCACATGCAAAAGAGAAATTTTAGAAATCCAGTTTCCCAAATTTTCGCTGCTGGCCTGCCTTTCGTAATGCATGACTGCATGACTTGTGTTCGGTTTTCAAAGATTACGATACATTAAGACAATTCAAGCTTAAACATATTTAATACCATTTATATACCTGAAAAAAGTTGATTTTCAGCGCGACCTGATGCCCGGCTTCCACGTGGATTCGCCACAGGCAATCCGAGCCCGGCGTATACGGATCCGGGTACCTGAAAAATGTATTTATTTTGGTTTTACTACTGTGATTATACTTTGACTATAATGTGATTCCGAAAGCACAATTTTTAATTGCACTAATATACCCTCAAAAGTACCTAGGAGACTGCAAAACGCCGCTATCCTCGTAGATCGGCCCGCCGCAGACCGTGTGAAAGACAGCAAACGGGAAATTTGGCAGTAGAGAAGTCTAAAAAATACTTAGACGCTTTTAAGCTGATTTTAATTTTTATTTTATAGGTTTATAAACATTAAAATCTAAGGATTTGGTATAAATACGAAAAATTACGCTATTTTTACCTCAAAAACCCACCCTAAACTCCAAAAACAACCGATTTCCGCTGGAGACAACCGTTTTAAAGGTGATATCATCGCCGCAGAGTTTTTCTAAATGTTATATTAGTATTGTAAAAAATTATGTGCTGTATTTTAACGATCTTAAATTCGTAGAATACCTATCATTTTCGAATTCTTGTCATTCCCGTCATGGACGACGATCGAGTTGTCGATTTCCTCGTTACAGGGGCCAAGGGGCAGCTGCAATTTTTCGCTAACAGATTTACCTGTCGTAATCGGTTTTTTTCGGTACGTACTACAAAATATATTACAAATTCAAGATCGACCAGGCCTATAATTTGGAATTTTTAAAAATTAAATTTTTACAGTATTATATAGCTTATCTTGGTGTGAGAGCATGTGTATAATGTGTAGAAGTTTTTTTCTGATACGGATAGTATTTTTTAAAAATATTTTGAGTGTTTGTAGACCAATGTAAAGTGATTTTACAACTGCTAGGTTATGGGGCCAGGGCGGAGGGCACCGGGCTGATAGCCCCTCCCTCGCACCCCTCTCCGCTCGATGGGCGTGGCCTGGCGGTAGTGTGCTGACCCCCGCAGTCCAGGGGTCCCCGGTTCGACCCCTGCCCGGTGCAATGAAGAAAATACTAGAGTCTCAGAAACGACCATGTTCGAAAAACCAAAGCTCTTTACTCCTAGCACATCTTTTTGCGAGTTTTGTAGAAGTCGCCTTTTTCTTTTATAGTATTTTTGGATGTTAGTTGAGACGCTAAACGGTAATACTTCATTCCAAGTCAACCTTTAACACTTCTAGGGTCCATTAACTTTTACAATTTGTTTTAAACAAGCCATAAATCTGTTTAAGGCACTTTAGATAGTGTTTTGTTTCCCATACCTGTAAATCCTGCCCGGAAACGTTCAAAAATATCGTATTTCCCTCGGGGGCGATGATTCGCCAGGCACAGTACCCCTCGTGCGTCGGTGTCAATTCAGCTGTCTCCGAGAGAAACGTTTGACCACAAACTATAAAGATAGGCATGAAATATAATCTGCAATCCCCAACCCGGGCAATTATACAGCTTCTTCGTTTGTCTAATATCCCCTTCAGAGAGCTCGATGCGTTGCCCGATTTCGTGGCGGAAGCCTGAGGGAATGTTGTCTGTAGCTTTGCCAAAAAGAATTTTGACTCACTCGGCCGTGGCAGGATTGTATCGTGGAAGATCCCGCGCGAGAAAGTATCTCTGGCGTAGTGCATGACTTAAAAAAGTTTTTAATAGATACAGCAAGATTTTTGTTAATTTGTATGATTTTCAAGCTTACTTGACGCGAAATCGTACGGTTCCCCCAGCGAATCGACTTCGCCCGGTTTCGACTTCTCGAAATTGTAGTCTTGGCCTGAAATTGAGCCTAATTTTTCATTATTTTTGTATGACTCTTTCCTGCAATAATTTTAAGGTAACATTCACCCAAAAATTGTAAAATTGCGGTACACGCAGCACCCCAGACCTTGGGCTTTTAAGTGTTACTGTGGCTAGCGGGATACAACTACAAATTACACTTCTTAACACCCACCAGTTTCGATACTTTTGTAGAAAATGTCGACATATAAATCCCGATCTGGTCTCGTATGCTCGTGCCAGAATCCGACGACGTGCCCAAGTTCGTGAACCACTAAGTTCCGGAATTTTTAAATTTTTCGGCGATCCTGCTCACCTATGCCAAACTTGTCGCAATTCTTCCCTATGGAAATCGACTGCGGACCCTCGCCGCGTCGCCCGACGTATGAGCAGCACCTCAAAGTTGATTTTTAGGAATTTGGGGAGAATCGATTACATCATTTCAACGCTTCAATGCGTCCAATTTCTTACTGTGGGTTTTAGAATCATATTTCGAAAACAGCGGACCCACCTACCCACATTTATCGACGGTGAACACGATGTAATTCTTGTGGGCTCGAGTCCTCGGTACGAAGCTGATGCAAGTATGGTTCTCCCAATGTCGCATCGACTTCAGGAATAGGTTCTTGTGCTCGCCTAAAATTTATACGTCTGATTGACCGGAAAGACGTAAAAAATATCTAACAACCGGTTACGGCAGGAATACTTGCTTGTCCTGGTCCCTTTAAAATCACATACCCGAGAAATTGGATGAAATTATGTAAGGAACAACCCCATCGGGCCATTGTCGCTCTTTTTTCGCCGTCGCTGCTCGAATTTTCCGGCGGAATACAATGTCCGAACTGTCCGGAATCTCGCGCTTTTCACGATTGCTATCAGAATCCGATGCAAAACCGGCAAAATCATAGGGAATATAGTTTGTAGCTTCGTCACTTATGGTGAATTTGTAGGGAATAGCATCAGAAGTGGAAGAAGAAGAAGAAGTAGAAAATAAACCCGTAGCCAAAAATGAAAGCGGCAGTAGAAGGGAGAGCATAGTAAATCAGTTTTCTAGGGAGAACCGGCTACATCGAGCGACCGGACCTGAAATTTTTAAAAATAGTTTTTCTGAGCTAACGAATTAAAAAAAAACAAGTTTAAACGGAAGCTGGAAGCGTGGGGATCGACCCCTTCCTGCCACTAGGTCTTGACAAAGACCCGAGGCAAAAAACAGGAAAAATTTTGACAAAAACGAATTGGTCCCTTCTTGCCGTTTAAAAGGCAGGGAATTTTGGACAAAAAATATCGGATCTAACCCAACGAAGCAACGCTAACGAATTCGTAGGAATCGACCCCTTCTATCGACTAGGTCTAGACAGCTATGCGATACACCGAATTACGCGTCTAACTTCCATTTTTGCCAATATAATATTTCAAGGGTTTTTGGGATTTTTGAGCGCCATTTGATCGAGCATCGAAAATATACTACGAGCTTTAATTTCAGCTCAAAAATGTCAAACAAAATAGTTCTGGCAAAACCAAGATTTGAACTGAAAGATACGAAAATACGGTAAGCGGTAGCTTTGTAACCTAAATTGGAAAAAAACCGCAAAATCACTAAAATTGCCGGGCCAACCCCATAAATCCGGTGCGACCCAGACAAAAAGTCACGGACCCACGGCACCGGCTGGTCGTGTCCGGTCAGGGGCCACACATAAAACGGAAATCCCTTGGTGGGCCACGAATGGCAGAGAGAGAGAGAGAGAGAGAGAGAGAGAGAGAGAGAGAGACCATATGTTCGTCGAGGGTGTGGCCGAAGCAGTGAGGAGTTGAGTGATGGGATGGCTGTAACACAAAAGGGGACCGACACCTAGAGAGACCACTGCCTAAAGTCTTTGCACAAAAACTACCCGGTCTGGAGTGGCGGAAAAAGGTGTCAAAATTTTGTGGATGGTTAGGGGATTTGGAAGCGCCTTTATGAGCGACTTGTCAAATCCGAATCCTCGGCCCTCTTTTTCGGTTTGGTAATAGATGCCACTAAAAGCGGATAAAGCTATAATTTCGGGCTTCAGTAAGCACTTGAGGTTCTGTAGCATTATCGGGGGGGGGGGGGCTACTTTGGGAAAACGCCAAAATCGCAAGCTTCAAAATCTCAACGGCGATAATCCCGACAGCCGAAATCCCAACAGCCAAAATCCCGAAAGCCAAATCAGGGCAGCCAAATCCCGACAGCACAAATCCTGACAGCCAAAATCCCGACATCCAGAAACCCCAGTTATAGAAACCATTTATTGGGTGAAGCGACCGGAAATATCACCTTTTGGCTGTCTCGATTTTCGCCTGCCGGGATTTTCACTGTCGGGATTATGGCTGAAATTCGGCAACTTTTTTCTAAAGATCCTTTTTCTAAGCTAAACAGCGCTAGCGTTTCTACACTCTTTTGACTGCGTAAATTGATAATTATAATGTTGAATTAATTTGACGTTAACAAAAATATAATTTTGATTAAAAGATACAAAAAAAATCGCGATTTTACCACCAAGAATTGCCGATTTTCGACCAAACCGTCAACCAAAATTTTTTCAATATTTTGTTATTTTCATTGTTTTGATTGTTCCTGCACGTTTTTATTGTTTATCCAGTGAATTAAGCATCACGGCTTCCCGAGGTTCGGGAAAGTTTTGCTCAGATAGGCGTCGAGTCGGAGAAGGTTTTGCTCGCTGCAGAGGTAGAAGACTAAATGGTGATGCTTGAGAAGAATCGTTGCGCCATGCAAGGTGCCCCAAAAAAATAGACCCCCTCTCTGGCGGTTCGGAGAAAGCCCAAATCCGGATGATTTTTACACCATTCGAAAGCTCTCCAAAAAGGCGAGAAAACAAGCGCTTTTTGTTTGAAATTTTTTAATTGACGCTTGATATTAACCGATTTCTTAGAACAGCCTAAAAACAGTGTCGTCCTGGCTTTAGCAATCAATATACGTCACGGTTTTGCATCAAATTTTTAAGGGATTTTGATTCTAAAGATTGTGCATTAAAGTACCTATATTGAAAAACAAAAAAAAATCTAGTTTTTCGCCTTTACGAGAGCTGTCGATAGATACCTATCTTAAAAATACCTAGTAAATCTTAAAAATCGCAAACTTCTCAGGTCCGCTAGAGGGCGGTGGATTTTTTGTGGTACCCTGTGCACATCAAAATACTGGTGATTTACTGGCAACGGAAAAGCCCCCATAAATAGGGCATTTTCATAATGTTTTTAAGTAGTTTTTGAAAGCTAGAAACATCAATATGAAAAGGGAATCTCGAAAATTTTTACTTTTTTGCTCTTTTTTCAGATATTTTTGAGCAAAAGGCCACCTTCGAAAATTTTGCTAAATGTGTTATGAGTTTTACATGTCCCAAAAATACCCGGACACTCTTTAAAGCGATTTTTCTTTAGTTTTTCTAATTTTTTGGCACGTAGGGAAATTTTTCCTACTTTTTTTAATCGTTTTGAAAACAATGCCGTTGAAAAAACGGGGATAAGGAGCCCTATGTTTTATACGAATCCCAAGAACGTTACCAAAGTTTCTGACCTCTTGCAAACCGCCGCGCTAGAAATCAAACCTCCCACTGTTTTTATTCGACCTATCCTGGAATAAATTGTCCGTAGTATCTTCCGTCGTTGCTAGTTAACCTGTTTCGGTCGCTCAAGCAAGAACCGGACCGAATCTCAAAAAAGGGAAGCGAGAAAAGCACGATTTTTTTACCGAAGCTCTTCGGAAAATTTGTCGGCCGAAATGGTGTATTTTTTGGTCAAAAGCCAAGACCGATGCGTCAATTGCTGGTACGAATAATATCATACGCCCTAACCCCGGTTGTCCGGTATTTTTGGAACACCCTGTAGTAGATAAAAGCAGCTATATCTTGTTGCCCGGTCTACAGTCTGTACGTCCGTGTATACATCCGAGTCTACAGCGCTATTTTCCGTTGCCAAGGAACCGGTGAACACTGTACTTACAACCGATGATGGTCAGCTCCAAGGCGAGCAGAAAACGCAGCTGCTCCTTTCGCTCCTGAAAAGGTTACGTAATTAGTGAAGGCCTGTAAATCCAAATTTTGAATCGGAATCCGTAGCACCGACTCTTTTGGCGAAAATTCATACAAATCACGGATAAATTACAGAATTTCGAGGTTTTGGTGGAGATTGAGGAATTAGCTGGTAGTAAACTTAGGGTATATTTGCATTTAAACATGACGCTTTTTCGGCATTCTGATGGCAGCCTTATCCACCTGATCCTGCTTCGTCTCAAAGAATAATAGACCGATGGTGAGGGCAGCCTGGGCACCAAAAAGCAAGATGGTGACTCGACGCAGCCACTTGAAAGAACGAAGAAACTCTTCCTGAAAATTGAGTTTTTCTACCGAACTTGGGTAAGACTTTCATTAACTTTACCCCACCAGCCCCCCCCCCACCCGAAGGGTCTAAAAGTTTTCGGTATTTTCGCTTATTGTCGGGATTTTCGCGACGCCATTTGATAGAGCGTCGCAAAATATATTGAAAGTTTTAATTTGAGCCTACAATAATGCAAAATAAAAAAGTTATAGCGAAAAACTTCCGCTGGGGAGAGGGGTAAAATAAAAAGGTAGTCTCGAATGGTGTAGAAAACGCCCCAATCCAAGCTTTCTCCGGAGGGGTGAACACACGGTATGGTACACATAGGGTAGCGGGGGGGGGGGGGGGACACTCAAAGATTTTCATAATAAAAGTATCTTAATATGCTTTTTTCGGGCTTTAAAAAAGCTCTTATTGTTAGTATATTTTTGGACCCTCCATCGAAAAAAAATAGTGAAAATATGTCCCCCCCGTTATCCTCTGTGCTGCTCATAGTTTTCAAAAAATAATTTTTAAGCTGGAAAACTTTTATAATACATTTTTCGCATTTTAAAAACCTCTTAGAATATTTTTTGACGTCCTATCGATTGGCGTTTTTTGAAAATATCGAAAATCTCAAAAATTTGGCTTCATCCTTCCCCGCCATCCTATGTGGTGCCCATGGATTTTGATCAATTTTTGTTTATTCGATAAAAAATTTCATTTACATTATTTCGGGCTGAAATTAATTTTCCTAGGACAGTTTTCGACGCTCTATCGAATGACGTTTTCACGTTACCAGCAGGTAAAGAGCTAGAGAAAGAGAGAGAGGAGAGAGAGAGAGAGACAAAGAGGCAGAGAAGGCGAAAAATTAATTTTAATAAATTAAGTTTTTAATTAAATTAGTTAAATTAAATTATCTAAATCGTAAAAATCGAACACGATTGCGGAGCGCTAGGCAGGGGTTTTTTGTGACATCCTGTAAACATTACAAAAAGCGAGCATCATGGTTGGCGCCCATAGTTGAAAGATTACCCATGTTTCAGGCTCTTCGGCTTCGGCGAATGAAAACGGTTTCCAAGGAGTCGGAGGGAGGTATCTTCCCAGATAATCCATGAACCAGAGACAATTTTCCTCGCTGAGCAGGCAAAAAACTAAATTGTGATGCTTGAAAAGAAATGTTGGGCCATACACACCGGAACACTCGTTTCACGGGCAACCGAAGAGCCCCCAAATCACAATAAAAATTGGAGAAAGATTCTTCTAGTTTCTTATTTGCGATATTTGTTTCGGAAATTAAACACTACAAAAAACGGACCAGGAATAATTTTTTTTGAACCTAAATATCAGTTTTTGTTGCATTTGTTTAGAACAGCTAATTTTACGTTCAATTCTTCTCTTGATGTATCGACATAGAAAACGCTTTGTGGAAGGACTCGAATTTTGCAGCTTTCAGAAAAAAAAACAAAGCTACGTTTTTAGTGGCAATGGATTTTCCGTACGAGACCAAGCCCACCTTGTGTTGAAGGTTGCGCTGATTCCGAACCTGTTTTCAAAGCTGCGAAAAATCAGATTCAAAAAGTTATGGAGCTTCTCAGGGCGGAAAAGGAACAGTTTTGCCAAATTTGAGCCATTTTTGGGGGTCTATTTCGCATCTAAAACCGACATAACTTTTTGAAACAGATCGTTTCGCAGATTTTGAGACTAGGTTCGGGATCAGCGCAAGATTCTGCACAAGATTGGCTTGGCCCCGTACGGAAACTCTACAAAATGGCTTCTAAAATAGCGCATATGGCATATTTCTGCGCCGAGTTAGTGGAGGGTGTTATTTTATTAGGACACTCTGTATACCCAGTATACACGGTGGCTTCCCTTCGCCAGAGAAACGGTGAATCCACTTACAACCGATGATGGTCAGCTCCAAGGCGAGCAGAAAACGCAGCTGCTCCTTTCGCTCCTGAAAAAGTTATGTAATTAGTGAAGGCTTGTAAATCCAAATCTTGAGTCGGAATCCGTAGCACCGACTCTTTTGGCCAAAATTCATACAAATTACGGATAAATTACAGAATTTCGAAGTTTTGGTGGCGCGGGAGGAATTCGTTGGTGGTATACTTACAAGGAGACGTTTTTAAGCGGGCACGGAGTTTCGGAACGGGACCTAGCCTATCTTGTGCAGAATTTTTTGCTGATTAAAACGTACTTTGTAGACTTTGCGAAACGCCCGGAAAACCAAAGTTATGAGGGTTTAAAGTGTGGAAAAGGGCCAAAATGGCCTACTTTCGGCACCTATCAAATATAGCAGATTAAGTTTCCACGAAAACTAATTAGTGCATCTTGCTCAGAAAATTACGCTCTTTCGAATGCACCATGTCACGCGGAAATTTCAAAATTGGTCAAATTGCTGAAATTTCACATGGGGGACCATGTCGTCAAAATTAATCTTTTTGAAAAAATCTTCGAACTTGTTTTATGAGATGGCTGATTCGAAAGAGCGTGATTTTCTGAGCAAGATGCACTAATTAGTTTTCGTGGAAACTTAATCTGCTATATTCCAGACATGGCAATTTCGGTCGGCCGGCCGCGGCCGACCGGCCGACGGCCGCATTTGCATAAGAAATCGGCCGTTTCCGGGCCGCCGACTCTATGCGAATGACTTCCGGTCGGCCGATCGGCCGGCCGACTTTTTTGGTCGGCTCGGCCGCGGCCGCGTCGGCCGGCCGACAATTCACACTTGAGAAAAAGTTACAGAAACGTGTCGCTGGCGCCTCTAAATTTTGAATAAATAAGGAATGGGTTTGGGCATTGGTTTTCACTATTCCCTTTTCACTATTTCACTATAGCCTGCCTACCAAATTTTAATTAAAAATCTTTATTTTATGTGCGGAAAGCGTGCTTTTTCTGTCACCCCGAATTTTTTTGGAATGCTGCCAGCTTCAAATAGAATTCATTTTTGTAGTTTCAAGTAACGCAAAAATTTAGTCAAGGTGTTTCTATGACGAGTGGGCCTTTAGTTTCCTGAAACTTTTTTTTTAATTGAATCGTTTTGCGGCGTTGAAGCAATTAGTGATGATAAAGCAAGGCAACAGCCACGCCAAATCCGTTGTAATCACGTCTAACCCTAGACCGTTGCAACCCCATTATTTAACTAATTTCCCCAGTCTAAACATTTTTGGCCAAGTAAATCCCTTCATTAGCATCCAAAAATCTAATTTGGTTGCGGGTTTTCGGCCGTTTCCGGGCCGCGCGGCCGGCCGCATTCTATCTTTTCGGCCGAAAAAGCCGATCGGCCGGCCGATTTGCCATGTCTGCTATATTCTATAGGTGCCGAAAGTAGGCCATTTTGGGCCTTTTTCACACTTTAAACCCTCATAACTTTGGTTTTCCGGGCGTTTCGCAAAGTCTACAAAGTACGTTTTAATCAGCAAAAAATTCTGCACAAGATAGGCTAGGTCCCGTTCCGAAACTCCGTGCCCACCTAAAAACGTTTCCTTGTTAGATATATTGGCATTTCGAAATGACAATTTTTCGGCATTCTGATGGCCACCTTATCCACCTGATCCTGCTTCGTCTCAAAGAATAATAGACCGATGGTGAGGGCAGCCTGGGCACCAAAAACCAAGATGGTGACTGTACGCGGCCACCCAGAAAGAAGGATTTCCGGCCCATCGTCTGCTTCGACTGTTTGGTTTTGTGGCGGAATCTGAAAAAAGCAGCGTCGTGTGCCGGGTGTTGGCATTTTTAAGCCTCGAAAAACGTTCGTTTTCGTGGGGGGAAATCGCTGAAATTCAACTAAAAAACTACCTGTGCTTTCACATCTCGAATGACAAATGGCAGTGGATAAGTATTAATTTCCTGGCTCCTGCGAGGCTTCAGAAATTTTTTTAAAGATTCGATAAGGGCCATGACGCGTCCTGTAAAAGAATTTAATATCATAATTATGAAAAAGCTATGATATGACAGGGAAGACATGTGCTAGCAGATGGGCCCTCGGGCTAGCGCTTGGGGGTGCGTGTGCTTGTCTAATTCTCTCTTTTAGGGTGCACGCTAGTGACCTAGCGAGCTAGCGTGGTCTCGGGAAGAGGAAGGCAATCTTCTCTCTCTCTCTCTCTCTCTCTCTCTCTCTCTCTCTCTCTTTCTCTCCGCCCTTGCTCCTCCCTTCTCCCTTCCTGTCCCTCCTCCTCTCACTCTCTCACTCTCTCTTTCTCTCTCTCTCCTCTCTTTCTCTCCTCTCTTTCTCTTTCTCTTTCTTTCCATCTCTCTCTCATTCGTACACTCTTGCTTGCTCCCTTTCTTTCTCGCACTCTCGCTTCTTTTTCGTGATTTTCTCGACACCGCTCGAAGAGCAACGAAAACTACACAAAGGATTTTTATGGCAGCCCGAAATACTGTCATCGAACATATTTATAGAAAATACAAAATGAAATACAAATACAATCAAATGTGGTCAAAAAGCCAGCTTGGGAATTTACGCTATTTTGTCGAAATTTTTACTATTTCATTCATCAAAAAATATAATAGCTGTTTTAATTTTAGCTAAAAATAATGCAAAGATATACGAAAAGTTTTAATTTCAGCTAAAAATTCAAAATTTTGCCTTCAAAGCATTTTCTTGTCCTAATACCTTGGAAGTATCTGAATTAGTGTAAGATTTATTGAGTTACTATACAAAGTTTAAATAATTATCAATTGTGCTTTCTAGTTCTGGGGCTTCTTCACATTGAATGCGGTTCCGCCGAGCTTCTCCGGTTCCTTGACGTTGTTAAACACCGATCCGCCGAGCTTCTCCGGCTCCTTGACGTTGTTGAAGGCGGATCCGCCGAGTTTCTCCGGTTGCTGCACGTTGTTGAAGGCGGCGCCACCGAGCACTTCCACGCAGTTGTAGGCATCGCCCTGAAAATTTTATTTGTTTCGATTTTTAGAATTTTTAGTGTATTAACCACGCTTCGCGACTTTTCAACCCTGGCCCCGTCTAAACCCTTGATATATTACATTTGCATCAGTCTCCCGAGTTCCGATGACAAAAAAAAATGAAAATCGCTCCCTCTGCCCTTTTTATAGGCTGCCGTCACTTCCGGTGGATGCTAATTTTCCCTAACAAAGAGGGTGCCCGAATTTTAACAAAAACCGAATTTTAATGTCGAAAACATTTGATTTTTCAAAATCTGATATGTGTGCAGTCATCTTGAGACCATTACGCACCTAATGACGTATCAAACACACCCCTAACTTCCTTCCTTATGGAGATACGACTGGAACACGGTGACGGAAGTTGCATGCAAATGCACACACCACCTTGTTTTTATATATGTGGTTTATGGATCTTTTGTACATATTGCATACCCCCGATACTTCCAATAAAATTGGCTAGCGAGTGAAACTTCAAAATATCGTTACTGACCACTCCCTTGATACAATGCTCCCCGGCCTGGCAGTCCTTGTTGTTCTTCTCGCCGTTCTTGATATCGCATTTCTACAAGGATAAAAATAGGCGGAAATACGCTTTAAAATACACTTTTAATATGCATTATGCTTCTTAATTTCTCAAAATTGTTAAGTTACAAATATTAGCATATTTGGTACTTTAAGTTCGTTATAAATATGCTTAAACATCGCATAAAACTTATCATTTTGAACCTGGCTACCTTCCTAAAATCGACTTATTGCTTCTATCATTTATATATGTTATTGTATTGTAGTATTACTTAATTAAAGGGCTTATTACTCTACCATAACTTACCTTGGCAACAGCCATCACAACCAGGAAGAAGAAGAAGCAAATGAGGATGGAGAGCTTCATGAGTTCTACAAAATTCTAGAAAAATTTCGAACAAGAGTCGATCCAAAATTTTATATTTTTCCAGAATTTACAATTTTTAAGTACTTCCGATCCAGAGTTTTGTGATAAAATGAGGCGCAAATAGCCCATTTATAGTCGATTTTCAATCCGGAAGTTTCTGTCGGCCCAAATAAACAAAAATCGTGGCAACCGGGAGCACCGAAACTTGACCCCGGCCCAATTTTTCCGGCCGATTTGTGACCGCGACAGCTCGGTCTTGATCGTTTGGTGGAAAGAAATGGAAAAACGGGGCGGATCGGCTTTTTAGGGTGAAACGATAGAAGATAAATCCCGTATCCAGGGACGAAAAACTGTACATTTTTGATAGGCCTTGATCTAACTCGGTCACTCACTCAGTCTCTCTCTCTCTCTCTCTCTCTCTCCCTCTCTCTCTCTCTCTCTCTCTCTCTCTCGCTCTCGCTCCCTCTTTCCGTATGTCTCTGGCTCTCACAACGTATTTTGCAGTCGGGATACGTTACGCAACTGCGCTACCGCGCCGCGTAGCGTGTCGCATGCACGATCCATGCAGGAAATCCATAGCGAAACCTTGTCAGTCCCTTTAGTGCCATCAATAAATGATCAAACACCAACAAACCAAAATTCAAGCAAATCATGCTAGTGAAAGCAGCGATAAAAGCCAAACACCAGGCTTTTTCGTGGCCGTGCCACAACAAGAAAAAAGCTCTCGAAAAGCGCGTGCAGGTGTTTTTTTTCTAATTAGGAAAAAAGCACCCGAGCTCAGGGTTCCTTACTTTTTTCCGGGGTCTAAAATGGACCTGTTGCTCGATTATTTCGCAAATCCGTACTTTGACATTGTCCTAATATACCACTACCTTGGGATCGTGACGTTCATCTTTAATTTCGGCGGTATCTGGGTGGTGTGGACGAAATCGGAGAAGAGTCTCGGTGCATACAAGTATCATCTTGTTTTTCATATGGTATGTTGAAAGCCGGGCTCAAAAAGCCTAAGCTCACCTTAAGTTAGCCAAGCCTAAGCCTAAGCCAAGCCTAAACCAAGCTTAAGCCAAGTCTAAGCCATGTCTAAGCCATGCCTCAGCCAGGCCTAAGCCAAGTCTCAGCCAAGCCTAAGCCAAGCCAAATCCAAGCCAAAAATTTGTAGTTTGTTGCCCTGGTATGGGACCTGACGATGTGCTTCATCGTCTGCCCAAGAATTCTAACGCCGTATTGTGGGGGAACGACGCACGGGTTTTTAACGGCACTTGGCGTGGAGACTTACTATCAACAGGTAAAGAGCGAGAGAAAGAGTGAGAGAGAGAGCAAACGAGAGAGAGAGAGGGCGAGAGAGAGACAGGAAGGGGACTTTGGTTCCGTTTTTATTTTTATGCTCATTTTCAGTGGTGGGCTTTCATCTGGCTGGCGGTAGTCCTGTCAAGTTGCGTCCAATTAGCGTGGTACCGTTCGAATACTTTACTATTGCCCGGGTCACGCTACAAAATGAGCACCAGAGCCTTTTATATAACGCTGAGTATGATGTACGTGATACCGGTTGGGCTCAGAATTGCCGTCGGGATTATCGCGGAATTGGAATTTCCGGGCGGGTTAACGGCGAGGATTATTTTAGATGTAAGTAGTAAGTCGTAGCTCTCTGTCTATTGCTTGCTCTCCCTCTCTCTCTCTCTCTCTCGCTCTATCTCTCTCTAGCTCTCGCTTTCTCCCTATCTCTCGCCCTCTCTTTCTTACTGGCGCTCTCTCGCTTTCTTTTTTGCATAGCGTAACCTGTTGTTAGCGTAGCCAATTATTTCTGCATTTGCTTTCCGCGCCATTATTTGTTTAGGCGAACCCGCAATTCCTGACCCTGTATGAACCTACTTCCTATAACACGGCCTACGTGATGGATTTCAACAAACCGTGGAGTCTAATAAGCGGACTCATGCTCCTGGTCAAATTTAATATTTATACAACACTTATGATTATCCCATGCGTATCCATGTCCATTCAAATATCCTCAAAATTGATTTCTATTCGACAGGCTGAGAATATACGCCGATTTCTGACGGGAGTAATGCTTCAGGTGGCTCCAAATCGTAAATCGCCAAAATGGTCCCATAATTTGGAGCCAGCCAGGATTTTGCACCGTTCCGTCCAGGTTTCTCCTTTTAACCCTGAATTACTCAGTTCTTTTGCATTATCGGGGGGTGTTTGTTTTCTAAGCCGCCATATCAGCCCAATCACGGCAAGTAAGCTTTTTGACTGGCCACTTTTTAGTAACTTTCGCCTAGGGTTTTCAGTGGGAAAAATCAAGATAATTTTGATCGAAGAATCCTTGTAAATTTTTTTTAGCAACAAGAAATATGCCATACATTTGAACACTATTTGTATTCGGGCGCCAATTCTTTTAGGGCTGTAAATAGACGGTCTAATACCCCCCCCCCCGGTAACGCGAAAGATCTTCCAGGTTATAAGTAACTGAAAAACCTTTCTAGATCGCGCCCACTATGATCTGCTACGTCCTGCCATTAGCCTGGATGTTATCAGCGATCATGTTCAATATCTGGGTTCCCCTGAATCAGGGTAATTCCTGCTAGATTACGGTAGAAAGAGCAATTTTTAGTTTTCTCCGACGTGGCCTGTATCGGGATGGCCTGTCAGAGCACAGCCTGCATCAGCTCCGCGATTTTTTTAAACCGGGGCTCCAGAAATTACCTAAAAGCCGCCTGGCAGCGGATAGGTACCGCGGATTTTCCTTTTTTAAATTTTAATAAAATAATTAAATTTGTTTTAATTAAAAACAAGCTAAATTTAATTTAATTTAATTAAATTTAGTGCAATTTAGTAAAGCACAAAGTCGTGGAATATCGCGCCCGCATCGTGACGGTCACCGAGCTAGGCAGTCAACACGTCGTGTGCCGTAAATGACGAAAATTAATATAAATTCTGCCGTCGCCCGACCGCCGGGTTCACCGCCGCGACCCCCAAATCGTAGCTGGGTGTTTCACCGGCCCCGTTTCCCTTTCCCCCGGCTGCCCGCTGTTTTATCTTTTTGCAAAATTTTGCAAATAAGCTGACGGTTTGGCGTTATCCGGGGGCTATTTTTTGTCCAAACGCAAAAACGCCTAGCACGTAATAATGCTGGTAGTGGTTGAATAAAAATGACTATATTTCAAGCACAAAAACGATCTACAAAACTGATTTCCTAAAACTCGAAATTTTGCTCGAAAACTCGCGATTTTTGGTGCTTTTTTTATGAAAATATGTGAAAAATTTGCGCGCTGACGATATATAAACGGAATTTATATTTTTATTAGAAAAAGCGGACACTAAAGAAAGAACTACCACTATAATTTACGACCATTACATGTGATAAATATTGAAAAAGAAGCGGATTCGAGGCTTTTTTCTTCCATTAAACTTTGATCCACGAAATCGGTAAAATTTTGCAGCAAGAAATCTATGAATTACGGGGCTTACTCATTGGCCGTGCTGATAAGACGGAAAAACAACATTCGATCGCGGCGCCTTGCTCTTTTCCCAAAGTATTATCCTTTTATCTTCCTTTCTAAACCTTTAAATATAACATTAAAACATAACATAAACATGATAAGAACATCAACTTTTTCTGAAAGACAAAAGACTGCTGATATACCTTTTAAACGATCTTCTCAATGTAGTTTTCTTGCGCTTTTTACCTCACCAGCTTCAAAAACCGTTTGAAGCTAATTTTAAACTACCTTCTATAGGCTTTTCGGAGTCGTTTTTTTTAAAAGCTTCAGAAACTATTTGAAAAGGTTTTTAAGCTTTCTTCTAAAGCAAAAATGTACTTTTCCCTCAAAATCATGTCGACCAAATGGTTTTGTTTCAGGCCATAGCTCGCGGGAAATCGATTTTTCGACCCAAAATCACCAAAATTGCGACTTTTTCAAACTTTGTTTGAATTTTTGCTTCGATTATAGTTAAAGGGTATTCACCAATAAAAAAAAAAATCCCGACGAACCCTCTTGTCCTCGCCTCCCCCCCCAACTCTAATAGCTGCCGTAAGGGGGACGTCGGGGCACGTGCCTACGTCCATAGTCCCATGGTACCAGCCCAACCAAAAGTAACACTAAAACTTACTAAAAACAGTGTAAAACACCTTTGATTTAATTAAACAAAGCATGAAAAAACCACTTTTGATTTGATTTGATTTGCTAACATCCTGGAATAAGACTTTTCTCCCCCTGCGAACATTCAAGAACTAATTTTTCAATTTCAGGTGTTCAACGATGCTGACGAAGCTCTTCAACTGCCCCTTCTGCGAGGAGCCGTTCGATTGCCACGCGGGAGAAGCACGAATTCCCGTCAATTCGACGACTTTTGGCACGATTTGCTGCCGAATGTGCGATGATGATAGTGCCGAGTCCGTGCCCCAGCGAGGTCTGATGGAATTCCTCGATCAGCCGGCGTTCAAGCGAATTTTCGTCGCCTACGAGTATCGATCGCCGCTCAACGATCCACGATGCCTCGGCTGCCACAACGCGATTACCGGGCCGAACGGATGGCTGGCCGTCCCGGCTGAATGTGGACATTATCTTTGCGGACGATGCGAGGACCGGCGTTTGGATAAAGAGACGTTGTTCTGCCACCAATGCTCAATTTCCGTCTACGGAACGGCCACGCGCGCTGCTGACGCCGCGCTCGCGCTTTTCTCGCAAATTCTGGCCCGAGATGCCTACATCCAGGAAGCGCAATCCCAACTCGACGCTAAGAACTCGGTCCTGAGGGCGAAATGGGAGGCGGAAAGGGCTCTGATCAAGGCGAAAAGCGGGCAAAAGAAGCAAACAGTCGTGGCAGGGTCAGTCTTTTGGAGCTGCGCAGATTGCCGCAGCGAACGGCCGGTGGAACGTCTTTACAAATGCAAAAATTGCGAATCAATCCACTGCGGCGATTGCTCCTTCGATTACCATCGCGAGCATTTGGTCGATAAGCTGCTCGGCGTCGAGCTCGACAAACTGGAAAAGGAAAACGACAAAAAGTACACGGATATCGTCAAGGGCCTCGACGGCATCCTGCAATACGTCCAGAAAAACGTGAATGAGGCCGTGCTGATGGTGCTGGATGCGGGCAAGAAGCGCTTGGCCCAGGTCAAGGCATGTAAGCGGTACGATGAAGCCCAGAATATCGTTTCGGCGGTCGACAACGCCACCGAGGGTTTTGAGGGGCGCTGTGAGGCCTACATTCCTGTCGCTCGTGAATTGGCCACTGGATTGGCAGAGCTGGGCGAGGAATTGTTGCCGAACAGAAGCACACTGCCATAAAATTGCGCCTGTTTCTCGTTTTTTGTGTGTTTTTTTATTATGGGATAAACTTTATTGGACCTATGCTTTTTATTTTTTCAGATGAAAAAGCCTATAATCTGCTTGAATTTCCTTTTTCTATTCAAATTCGGATCTGGAAAATTTTGAAAATTCGCAAATTTGACATTTTCTGGGCCTTTTCTTAGATTTTTGACCAAAAAGTCACAAATTTTCGAAAATTTTCATGATGTAAAATGCTATAAAAACGGTTAATATTTCGTTATCTATCCGTGCGTCTTTTTTTGGTGGATTTTCTCCATTTCTGTGCTGCTTTGGCTAACATTCATATTAATTCCATTTTTTGCAGGTGATCAACGATGCTGACGACGCTCTTCAACTGCTCCTACTGCAGGGCGCCGCTCGATTGCAAGCCGGGAATGCCAAGGAGCCCCGTCTACTCGCCGCCCCTCGCTTGCTGTTGGTCATGCGCATCAAGCGCCGAGAAATCCATCGAACGGGGTCTGATGGAATTCCTCGATCAGCCTGGCTTCCGAAAAACGATCCATGGCTACGAGTGGGAACCGCGCATCAAAATTCCGCAGTGTAGCCGTTGTCGCAATACCATCACCGCCGTCAATGAATGGGCTGCAGTTCCGGGCACTTGCGGGCACTATCTTTGCAAAGGTAAGCCACAAAAATTTTCGGATAAATGACTATTACGCTCTGTTTTCTTTCGCATTTCGGGGGAAACCGAACTTTTTTGCTTAAGTCTAGAAATGTCTTCAATATCAAGCGTTTTAGTACAAAATAGCGATATTTCAACTAGAACAACTTTTGAAAAGCTGACATCTTGGTCGAAAAATCTATATTTTTCATAAAAGCGTTTTTCTATATTCGTTTTGACGTTTTCACTAAAACCATTTAGAAACACTTTCACTACTGATATTTGAAAATTAGGTTTTTAGAAAAAATGAGGCCCCCCCCTTGATAATGCGAAAGAAGCCGCTCTGTTTAGAATGCGACGTGAAACGGCGGTCGAAGGGAAACTGGCACTGCACAATTTGCAAGAAGAAATTGGAGGATGCTGGAACACATTCGCACGATCATAAGCTGGCAAGCTTCCTGCAGACCTACGCGCAGGTGCTCAATCAGTTGCCCGGCAATTTCTGGGAATTGCTGGCCGCCGCCACCGACGAGGTTAAAAAGCTGCGGGCCGAGCGCGAAAAGGAAAAGTATGAGCTCGAGTTGCTGGGAACAAAGCTGCAGCTAGCTTCACTGCAAATTAGCATGGAGCATTGTAAGCATTGTTCGAAATGCGGAGGCGAACGCCCGGTCGAACGGCTCTACAAATGCCAAGATTGTCAGACGATCAACTGCGCCGAGTGCTCCTTCGATTTCCACCGTGAACATGCCGTCGACAAACTGCTCGGCATCGAACTCGACAAATTGGAGAAGGAAAACGGCGCGAAATACAGCGCCATTCTCGGAGGGCTGCACGGCAATCTGCAACATGTTCAGCAGAATGTGAACGACGCCGTGATGATGGTATTGGGCGCCGGCAAGCAGCGTTTGGCGCGCATGAGGGCCTGCTCACGATACGCCGATGCGCAGAATATCGTTTCGATCGTCGACAGGGCCACCAACGATTTCGAGAAGCATTGCGAGGTCTACATTCCGGTTGCTCGCGAATTGGCCACCCAACTGAGGGAACTCGGCGAGGAATTGTTGAAGGAGGAAGGAGAAGAAGAATCCTCCGGAATTTCCGATTAGAATCGACATATTCTAAATTGTTATTTGTTATGTTGATTGTTGAATTAAACACATGTCCCCGGCTTTCAATAAAAGTTTAAAACTAAAACTGGTGAAAAAGAATATAAAATTCAATGAATGAATCGAACAACCTATTTTGGCGTGTAATATCTATCCGTGCCTCTTATTCTCGTCAATTTCGTCCTTTTTCTTTGCAGCTTTGGATACAATTCAGATTAACTCCATCTTTTCAGGAGATCGACGATGCTGCGGCAACTTCGAGCCGCGCGACAATTTCGAGAAGCGCCATGAGATCTACGTCCCGGTTGCTCGCGAATTGGCGCCTCATTTGACGGAACTCGGTGAGGAACTGTTGAATGAGGGCGAAAAAGAAAAAGAACGGTAAGTAGTCATTTCCAACCAAAATTGGGTTCTTTCGCATTTTCGGGGTTTAGAGTTTTTTGTTTTTAGCAAAAAAATTTTTAGGTTTGGGATAGTTTTTCTAGTGTAAATATAATTACATATTACTAAAAACGCTATTAAAACACTGTCTATGAACTTACTAGGCCATTCTAGACTTCTATAAAAAGTTGCCCCCGGAAATGCGAAAGAACCCAGAATTGAAGCTATTGTATGTACATATTTTTGCGTTTTGCACGCTGAATAAAAGTTGTTTTCATTTTTTGCGACATATAATATATAATGACCTATAATGGATGTGAGTTGCTATCAGAACATCGAAACTCATGGTGCCGATTTCAGAATGCCGATTTTTTGCATAGTATTTGGGTTTTTCGGGCCGAATTCTTTTCTTAACATTCCAGAATCGCTTTGTAACATAATATGAAGAATTTTAATAGTTTTTTTGCTATAATTTAACTATATTTCAAGTAGAAAAACGTTAAAAAATGTCTTAGTTGAAATTTTTGACGAAAATGAGCCATTTTGGACCGCAAAATCTGCAACTTTTGTCGAAACGAAACCATTTTGGCCCGCAAATAATTTTGTATTCGTATATAGGAATTGTAAAGTGCATTGAAAAATAGTAAAAAAAGTTGCAAAACATTTGATCTTTTTCTATTAGAAAAATTGGCTTCTTAGAAAAAAAGGGTTCACGCCGATGTTGTAGAAGGAGCGTAAATTTCGGCATTATGGAATTGCGACATTATGAAAATTCGGCATTTGAAAATAACCACTCTATGGTAGTTTTTTTAAAAAGAAACACATGCCCCTCTTGCTTTAGAGTAATCAACGCGCTGAGGGCAACGAACCGCCCGAAAAAACGTGCCGGCAGCCAGGTGTTTCAACTAGCAATACACACACATGGTGTCATTCCGAGGTTCCGCACCTTTTGTAAGCCCCAAATGGATCCGGCAATCGATTATTTTTCGAATGTATATTTCGATATTGTGTTGATCTACCATTGCGTCGGGCCGCTGACGTTCCTTTTCAACCTGTGCGGTATCTGGGTAGTGTGGACGAAATCAGAGAAGAATCTTGGGGCCTATAAATATCACCTCGTGTTTCATATGGTCGGTCATTACCAGACCAGGCTTGGCTTTGGCTTAGCTTAAGCTTGGCAAGCTTGGCTTACAAGGGAACCACCTAAGGTCGAGGTGGCGTTTCGTTATGGGACCAGGGACGTAGCGTAATACCGGCCCCGGGGGCCCGGCCCCCCGAAATCGGCCGGTATTTTGTGTAGAATTTTTTGCTGATTCGGAACCCGCTTTCAATTTTTGCTAAATAACCCAATTTAAAAAGTTATAGCGATTTTAAGGTCATATTTGAGCCCGCGGGAAGTCATCTGTCACGATGCCCAACTTTTCTATTTTAATAGGACAGTCGATTTTTAAAAGACTATTTTGTAGAGAATTTTTTCTGATTCGATTGGTATATTTCATTAGTGCGCTACTACCTATCGACGATCACTTACAAAATGGAAATGGAAAGGTGTGAAATAGGCAGTTTTTCACCATTTCCCATACAAAAAACGGAGTCCATACCAAGTATCGTCGATTTTTTCAATTTTCAACAATTTTGAGTTAAATAGTTCATTCGATAGAGAAAATTTTTCTGATTACGATGGCGATATTTGTTTTTGAGGAACCGGCCGGGAAAGGCAAGATAAATGACTTTGAAGTTCAAAAATTTGGTGAAAAATGGCACTTTGAAACGCTATAACTTTTTAAATTTGGCTATTTAGCAAAAAAATGAAAGCGGGTTCGGAATCAGCAAAAAATTCTGCACAAAATCAGCTGGGTTCCATAACGAAACGCCACCTTGACCTTACTAGGGAATGTTTTCGGGCGGACATCGGACCCAGCTATGTGAGTATGTGCATCTTGTAGAGCTCGACGAGACGAATCGATTGATGTAACTTTTAGCTGCGGATACCTCTTTTTAATAAAGTTACAGCCGTTTAAAGTTCTTCGCGATACCTTCATAAGCCCTCCCCACACCCCAATCGCCGTGCTCTGGTAGTCTAGTGGGTTAGTGGTCGGCGTGTGGGGATGGTACCGGGGGTACGGATCCGCTCACGATTTTTATTTTTTGCTTTTTGGTCGAAAGCTTCTATTTTGCATCCCGAAGGACTACATTAACTTTTTTTTCAATTTGCTAATCATATCATACCAGCGGGGGAGGAGCCGCTTCGCGACTCTCCCCCGCTGGACCCCGTCTAGGCTCTATGAATCGAGCGCCCTTCCACATAAAGTTACCCTGAAGAAGGAAAACGACCTCTCATGCAAACTTCTTTGTATTGGTATGCGGCACACGCTTGAACTGCTAGTCTCGTTATTAGGGCTGCGGCGCATGTTTGATCGGCTAGGTCGAGACCTCATCCTGCCAACCCAAGCTTGAGGGATTAGCTTCCTTTTTTGGCCTGCGGCGCCAGCTTGAGCGGTTTGCTTCAAGATAAAGCCTGCGGCGCTAGCTTGTGCGGCTAGCTTCGTTCTAAAGCCTGCGGCGCTAGATTGTGCGGCTAGCTTCGTTCTAAATCCTGCGGCGCTAGCTTGTGCGGCTAGCTTCGTTCTAAAGCCTGCGGCGCTAGATTGTGCGGCTAGCTTCGTTCTAAATCCTGCGGCGCTAGCTTGTGCGGCTAGCTTCGTTCTAAATCCTGCGGCGCTAGCTTGTGCGGCTAGCTTCGTTCTAAAGCCTGCGGCGCTAGATTGTGCGGCTAGCTTCGTTCTAAAGCCTGCGGCGCTAGATTGTGCGGCTAGCTTCGTTCTAAAGCCTGCGGCGCTAGATTGTGCGGCTAGCTTCGTTCTAAATCCTGCGGCGCTAGATTGTGCGGCTAGCTTCGTTCTAAATCCTGCGGCGGAAGCTTGAGCGGTTACCTCCTTCTTTAAGCCTGCGGCGCTAGCTTGTGCGGCTAGCTTCGTTTTAAAGCCTGCCGCGCTAGCTAGTGCGGCTAGCTTCGTTCGAAAGCCTGCGGCGCTAGTTTGAGAGGGCAGCTTCATAATCTGTCCCTACATGGAAATCTACTCCGAAGCGCACTTTCCGAGCAAAAAGCAAAACAACTACGTTATCCGAAGATCGAACCTCCGATGGTTGGATTAGCACGGCAAAGCGCTAACCACTACACCATGCAATGCTTGGCAGCACGCGCCAAAAACCCCTTTTGGGCATTGCCCGGGGCAGGGGAAGTAAAAGCATCGAGAGACAGATCCAAAGAGACGACCAAACTCGCGTGTGCAACTGGCAAGAATGAGGAAATTTGTATTTTTTCACATTATGCAAATTAGCCCGCCCGGACCCCCAAAAATCAATAAAACCGGCCTAAACTTTGTAAACTTGTATTTTATCGGGATTCTGAAAACGCCATCGGAAAGAGGAGGGTCGATTCCCCCGGTTGACGGAGAATTAGGGCATTTTGGACACGGGAAGGGCCTCAAATCTGACCTCGAAACTGACCCCCGCACACACACACAGACAAAGATACGCGACCAAATTATATAAGGTAGGATCCCTATTAAATAAACATAAGCGGAACACAGGATTTTTCTAGCTATAGTCATCAACCTTGGTGTGGGTGAAACTTGCGAAAAAACCAATGAATACCGTCACCAACTTCTTTGGTGCGGGTGCTGGAGATAAAAAATTGAAAAAAAGTTAATGTAGTCCTTCGGGATGCAAAATGGAAGCTTTCGACCAAAAAGCAAAAAATAAAAATCGCGAGCGGATCCGTACCCTCGGTGCCATCCCCACACGCCAACCACTAACCCACTAGACTACCAGAGCACGGCGATTGGGGTGTGGGGAGGGCTTATGAAGGTATCGCGAAAAACTTTAACCGGCTGTAACTTTATTAAAAAGAGGTATCCGCAGCTAAAAGTTACATCAATCGATTCGTCTCGTCGAGCTCTACAAGATGCACATACTCACATAGCTGGGTCCGATGTCCGCCCGAAAACATTCCCTAGTTAGGTGGTTCCCTTGTTAGGCTTCGGCGCTGTAATAGTACGCCGCTTTACGGTTTTGGGATATCCTACTATCCTACTATATATAAAAAAAATAGTGTCTGTGTGTGTGCCACTTTGCATCCACTTCCGTCTGTCTGTCCGGAGGATATCTCGATAGGGGTTGAATTTTAAGGCACGTATAATACGTCATTAGGTGCGCAACGGTCTTGAGATGACTGCACACATATCAGATTTTACAAAATTGCTGTTTTCGACATTAAATTTAAGTTTTTGTAAAAAGTTCTTTGTTAGGAATAATTAGCATAGACCGGAAGTGGGGAGACGACTATATAAAGTGGCCGAAGGTCGTTTTTCATTTTTTTTTGGCATCCCAATTTAGGACAATTATGCAAAGTGAAGGATAAAAAAGGGTCAGACGGGGCCGGGGTTGTCCGTAAAAAAGAAAGCTACACTTTCAGTTTGTGGCCCTGGTTTGGGACCTGACGATGTGTTTCCTGGTATGCCCTCGTATCCTAACGCCGTATTGTGGCGGAAGTACGCATGGGCTATTGACTACGCTTGGGGTTGAGACGTACTATCAACAGGTAAGGAAAGAGAGGGAAAGAGAGAGAGAGAGAGGGAGAGAGAGAGAGAGAGGGAGAGACGGAGAGAGAGAGAGAGAGGAGAGAGAGAGAGTGAGAGAGAGAGAGGCGAGAGATGACCCTTTAGCTTTGCACGTTTGCTTGGCTCGATGTGGTGCTGTCGACGTGCGTCCAACTTGCCTGGTACCGCGCGAATACCGTAATGATCCCCGGGTCGCGCTTTAAACTCGAGAACCGCGGCTTTTTCCTGGCGATGAGCGTCGTGTACCTGTTGCCGATGTGCTCGGGAATCACGGCGGGCATCGTCGCGGAGACGCAATATCCGGGCGGGCGTGCGGCGAAGGATATTATAAAGGTAAGCCGATTTTTTAATAATTAGTTTTCAAACTTTCTCGTTTTTTAGCTCCTTTTTAATAAAATCATGTAAAATTGGTTGATAACCTTTTAAATTAAATTTTCTAATTTTTTGTAACTCAATTTAACCCAGATACGTTTAGGTAAATCCCCAATTCCTAACACTTCACGAGCCGACCTCCTACAACACTGCCTTCATCATGGATTTCAAAAAACCGTGGAGTCTAATAAGCGGCGCCATGCTTCTCGTCAAGTTCAACTTCCATACTGCTCTGATAATTATCCCATGCGTATCCATGTCCGTTCAAATATCCTCCAAATTGATTTCTATTCGACAAGCCGAAAACATCCGGCACTTTTTGACGGGTATCATGCTGCAGGTTAGGATCAGGTTTAATTAGCCAAAAAAACAGGCCAAAATCTCGACAGCCAAAATCCCGAAACCCAGTCATAGTCATAATTCTGCCAGAGCAAAATCCCGACAGGTCAAAATACCGACAAAGAAGGTTTCGAAAGTCAAAATCGCCTTAACCCAAAATCCCGACAAGAAAAATTGGTCTGTCGAGATTTTGGCTGGAATTTCGGATGTAGAGCTTCATTGAGTAATAGAGTCAGAGCTGTCAAGTACTAAACCTGGCCTGTCCCTTTAATAGAGAGAGAGAAAAATAGAGTGAGAGAAACTGAGAGAGTGAGAAAGAGCGAGAGAGAGCGACAAATTTCATATTTCCATTTAGATAGCCCCAACAATGCTTTGCTATGTCCTTCCGCTAACCTGGATGCTCTCCGCGATAATGTTCAACATATGGGTTCCCCTGAATCAGGGTAAATTTCCACTAGATTACAGTGGAAACGGCAACTTTCAGTATTCTCAGACGTGGCTTGTATCGGGATGGCATGCCAGAGCACAGCCTGCATCAGTTCGGCTATTTTCCTGAACCCTGGCTCGCGGAATTACGTCAATGCGGCCTGGCAGCGGATCGGTAATTTTTGGAAACACAAATTGATTTAATTTATTAACCATTTGCTTATGCTTTAACGAGATCCTTTATTTTTATGTTGTTTTAGTGAAGCGGAAAGTCGTGGAAAAGGCGCCGAGAATCGTGACGATCACCGAATTCGGCAGTCCGCATCGAGATACCCCGGATCTGGCGGTGCACCATCATTAAAGGGGTTGGGAAGCGTGAGGATCGACCCCTTCTATCGCCTGGACCTCGACAGCTGCGATGCGTTTTAAAGGGACGGGGACACAGCCCATGCCCATAAAAATTGTCACTTGGACCGAATTCTAGCCATAATACCGACAGCCAAAACATAAAAAGGGCCAAAATGCCGACGCCGAAAATCCCGAAACCCGAAATACCGACAGCCAAATCAAATATATTCTCTACCCTAGGTTAAATTCTACTTCTAAGCGGTACTATTTTTATGTCGGTATTTGACCGGTCGGGATTTTGACCGTCGGTATTTTGGGCGTCGAGAGGCTTGTGTTTCGGGATTATGGTTGTCGGTATTTTCGCACTTTTGCCTAGCGAACAGCGGAACTTTTCCTTCGTTTTTCCCATCAGATTTTATTTTTGCATTACCGATGCGTCGCTGTCAAGATCTAGTCGACTAGTGGTGGTAAACCATCGCAGTTTCTGTTGCTTAAATTTACAAATTTAAATGCAAAAATTATCACATATTGGGGCTAATAAACTCGCTATTCTTGAGCAAAAAAACGTAAAAGAATCGCAAGGCAAAGCACTGATTGACATTACTGCACCTTTAATTTTGCTCACTTGTTGAACCTTGGCGTCAGCAACAATTATTATTGAAGCGACAGAGAGACAGACAAAGAAATACGCTCGGCGGCAGGTGGTCTAGTGAGACGGGAAATACATGCACAGCTGGACGGTCAATCCTGAAGTTGCTCAATTGTCTATAGTCACGAATGGACCCGAAAATTGATTATTTCGCGAATCCCTACTTTAACATTACCCTAATCTACCATTACCTTGGAATCGTGACGTTTATTTTTAATCTCTGCGGTATCTGGGTGGTGTGGACAAAATCGGAGAAGAGTCTCGGGGCATACAAGTATCATCTTGTTTTTCATATGGTAGGTCAGAAAGCCGAGCTTCAAAAACTTAAGCTCACCTTAAGTTAAGCCAAAGCCAAGCCTAAGCCTCGCCTGAGCCACGCCTAAGCCAAGCCGAAGTCAAGCCTAAACCAAGCCTAAGCCAAGCCTAAACCAAGCCTAAGCCAAGCCTCAGCCAAGCCTAAGCCCAGTCCAAGCCAAGCCTACGCCAACCCTAAGCCATGCCGACCAATAAAATAACTTTTGGTGCAGTTTGTAGCCCTCGTGTGGGACCTGACGATCTGCTTCCTGATATGCCCGCGCATTATCACGCCGTATTGTGGCGGAACGACGAACGGATTTTTGACGTGGGTTGGGGTGCGGACGTACTACCAGCAGGTAGGCAGAGAGAGAGAGAGAGAGCGTGAGAGAGAAAGCGTGAGAGAGAGGTACTTACAGCTGTACAACTTCGCCTGGCTCGACGCCGTGCTCTCAAGCTGCGTCCAGCTTGCCTGGTACCGGGCGAATACGGTACTCATGACCGGGTCACGCTATAAAATGGAACCCCGGGCATTCCTGTTCTTCATGGGTATCGTCTATTTCTTGCCGATCATAACCGGCATCGCCACCGGTATGGTGGCTGAAGCCGATTTTCCCGGCTGGCTGACGGCGACGAATATCATTGATGTAAGCAATGTGAATTTTTGTCTTTCGTTTCTTGCTCTCTCTGTCTCTCTCCCGCTCTCTTTTCGTCTCGCTCTTTTTCTCACTCTCACTCTCGCCGGTTTTTACATAGCGTAATTGGTTGGCAGTTCGCCAATATTTTTTTTGCCTTTGCGTTTGCCAAATAATTTTTTCAGGCCAACCCCCAATTCCTAGCCCTACAAGAGCCGACTTCCTATAACACAGCCTACATCATGGATTTCAACAAACCGTGGAGTCTGACCACCGGGGTCATGCTGCTCGTCAAATTTAATATTTACACAACACTGATGATTATCCCATGCGTGTCTATGTCGATTCAAATATCCTCAAAATTAATCTCAATTCGGCAGGCTGAGAATATACGCCGATTTCTGACGGGAGTAATGCTACAGGTGGGCTGGAAAATATTTCTGAAAAATCAAAGCGTCTGAAAGATAGACAAAGCGAGACGGAGAGAGAGAGAGAGGGAGAGAGATAGAGAGAGGGAGAGAGAGAGCGAGAGAGAGAAGCGAGAGAGCGAGTGATAAAGTGGCAGTCAGTGAGTCAGACGGAATGACAGAGCACGGAAGGGAGTGAGAGAGCATGAGAAAGAGCGCGTGCCAAAGAGAGATGGATAGTGCGATATAGTGAGAGACAGAGAGAGACAGAGAGAGAGAGAGAGAGAGAGAGAGAGAGAGAGAAGAAAATATACGCTGTGCTCATCTAACCTTTACCTTTAAGATAGCCCCAACGATGCTCTGTTATGTCCTACCCTTAGCTTGGATGCTATCAGCGATCATGTTCAACATCTGGGTCCCCCTGAATCAGGGTAAATCTCCATTGATTACGGTAGAAAGGTCAACTTTTAGTTTTCTCAGACGTGGCTTGTCTCGGGATGGCCTGCCAGAGCACAGCCTGCATCAGCTCCGCCATTTTTCTGCACTCCGGCTCGCGAAATTACGTGAAAACGGCCTGGCAACGGCTAGTTAAAAGTTTGACGGATTTTGGGGTGTAAAGACATGTTAATTTAGTGCATCGTCAAGAGGGGGAGAGGCGGGTGCGTATCCTGACCATCACGGAATTTGGCAGTACGCACCGCAATCCCTGAATAGCATAACAATTTCGAAAAAAGGAGGCTTTTTATGGAACCATGGCACAGATTTTTGGATTTCCGTCTTAAATGCCGACAAGCTAAAACACCGACACGGACGTGTAAAACACATCCTATTTTGAAATGTCTCTTTTGAAATTTCATTGTCGGGTTTTCGGCCGTGCTCCTTTGGGCTGTCGGCATATTGGCGACGTATAATATTTCCGTCTGGTCGTCGGCATTTTGATTGTCAATATTTTGACTGTCTGCACTATAGATGTCGGCATTTTTTTGTTTTCTTGGCATTTTTGCAGCCCGGCCGCCACGAGCGTCTCTTTCTCTCTATCTCTCTCTCTTTCTTTCTCTCTTTCTCTCTCTCCTCTCTCTCTCCCGCTCTCTCTCGCTCTCTCTGTCTTTCTTTCTCTCACTCTCGCGTTAATTTTATTATGATTTATCTTCTTTGTGAAGCCACTGAAACGTTGAGGTGATGAGATACAGTTACTGTAGCCTTCTTTTTCCGCACGACTTCTGGCCGTCGAAGTACTGTAATTACAAATAAAAACTATCACCATAAAAAGCCAAAGTTTGCAAGCGCCTACCACGATTAATTTTCTTCTTCAAAAATTCACGCGAACCCGTGTTGAGGAGCAGGGCGGAAAATACGCACGCCGGGCTCTGGCACACCAATAGCAAGAAGCAGATGTCGTTCAGCACTAGGATTTCGTTTGAAAAGGACCGGTAATGCATTAATAGGCAGTTTTTGGCCGCCTTTCGCTCTGGATTTGCATCTCAAAAACATCCAAAACCCCACCTTGATTCAGCGCTAAAAATATACTAAACATGTAGGTGATGATGCAAAAACTCATCGGTAATAGATAGAACACGAAAGTGGGCGCAACCTAGGAAAACTAAGCATAATTTTTAATTTTACAGAAAATTCTACCATTCGAAAAAAAAACGCTTGCGACGGTACTAGTCTGTCTGTTAGCGGGGAGGGAGATTTTTGCCGCACATTCCAAAATTTTCGAAAATTTTGTAAGTTTTTATGCGCTTTTTATATCTGAAAACTCTGTAAAATGCTTTCAATTCGTTTATATTTTGTCATAGAGCCGTACGCGGTTACCGAGAAAAATTTGTTTTTCCCTGCTAACCCCCCTCCCCCACCGCTAACAGACCAGTACCAAAAAATTCGGCACAGTTTAGGCTAGGATTGGGAGAAAATCCGGCGAATTAAATCAATAAAACCTCACCTGCAGCGTAACACCCTTGAGGTATCGCTTGATATCCTGCGCTTTGTTGACGGAGATCAGCTTTGATGTGATTTGGAGCACCATGGAGTTGAGGTAGAAGGTGACGAAGAAACAGTTGATGCCGAAACGGGTGAACATCACCGTCGTGTTGACGATCGTCCACGGCAGGCGCGAGTCCGCGTACATTAGGCGCCAAATGACGTCAGGCTCGCGGAGGCTTGGGTATTCGGGGTGTTGCTGGAAATGAGGGTTTCTCTTTCTTGCTTCTCTCTCACTGTCTCTCTCTCTCTCAATTTAGGTTTTTCGCTTTCTCGCTTCCTCTCACTATCTCCGTCTATAATTAGCTAGCGAGCTAGACTCTGAATCTCTAACTCTCTCCCCCTCTCTCCTCTCTCATACTCGTTCTCTCTCACATTCTCGCATTCACGCTCTCTCGCCCCTCTCCCCATCTCTCGCAGACAGACTCTCTCGCTCGCTCTCTCTATCGCTCGCTCTCTCTCTCTATTTCTCTCTCTTGCTCTCTCTCTCTCACTCTCTTGCCTACCATTGCAAATTTCCGAGCAGAAGCCGCCAAGTCGGTTTCGAGTCCCATCCCAATCTGCCCTATCAGCCCATAGCCAACGATAAAGCAGTAGTAGCCGACGATAAAATAGTTGAACGTCCGGGTGCTAAGCCGGAAACGATCCCAAGGCATCAGCACGGCATTTGCTCTATAGCCGATCAGCTGAACGCAGGAACAGAAGAGCATGTCGATTAGAATGAAGCCGAGCACCTGCAAGAGGTTCGATGAGAGGGAGAGGGAGAGAGGGAGAGAAAGAGAAGGAGAGAGAGAGACAAAGTGAGTGAGTTAGTGATTGAATGATTCAGTGATTGGGTGAGTGACATAGAAAAGATAGAGAAAGAGTGCGAGAGATAGTGAGAACAACCTGCTGACTCCAGATTGTGAGCAGCCCGTAATCCTGCGCAACGCCGTGAAACGATGCCATATAATAAGGCGAGCGCATGGTTGGGCAAAGCACGAAGCACATCACTACGTCCCAAAGTAGGGTGATCGCCTAAACAATAAACTTTAGGTGATAAGATGTGCCTATACAGAGTGTCCTCAAAAAAATCCCCCCGGCCCCCCTAGCCGGCCGCAGACATATCCGCTTTTTACGATTTTGGTATCTATCGAAAGGTCTTGGAAAGTTGAGTCCGGCACGTCTCTCATTGTCGAATTTATCAATTTTTTAAGCACTTACTAATATTTTTGCGAACCGGCGGACTTTCTGATGTTTTTCTGACCAAATGGTTTTTACAAAAATCACTTTTAAGAATTTTTCCTGGCAGCCCAACGACAGCTTTTTGAAAGCCGTTTGCGAAAACACTCGGCAGGCGCCTAAACCTGTTAAATTATGTTTTTGACAAAAAAAACAGTCCCGTTTTTACTCAACGATGCCGAAAGTCGAGCAAAAAAAAATTCCGAAATGTGCTGAACTCGCTTTTTCGAGAGCCTTCGATAGATCCGAAATCGCTAAAATCGGATACTTTTGCGATCGGCTAGCGGGGGGGGGAATGATTTTTTGGAAGACTCGCTGGTGTTTTTCGTAAATCTGGATCAATAAGTGCGTCAAAAAAATTTAGAAAAAATAAAATTTGAGATTCTGTATCATTTTTTACCAAAAAAACCTATCATTTTTCAGAATACTTATGAATAATTTTGCCAATTCAAACCATATGCGTGGTGAGGTGGTACTTATACTCGTCGACGGATTTGTCCGTCGTCGTCCAGATGACGTACAGCCCAAATACATTGACGGTCAGTGTGATAGGTCCGATGGCGTGGTAGATGGGGCGGGCGGTGAAATAGGGATTGGCAAATATATCTGGCGTTGTGGACATTACATCGCCTCCAAATTACCGTCGTTGAAATAGTGGAATCACGGAATACACCCAATCCCTTCATATCAGATTTGTGACACGTTTTTCACCTGCTAGCCCCCCCGGGGACACCTGGCAGAGCGGGCTCCCTTCTGGGGGCTAGCAGAGATCTTTTGAGACGGGCTAATTGCGCAGGTTATTTTTAAAGTGCTTAAATACATCATTCCGAAATCTCAGAATTTCGAAATTCACAATGCCGAAGTTTCATAATGCCGAAATCCATAATCCAGCATTGATATTCAAGCAAATCGAAAATTTTCCAACGCCGAAAATTTCATATGGTCGATGTTTCCAACATCCAGAAATATCAGAATGCCGACATTGCATTATTTCGAAGCATCATGTTGCCGAAATTCAAAATCTCGACATGCGTGATGTCGAAAATCTAAAATATCGAAATTTACATAAAAAACCTGGAGTTGTGCGTAGCTCTCCAAACCGAAGTATTTCGACACCGTCAAAATTTTATAATGTCGAAATTCGCTCGTAACCGGCGAGATTGAAATTCCGAAATTTCAGAATGTCGAAATTTACATTAAAAAATCACCCCGGGAAAAGCCCCAAATACTATGAAAAATGTTCGACAAGGTGAGCTAGCAAAGACCATTCAGCAGGTGAGACAGCAGGCTAGCGGCGCGAAAATTGTTACACAACCAAAGCGGGCACAATTTATTTATCCGTACAAATGGCATAAAACTAAATAATAATCATCATCATGAACAATATCGATCGATTCTCATAGCGTTTTTTAAGATGGTCGCCGCGTAGTCCGACGTCATTTTACTGGCAGCGGAGCTTGGCGAACTCTTTTTCGATCTGAAATAAGGTCTTGTGGTTGCTGGTCTCTTCTCTTCCGCTGATTCAGTTAAATCAGCCATTTTTAAATATGCATACCTGCTCCCTGGCCTCCGGGCTAATGTCATCCTCGACCCCGAGGTACTCGCGCATTTTGGCCGGCGTTTTCCCCTAAAAACAAAGGGACGATAAGGGCGCGGGTAAAAATTAACTAAAGGAAACTCAGACCAGCTATTATTTTAAGAATCCTTAGCAGTTTTTGACGTAAAAAAGATTATTTGACCGTATTATAACTAACTATTCATACCCGAAGCTCGCTGCTCATGCGCAGCACAATTTTGTCGAGCAGCTGGGCGGCGCCCAAGTAGTTGGCCGTCTGAAAAACGCCCAAAATTTGTAGGTTCTTGCGCGTTATCGGGGGAGTTAAGTCCCGAGAGGCATAAGTATTTTGGTCGTTACCATACTCATTATCTGAATGCCTTTTTTAAAGCGATAAACCATTTAAGCAGCTGCGAAAAAAACAAAAAATATCAAAAATTTTGGATTTGTGGAAATACAGCCTTTTTGGGCCGAAAAAGCGCTTTCTTTTAGGTTTAATTAACTCTCAGGAAAAGCAAAACGTGCCGAAGCACTTTGTTTTTATTTATATAACCAGAAATTTAATTTAGGCCTAAGGAAAAGTGGGTTACTCGTGGAGATATTAAAAAGCTAGAGAAGGTATAAAAATACGTAAAACACCTACATCAGCGAGCACAAACAGCTCGGCCGGGGGGAGGCCGACGAATTTGTGCAGCCAATCGACCTAGAAATCTCCACTATCAGCTAATTCGAAATTTTACTACCGTCGTCCAGCAGCCATCGCGCAGTTGGCGCCCGAACAGGATCACCTAGAAAACGCGGGCCTCAAAATTGAAAGGAACATTTTTAGAACAGTTAAGTCCTTAATCATTTTTGTCACAACGATTTCAAAAATCTCCTACATTGCTCAGCGCCTCCGCGTTCAGTCGCACCGGAATCGGCACCGTCGGGCACTCGGAGTTCACCAGGTCCAGGTCTGAAAATACGGCTCACAAGCACGGTCTTGATCGGTGATTAGACGACAACCTTGCACTTATTACCTGCAGAAATACGATATTTTTTTATTTTACAGTTTAACTAACTTTACTATCGTCGTCGCCTTGGAAATGAACTTCAGCAAAAGGTACCGTGCAAACCGCTTTGTATAGCGTATTTACTTAGCTCTCTTACACAGTTTTTGAGGTAAGAGTTTATTTTACCCCCCCACAGCCGAAGGGTCTCAAAGTTATCGGTATTTTCGCTTATTTTGTCGGGATTTTTGCAACGCCATTCGATAGAGCTTCAAAAAATATACTAAGAGATTTAATTTGAGCCTACAATAATGTAAAATAAAAAAGTTACAGCCAAAAACTTCCGGCTGGGGGGGGTAAAGTAAACCGTAGCCGTTTTTGAGCATAGAAAGTTATCAAAACTTGTCAAAAAATTATACTTTTCCAAAAACCCCACCTTGAATGATGTTGGAGACGGTGCTGAGGAATTCGACGTCGCTGCGCGCAATGTAGTGCTGCGTGCCGTCCGGGGTTGTCAGCGTCATCTAAATATCTCTGTTATTCTCCTTTGGGTAATCAAGTGTAAAGCCTTTCCGTACCCGACTCCCCGGCGACGGCGCGATCCCGGTGGCCTGGAGGCTGGGCATTGAAACGGCCGTCTGGAAAAGGCTTGTAGAAAGAGGTATAGTCTCCCGGATGATCTCAAAGACCCAAAAACCCCACATAGAGATGCGGCTGCACATCGGGCTGAGGCTCCATTTTCTGAGAAAGGGGCAGAATATCTGAAATTTAGCTTCCAAAAAAACCGGAAAAGCCGCACATGATATGCAACGTCGCGTATCCCAAGTGGTCGGATTCAAACCAGATTTCACCCGTGCTAAAAGAATATTCAGGCTTCAGCCCATCTTCGCGGCAAGATAACCACATCCTCACGGCTTCAAGGCTTGTTCACTAATCAAATCAAGAAAGCATTTCCGGTCAGAAACCACCCGTTGCTCGAATACTCGAAGAAGGCACGTAAGAAAACAACTTGACCTAAGAGATTTGACCACGGCGAACATTTTGAGATACTCCACGCATTAATGGGACGCATGGCTAGAAGGCAAGGGCTGGGGGGGGTAAAGTAAACTCGGTAATAGTCTAGAAAACTCCCCATGCCGGCACCAACTTTTGTATCTCGGCCCCCTTTTGTGCTAGCGAGCTCTAATGTATACCAAAATGTTCGCCGTAGGCTAATTAGTAAGACTACATTGCAGTTCAGTCGAAAAAGTAGCGAAAAATAATAATAACGAAGGTTGAAAAGTTGAAAAGTCGGCTGGGGGGGGGGGCGGGGTTTCCTAGACTTGAGCCGTAAACTCTTACCACGAAACCGAGCGGATTCGCCACGTACCTCTAGTCATTGCGTGTGTGGATAAATGGTGTGAAGATTTGGTGTGCTTTTGCACGTATGTTGGTGGTGCTGTCTCTTGTGTGCTGGCTGCGACTCCAAAGAACATTTATTCGACCACAGGCGCCCAATTAACAAAACCGCGTAGTTTTTTTACAAAGACAAGTGAACGATAAGGAAATGGGTAAGGTGGTGGCTTGACGACTTTCAGTTGCAGCTGGCCATATCCTGCAGCTGATCGAATTGGTACTCCGAGCACGGCGGCATGTTCAGCGGGGCAAAGGCGCGGCCGCCCACCTAGAAAATGACGGTGCGAAAATGAGGTACGAAGCTACATGAGCCTGGATGTCGTTGACCGCCTGTCCCATCGTGGCCATGTTGAAGACGGGCGCCTGTGGCTGCTGAACTTGCTGCGCAGCAGCCATGGCGGCGGCCTCAGCTTCTTGGATATCGGCAGTCACGGCCGAGTCGACGACGTTTGGCTGGTAGTTGCCAAAGTGGTAATTCGAAGTGGCGTCGCGGGCCTTGAAAAGAAAGAATGTCAACCTATTTTAGATAACTACCGCTTGCTGGTAGTAGGCGGGCACCATGCCGGTGTGGTACGCAGCGATCATGTCATTCGGGACACCACCGACGTACGTCGACATGCCGAGGGCCGGGCGGAAAGCAGGGCGAGCCGGGACAGCGTGCTGCTGCGGTGGCGGGGCGGCAAACTGTACCTTCTGGTTGGCTTGGCCCTGAAAATTGACGTTGCCAGTAGATACTGCATTAATTACGCGATTCTCCTGCTCGGCAATGACGGGCTGCTGAGCGGCTTGAGCACGGGCCATTTGAGCCGACGGAAGCTGGGTGGTCTCCATGGTCGACTGGGCGGAAGGGGTGGCCACGGGCCCAGTGATGAGAGGCTGCTGACGCTCGCCGGGCGGAGCATAAACTAATTCCACAATTTTAGGCAAAAAAACTCTTGCTTACGCGACTTCTTCGGGCCGACGGGGGCGGCAGTCGGGGCGCGGGCATAGTTCTCCTCCAGCTGCTGGAAGGCGTACGCCGATGGCTCGTAGGCGAACAGGGCCGGCTCGCGCTTGATGGGCACATTCTGCTGCTGCTGCTCCACCGGCCTGGCAGCAACCGGAGTGACGGCGGGGCTGTACTGCTTGTACGGGCAGTTCGCGTCGTCGTGCGGATGGTCCGGCTAAAATCTACTTTTAGAAAGCGACCAGGGTTGAAAAGCCGCTTCGCGACTTTTCAACCCTGGCCCCGTCTCGGACCCCATACTATTCTGCCCTTTGCATAATTGTCCTCCATTCAGAAGACAAAAAAAAATGAAAAACAACCCTTTCTGCCTCTTTATATAGGCGACGGCCCACTTCCGGTCTATGCTAATTCTTCCTAACAAAGAGGTTTTTACAAAACCCTAAATTTAATAGCGACAATGGCTAATTTTTAAAATTCTGATATGTGTGCAGCCATCCCTAGACCATTTCGCACCTAATGACGTATCATACGTAGCCTAATACCCGTCCCTTCCTGAGATATCCTCCGGACAGACAGACGGAAGTGGATGCAAAGTGGCACACACACACAAACACACACACACCGACACTATTTTTTTATATATAGTAGGATTATTGAATGAAGCTGATCAGCAACAATACCCACAACGGACTGCGGGTACGGGGTGGGAAGGTGCTGGGTGGCGGGCGTGGGCGGAGGGGCCATCATCGGCTGGTTGTAGTCGAGGTAGTAGGCGGCGGGGAGCACGGCGCCACGGGCGTACGACGAGTAGACAGGGGTCGGCTCGACGGCCGGTTTTGGCGGCTGGGGTGCCGGTTGCTGTTGCTGAAGCTTCGACGGGGCCACGGGGATGGCCGTCTTAGGCACGGGGCTCGGGGCGGGCGCCTGAGAAATATGAATTTTGTTTTAGCAAGACGATATCATTGAATGGCCCTGAATACTCACCTCCTCGACGGCGTTCAGCTGGGCGGCCTGCTGCGCGTACATGCCGGGGCAGTAGCTCGACGGGATGTAGCGGGCAGACATCGTCGGCTCGAGTGTCGAATGATTTTGTTGGTAAAGGTTCGTTTTCTTTTATACTCGGGGAGCGGCAAGTTCACTTCCGGACATTCTATTCGCATATGCAAGCTTCTTTATGCTCAAGTAATTGCTAATACCAGATTCAAAATTATATCTGCCAATTTGGCTTGCATCTGAAGTTTCCTGTGGCTTGACTTTCGTGTACTTGAGGTTTTATACTTGATCTTCCATCAAAATTTACTTTATTTCGGCAGCTTTAAAAACAAGTTAAAATTTGACAGGCTAGAAAGTATAGATCAGGGGCGTGAGGAGGGGTGGCTGGGGAGTGCGATCGCAGAGAAAACGAAAATAGCCCAGCGATTTGCACATAAGAGGGTGAGGGTTCTACCAAAAAACAGTAAAGCAACGACAGTGAAAGTAGCTGAAAAAAATCGAGACTATGACCAAAAATAGTGACTGGCTATTCGCATCACTAGGCTACTATGCAAGGCGCTTCATACTTGATTTCGAGAAGGGTTTTTGATAGTATAAAACAAGATTTTTTTTGAAATTTTGGTAATTGCGGCTAGGGAAGGCACACACACGTCGGGGAGAAATGGTTGCAGGGTTTGAGTAGCTCGTGTGGGGAGGCGGAATTGCAAAGGGGAAAATAAATAGCAGATCACGAATCAAAAAAAAATCGCAAAAATGCTTGAACGTCATTGTTTAGACTTTGGTGATTCTCCTGGAGGCTCCACCGGGCGGCGCGGGCTTGGCGAACTGCTTGGGGGCCTCGACGAACGTCTGGAAAGAGTATTAAAAGTGGACACAACTTCTTTCAGCAGCAATTTCAGTTTTTTAGAACATACCGGGTGTAGCAGCTCGCGCAGCGCCTTCTCGGACAAGTCGTCTTTCGCGTCGACTTCCATCTAAAGATAGAGTTTGACCAGCGAAAACGGAAAAAGATACAAAATAATGACCAAAAAGAGCGGATTTCACACCTTCTTGGTGATCTCGGCGCGCATGTGCAGCTGGGCTGCTTGGAGGAATGGGGCCTTGCACGACGAGTAGAGCATCCGCTCCTTGATCGACGAGCCGGAGGCGGGCAGCGAGTAGATGAATACTAAATCGGAAATTAGGCACGTTAACAAATAACGCTAATAATAAATGAAATTAAGCATAGAGCTCTACACAGAAAAGGAACTTTTGAACGTACCGATGCTGTTGTAGGGCCTGTCGTCGTGGGTGTGCTCGAATCGGAAGAACGTGTAGCGGGGCTTGTTGCGCGGGATTTTTGAAGCGAGCTCGCCGGCGGAGACGGAAGCTTGCGTGTCCTCGAGCTTGATCGCTTCGTTCAACGTGTCAACCTGGAATTAAATTATCAAACTCTTAAACGAAAGGATTTTGGGCCAAAAATGTCAAATCTTTAAATTGCTAAAACTTTTATTCCAAAACAAATAGGCTAAAACGCTATAAAATTAGAGTATATCATGTGAAAAAGACCCCCGCTAACTGTCCAGACTCAATGGCTCTCAGTAAAAAATAAAAAACTTACTGAAAGTTGCACGAAGTTCAGCTTCTTGTTGCCGAGATCACGAAGCGCGTCCTCGGCGTTGCGATCGAGGGGGAAGACAACACCTAAAATACGAAGATTCAACTAATATTTCTCCAAAACCTTTCATTCCGGCGGGGGCGGCACTCTGCAGGGCCGAGCGCTCCTTGGCGGCCGTGAAGAGTTCTTGCTCAACTTCGCTCATCGGGCCAACTTCTTGTTTGCTCTTCAGCCAGTTCTCCAGCGAGTCGAGCGTCAGGTCTTTCCTGAAAAAAGAATTGGAATTGGGAGAAGAAGAATAAAAAGAACGGTGCTAATGCACTTGGTGGGGGGCAGTCCGAAAGTGGTAGTAAGGGGCTACGAGACGCTCCGCTTAAATTACTTGGTTTTCGCCTTAAGCCTAGGCTTGACTTAGCTTTAACTATGCTTACCTTAGACTTAGGCTTAAGGTTAAGCCCAAGCTAACAAGGAGACGTTTTTTAGTGTGAATGGAGTTTTCAGTTAAAACCAGGCCTATTCTGTGCAGAATTTTGCGCTGATTCCGATGCTGTTTTCCAATTTTGCTAAATAGCTCGATTTAAAAAGTTACAGCTATTTTAAGATAATTTTTAGGCCTAGAGTAGCCATATGCTATGCTGTGCTACTTTTTTGTTATAACGTTTTAATTTTGTTTAAGCAGCCTATCTTGTAGAGAATTTTTTTCTGATTCGAATGGTATATTTGATTAGTGCGCTACTGCCGATCCACCATGGCTTACAGGGGTGAGAAATAGGCGGTTTTTCACCATTTCCCATACAAAAATCGCAGTCCATACCAAGTATCGTCGATTTTTTCGATTTTCAACATTTTTGAGCTCAATAGCTCGTTCGATAGAGAAAATTTTTTTGAATACGGTGACGATATTTATTTTTGGAAAAACAGCCGGGAAAAGCAATATAATGGTCCCTAAAGAGGGGAAAATTTGGGCTAAAATGATCTTAAAATTGCAATAACTTTGGAATCGAGCTATTTAGCAGAAATGGAAAACATATCCGGAATCAGCGCAAAATTCTGCACAAAATAGGCCTGGTTTCCACTCAGAACTCCATTCACACCAAAAAACGTCTCCTTGTAAGCTTCACTTAAGCTTAAATTGCCTCAGGTGGTCAAAATAGGGTCATTTAGGGCTAAGCTTAGAGCTAGCTAGCTAGCTTAGCTTGGCTCAAGCTAAGCTCGGGCTTTGTTTGTATGAAGCTAAGCCTAGGCTTAGGCTTGGCTTAGCATTTCCATAGGCTTCGAGTTTAAAAACATTTGGAGCGTCTTGTAGTCAAAATCCGGACTGCCTCCCCCCAAGTGCATTAGCACCCCCAAATCTACCAGGAATCTGGATAATAAATAATAATGGTGTTTTAGCTTGTGTTTACCAATTTTATAGAGGAGAAACCATCTAAAAGGCCTTTTTTCAAGCATCATTTCGATTTCTCAAGTAGAAAAGAACGTTGTGAAACGTAGTGACGTAGAAAGTTCGCGTTGCGAACGTTCTAAATTGTAGGAAGTCTAGTATTTTTAGGATGTTTTCGTGTTCCAAGATACGAAATGAAGGGGGTTTTCAACACGGGTCGGGATCCGCACAGACGACCGCTCCGGTATTGTTATAGCGCCTTTCCACCGTAACCCCGGAGCCTCTCCCCGGCCCTTCTCGCGTTTTCCAGCCAACTTTCCCCTAACCTAATAGTGAAAAAGAGAATAATAGAGTGGAATAATAATAATATGATTATTAGAAGGGTTTTATTGAAATCTCTGTAAAGGGAAGCCAGCCTTGCGGTTCTTTGCATTCGTTCCCAGCTAAAAGTACGTTTTTTTTCAACATTCTATCTCAAATTGTCGATAACGCTGTGGCAATGCGAAGTGTCGTGGAGCCCTAAACTGAAAAGTTACAGTGCGTGATAACATCCGCGATAGGTTACTCATGACGTCATGCAGCAGTATCGTGGCGTGTGCTGTTTTTCAGCTAGGACTCTGCGATGATTTGGGCGTAGCTGATCTCGATATCGCACTTTACTTTACAATAGCAGAACAGCATGAAAGATATACTGTTCGCCCTGATGATAGCTTCTGGGTGAAAATGTTAGAATATTCCAAGGCGGGCTTCAATCGGTTCGGTTGCTGACACTTCCAAGTCTGAGCTTCTACCCAAATCCTTACACAGCCAGCAAAGAAATCTACCTCGTTGAATTCAGAGAAATACCTCGCAGAAACCCCCGCGTATCTTTAATACGATTACAAAGCTAGGTCAAGATATTACTATTCCGAAGACAATCATCATCTATTTACTTTCCAGTTTCCGGCTCCATCGACATCTTCCTCCTTCCAAAGCGTTATCGACAATTTTAATTTAACTACTTCTATCGATAGAAGAAGCGGCCTGTTGAACCCTAGGCGCGAAGATTGTGTGAAACACGTACTTTTGCTGGGAACGTGCAAGAACCGCAAGGCTGGCCCCTTTACAGCGTTTCAATAAACCCCTTCTAATAATCATTATTATTATTATTCCACTCTATTATTCTCTTTTTCACTATTAGGTTAGGGGAAAGTTGGCTGGAAAACGCGAGAAGGGCCGGGGAGCGGCTCCGGGGGTTACGGTGGAAAGGGCGCGCTATAGCAATACCGGAGCGGTCGTCTGTGCGGATCCCGACCCGTGTTTTCAACAGCGCGTAGTCCTTTTCAGCATTTTTTGTAGCGCGGGGGCACTCTTTAGGGATCAAAAAATCAACGCACCTATCGGTGACGTGTCGCTCGTACTCGATGTAGCAGGGGCCGAATTCAGATTTGAAGGTGGCCTGGGTGGCGGCGAGCAGCATTTTGTCCTTCACCGACGCGCGATCATCGGCAAAGCTGAAAATGTCCAATTTGTCAATCAATTTTGCCTCATTTCTCAGGTTCTAAAAGCGAGAAATACTAAAAACACGATAAATAGGGAAATAGCGCTTTTTGAAAGGCATCGAGACTCACCTGATCAAGATCCACTCGGTGATGGTGTTGAGGCGGAAGAGGATGAAGCACGGCTCATAGGCGTCAACACATTCCGGCAGTGTCGCTCGCCAGTCGGAGCGCCAATCCGGGCTGCCCTTGTACTCGTAGTTTGGGTCGAGTTCTTCTACAAAGATAAACCTTGTTTTTAGAAAAATGAACTAGGTAAGCAAATATTATCATTTTTAAAGTATTAGCTCCCCGTTTGGTAGTTTTATTTCTATTTTTTATAACATTTTATACAATTCGGACGATTTTTTAACGGAAAAACGCACCATTTTTGATGACGACCTTGATGAGCCGGAGCTTGGCCTGCTTGCCCAAGTTGAAGGCGTTCTTCAGAGCGTCGTTGGCTGAAAAATATTTTTAAATTGGATTTTTAAAATATTTTAGGTTTATTCTCACGGGGTTTTGCAATTCTCGCTAATATTCTATTTTTTTTACAAGTTTTTAAGTAAGGCGCGTTTTTTGTTGACGATGTTTAATATTGGCAACATATTTTTGTATTTTCCAAAATAGAAACATCTGTTTAAAACTAACGAAAAATACTTTTAAAATACCGGCTACATTAAGGCTTTATGGCGTTATACAAACAATTTACCCCCCCCGATAATGCCACAGTACCCTCAAAAGGACCTCAATGTAACGATATTCCTCCCGCAAAATGGAAGAGACCCCCAAATCCATTAGCCCCCATCTGGACGCTATCCAGACCCCCCGGAATCCTGGGCCCGACATTTCTTCCATGTTTGCCGGGGGCCTGTTTTGACGACTGTCCCGAGACGGACTGTCGTGTAGCGGATATGGACGAGAGAGAGAGAGAGAAAGCAAGAGAGAGAGAAAGAGAAACCGATCCCCTGGGCCACACACCAAGACTTCATCCACATCCGCCCCCGTCCGAAAATGTCTTTTTAGCTGGGGCGCAACCCCCAGGGCCCCCGCGCATTATTTACGGAACACTCGACACTGAGGCCGTATTTTGCTATGTACGGAAAGAAACTGGGTGGATGGGGGGGATGACTGGGCTCTGATCAGTTTGGCCCCAGGATGCGCTCTTGCACTTGCACTTGTTAAAGGGACTGAAAAGGTTTGTCTATGATTTTTCCGCTATGGATTTTGTGGTAAAGGTTGCTTAGCGGGGGGGGGCGGCAATTGTGCGCCTATAATTCCAGAGAAGCCTAAAAGCGTGGTGCTAATTTTCTAATAATGTTTTTGGTAGAATTTATCTATATTGCAATGCAAAAAACATTCTAAAAAGTACAATAATTTTGACATTTTGGTGGAGAGACCTACTTTTTGTATTTTTTTTAATAAAAAATTATGAAGTTTTTACGTTTAGGCATATAAAAAACACTTCAGAAACACTGCTTCTAGAAAATTTTTTAGGACATTTGAGTCCCAAGAAAAAAATGGGCCCGCCCCGTTCAGCTTCTACCTCCCATCCGATGATGGAAAAGCACAGAATTTCAGGTTTTTCGTTGAGTTATTTTACAAAATTTTTGCGCATTTTTGGGGTTTAGGCCTTATCTTTTAACCCCCGCCAAAGGCCCCATTTTTAGCCGCTTGTCGTCATCCATCAGCGGTTTCTCAGTCCTCCACCCCCTCTCCTTCCCCCTCTACTTTTAGGGGGTCCGGAAGGGAATGGCGGAACTTTGCCGGCTGAGCGATCGGTGTATGCGAACAAGATGGAATTTGAGCGGCGGATAACAAATTTTAAACAAATATTTAGGCAGGGTAAATCGTTAACACCTAAATACGCTTAAAAAGCCCTTCAAATCCAAATTTAAAAAACTTAAAACGAAAATCGCCGGGCAAGAATTAAAATTTCGATGGGGACAAGGATGGATTTATCAAATTTACCTCGTCCTACATTTGGCAATACTTTGAAAGCGTAGCGGTGGACCATTTTTGGCCGCGTTTCCATATGGCCAGCAATCGAACGCGCATGCCGAAATTTCATATTCCCCGGCGTGACAAAGCCGATTTGCACATTTCGGAAGAGAGAGAAAGAGAGAGAGAGAGAGAGAGAGAGAGAGAGAGAGAGTGGAATTTGCTGTAAAATGTAGACTTAATCAATTTCTGTTCCTCGTTCCGGTTTTTTTGCGTTTACAACCCAGCGCAACGCTCCTATTCATCGCGCAATTGAATTGCTTTGTGGTCCCAAATGGCTAATCTCTTTCGCGAGCAGATCCTCGATTTTTCAATCCATTTATAAATCGATTTTAATACGGTACCTCGAATTCCCGTCTGGCACGACATTCCGCCCCGCACACCAAAATAATGCCCGTGCCTCGGATGCCCGCGCGAAATCGGAAAAACCCTGAAAAATCCAGAGTTTTATTCATTAAAGATTTTTTCAGTGAGAACATGAGAGATATTTATTTTCTTGAACAGCTAGAGATTGAAAATAAAGCCATCAATTTGATTTTCTCAAAATGAATGGAAAGTCGAGACAATTTCTGCATCTTTCCCATTTCCGCAGGGATCAAATTTTTCGAAAAGGTCAGCAATGCCGAGTAACGCAATAGTATGCTTTCTAGTAGTGCTTTAGTAAAATGTAACTATATTTAGGTGAAAAAACAACAAAAAAATAGAAAAATATCATGTAGGATTTTGGTCGATAATCGGGGATGCGATGCGAAAGAGAGAAACTTTTTAAATGGAAAAGTTTGATTTTACTTTCTTTTTCTTTTTTTCGTAACTATTTAGATACCAAGTATTAGGAAATTTTTTGTAACGGCACGATATGCCAGAAAAATCGGATTAACCAAGGAACGTCGTTTTGGGCCAGAATCTTATTTTTACGGCCGCCAGCCCTCCTGACCACGATAAATAGAGCATTGGTGACGGAGGGCAATGGTAAACCCCTCTCATTCGAAACGTTTTTTGCCAGAAAATTCCGGCCGGAACCGACTTTCTGACTGGGGGAGCCGGGCTTGTGGCGAGTGAAACAAATAGCGCGTAGCCAGTCATAATGATTCACCCGCGTTTTTTTTTTGGTTCACGGAAAATTGTGTATGGGAAAAAAGGATACATGAAGTGGAAAGGAAACAAAAAGAAAAAAAATCGAAGAAAACAAGCGAAAAATACATAGGGAGAAAATTGAAGACTGAAAAAATAAAAAGCAATGTGCCGAAGCTTGAAGAATAACGCAATCTCAAGATCAATAGAATTTTTCGATATTTCTCAAATTAACATTTTCTTAGAGTCGAGATAGTGGTATTTCTAGCTTTCGTAATTTCTTGTCGAGATTTAAGACCTTTTTAGAGTTTTTTAAAAAGCGAAGAAATCCATAAAAGTTGAACCAGAGTTTAGACGAGTTTTCTGCGCTTTGAAGAGTTGAAAAATCCTCAAAATTTATACCAAAAATAGCGTTAATTACTGGAAATTTTATTTGAATCCACGTAGGGTATAGAAAAGATATTAATTTCGCCGTACGAAAAACGGGGGAGCAAGAGAATTTGGCATCGAGGGGAGGGGTGAGCATAAATTAGTGGGGGGCCTCTAGCTCGGGCCAGATGCCCGGAAAATTGCCCGGAGGGCCAAGGGGGAAGAAGCTGCGAGGAGATGGGAATAAAGCCCCAAAACTGGCCCCCACCAGCCAGTAGCAGCAGCCTGGGGGTGCTCGAAAAGGTCAATAGGGATGTATTGGAGGGGGGTAGAGAAGGGGGAGAGGCTTCTGAAAAGGGGAGAGGAAGTGTACGCGAGACACCCAGGGACACCCCTCAGCTCTGCCCGCACACCACACACAACAACCCCCCACTGCTGGCTCTGGGGTCTCCGGAAATCTGGCGCTCTCTCGCCTCCACATTATCGTTTTGCCTCTCCGATTTCTCGCACTCTCTCACTCAACTCTATCCTTGTCGTTTCTCTATTCCTCTCCATCTTTCAGCCAACTTTTGCCCCTTTTTGTCTGCACCCTCTCCCCCTCTCCCACTCTCTCACCCCCATTTCTAATCCCTCCCCATTTCTCGCCCTCCAATCGGGGATTTCCGCCACGGCTCAACACTCTCCTTCCTCATCCCCGGGTTGGTCCCTAAATCTCCCTCCTCTCTGCACGCTCTCTCTCTCGCCCAACCAACCCCAAATCGCCGTTCCGAGGTCGGAGCCCGCACTGCACACACTCCTCCTGTTCACTGCCGAGGTCTGGATATCTTTCGGAAGCGAGAGAGAGAGAGAGAGAGAGAGAGAGAGAGAGAGATAGAGAAAGGTGGATCAGCTGTTGCTCAACATACGACCTCCAAATCAGCTCTGAAATATCAGAATTCGGGCGACAGTCTATTTTTCTAGCATTAAGAAATAGAGAGAGAGCGAGAGAGAGAGAGAGAGAGAGAGAGAGAGAGAGAGAGAGATAGAGAGCGCGCGCGAGAGAGCGAGAGAGGCAGAGAGAGAGAGAGAGAGAAAGAGAGACCGAAGATATCTGTGACTTCATACAGCTTCATTCTGGCTTGAAATGTCTCTAAACGCACAAATTTATCTCGTAAAACATATACCCGTCGTTTGGAGCATTCTGATCAAAAATTCATTCGATATGGTAATCACAACAAAAAAAATCACAATAACTTCGAAACAACGAAAATCGGCGATCCCTATGCCACATGCACCGTATTGCGTCCCATGAATATAATCGTGCTAACGACGGGCGGCCCGTTTTGCGTCGGGTTGATGGAGAGAATTCTGGAGACGGCAATTTTGCTATGCGCCTTCCCGCCCGAGATGGTGTCGTCGCGTTTTCCGAGCACGGTTTCACGCGTTTCTTTCGAGACGAGGACGATGAACCTGGGAGGGAGCGATTTATCTCTCTCTCTCTCGCTCTCTCTCTCTCCCTCTCTCTCTCTCTCTCTCTGCCTCTCCGCCTTTCTCACGCAATCTTACCAAAGTGGCGAAAAGCTGGTCAAATCGCAGAAAATTGGCGCCAGCTGGAAAAACGTCCAAAAATCGTCCATGCTCTGCGTATTGCAAATTATCTAAAAAACTCGAATTTTCCTGGTTTTCTTGACTTACTTACCGTATCTACAGCATTAATGCAGCCCATGACAAATTGAAAGACTGTCGTTGCAGTGAAAGCCACTTCTCGCTTTGAGAGCTTTCGCTTCTGAAAATGCAGTTCTTCACGCGCTCTCTCTCTCTCTATCTCTCTCTTTCTGCCTTTCTATCACTCTCTGCCTCTCTCTCTTGCTCTCTCTGTCTCGCTCTGTCTCTCTCGCTAGTCGGTCCCTAGAAAACACCCACCACTCGTTTGCAAATCAACATATAGGCGAGGTAAGCGTTGAGCGGGAAGCTAAAGAGGAGACAGCCCATGTTGAAGCCAAAATAGGCCCAGCTTTCCTCTTCCTGAAAATTTGATTTAGTGGGTCTAATTTTTAAATCGACTCGGAAGACAGCAATATGAAGTTTTTCTGTAATCTTGCCTTCATGGTTCCTTTAATAATCCGATTTATTCGAGCTTACCATCACTTTTCGGGTTAACAAAAATGTGTTTGCCCCTAGGTACCCACCGAGATGTTGGTATTCGGTATATAATACCCCCAGGAAAGTCGTATAAATTCGCTGCGGACGAACAGGCAGTTGATGCTCAATACGCAGGGTATTACGACGACAGCCACGCAGCACGGGTACGTCACACGTTTCCACAACTAAAAGGTCAAGTGAAAGGGTGGCAATACTCAAAATCGACCCGATCAAAAGACTAGGTATCGACAGCTAAGTGGCACGTCAAATCACGACTTATCATTTTATTGTAAGTATCCTTACGTGACGCAAACGCGCTGCGCGTGCTACAAACACGCTGCACACACGACAAAATAGCAAAGAAAAATGAACCCTGGAATTAGTGAAACGTACCCGCTCATACCGTAACGGCATAACCAGAGAAGTAAACCGATTCAAGGCTATTAACAGGGTCCCGAAACTCTGAACCATTAGGGTTACGGTAGCCCCGTAGTTGAGGATGGTCGGCCAGAGTCCTTCCTGAAATCGTGGATTTTAAAGGGACGGAGAAGTTAGTGCGTTCTTGCTTTCTTTCTGTCTCTCGCTCTCTTTCTCTTTATCTGTCTCTTTAAGCGTGCTCCTGCTCACCCTCCCTATCTGTTTCTCGCTTCAGCTTGCTTTAGTTTTCAAATTTTAAAGTTACTGTGACAGTCCATTGTATAAAAAGGATGAAAACCGGGTTTGCGCTTAATGGAACATTTAAATTATCCAAAACTAACCCGGAGATCGAGATACCACTCGTGTACACCCCAGGTCGGGAGCCGGACATCGAAAAGTTGGAAGAGAAAGGTGAAGATGTCCTAAAAATCGTGAATCTTATTAGGCTAAGGTTAAGGCTTAGGATTACGCATAGGCTTGGCTTATACTTGGCTTAGACTAGGCTTAGGCTTGTCAGGTTGTGTTCGTACACCTGGAAATCCTTACATTTGTGATGAGGACAAAGAAGATGCGTTGAAAATGAGTGCGAAAGCCTTGCCGAGCGTGTGCCCGGGCGATACGGTAGTAGATGCAGATTGTGAGCGCGCCGAGTACGACGAACACACAAGACGAGGTGATTTCGAACGGGTCGACGAAGCGCTCCTCAAAATCGTCATAGTCATCCAGGGAAGTTGTCGTCGTCAGGCCCGCCCCGACATTCGATGCCATCTGAAGCTATTGTACTGTAAGGTACGAAATGCGGAAAATTACGATGGAAAATTCAGAACTTTATGCTCGAAAACAAGCGGAAAACGGTCTAAGGCAAGAAAAGAATTTCCGAAATTCAGAGATTCGGAGCTCAAAGGACTGAATTTTGACAACGGGGCGGTCAGTAATTCGTTGATTCGATATTCCCATTATGCCCCAGTTTCACTGTAATTCGGCAGGGGACAATGGCTTTTTAACGGCTCCAGCAGTCGGCGAGCAAGTGGAACCGATGCATTAATGGAAAGCTCGCCATTAGCATAAATGGTGGGTAACAAAAGGGGGTAAGAATTAACTTTACCCCTGCTCCCCCCCCGCCCAAAACTTTTCGCGGTCAAGGAGATGCATATACAGAGCATCAAAAAAATCAACTAAACGTTTGGTATGGGGTGAAATCGACTTTTGTGCGCCGCGTGAATTACATCTTGTAATGCCTTGTAGCGCGCCCAATTCTTCGATCTTAGTCATTCCAAGAATAATGATTAAGATAGCCCAAGGATTCGAGGAATGGCTTTAGAATTTACAAATTCACGCATTCTCACGTCTAAAGTCACTCTAAACAGAGGGGAAAAATGCGCAGCGGTTGCATCTGGATATTTGCTGGGAATCAAGACTTACGCGTGCGCATCCGTCTTCCCTGCCCATTTAGAAGCTGTTCATGAAAATCTACGTAAGATGTGCTTTTAAATGCGCAAAATTTAATTTAGTGTTGGGCAAAATCCATAGGGAACCGATTGCCCGGAAAATCCCAAGCGCGGCTTGCCGGTCCCTTTAAATAGTGACAATCTGACGAGATTTGCACCAATTTTATTTGTGTGACTACCGTGACCACTGCCGTGCCAAATGTTGCTTTTTCACCTTGGTCGTGTGACTAGCCCATGTACACGCGCAAACAAAAAACACCAAATATTAATGGGAACCCCTCGTGTGGTTCGGATTTATTTATACCCAATTAAAATATAGAACCGACCCTGGGAAATCCTTCCAGTCACGCACTTCCCCCCCAAAATGATACCATTGTAAATACCCCCACCAAAAAAAATCAAGGAATTAATCTTGGACGCCACTCTTGCAAATTATTATTGCGCAGCAAAAACGCTTGTAGCCTTGTAGCCCAGCAAAAATTTGCAATACTGTAAAAATTAAAATACACTCTATAGCCTAATTGGCTGGTTGTTTTGATGGACGCAAAAATTTCAAAAAATCCGAATTTTTTAGATCGAAAAATACAGATTTCAAAACGGAAGCAAAGGAATACGGTACTTTTCTAAATCCCCGCTTTCCCAAGCCCAAATTACGCCCGAATTTCCGTGGAAAATCTGTGGTGTACTACGCGGAAAATATGCTAATTGGTGCCGGCCAACCCGTTGGTTTAAGATGCACTAAAATTCTTGAGAGGTCAATGGCAATTAACGCCTAAAAACGCATATATTAGGAGAACAAAAAAAACTAGATAAAATAGAGAAAAGATTTGAGGAAAATGGACTAGAAAATCGTCTTTAACATCCTAGATGATTTTTTTGGCACTTTTGCGTTATCGGGGGGAAAGGACCAACATCTGCATTATCGGGGGGGACTTTAGAAATTTTTATTCAGATGCAAAAAAAGCGATTTTTCGATCAAGAATTGCTGATTTTTTCATAGAAATGTAAATATTGTAGGCTTGTTTTTGAATAATTTTTCAATTTGAAATTTTGTTAAAAAAATCTATTCTAAATTTCTAAAAAACTATGAAGATACCCGCCTAGGCTTAGGCTCAGGTTCAGGCTCATGCTTAGGCTCAGGCTCAGACTTTTCGTTGTAATTTACCAGGGACAATTTTAGCAATTTAGCAAGTAAGAGTTAATTATTTTAAAGCTTTCTAGCTTTCAGCTCATCCTAGGCCTAGGTAAAATTTTCAAAAAAAAACCCCAATTTTCCCACCCTTTTAACAAAACAAAAAAGAGAAAAAAGAAATAGAAATTTTTCGCCCCTATGCCCTGCAATGTAATTCCCGGTGGACCGGGCCCACAAAAAAATTCCCAATTATGCGGAAAATGTTGGCCCTCCAAATTCTGGAAATCCCCCCGGGAAATCGAATCACTTTTCTGCGCCCCCGAAATCACGTTTACCCCCGGATTTGCATTAGAGGGGAGGGGAAAGGGCGGAATAGCAAAAGATTGAAATGCCGCAACGGAATCGGATTGTGTTGCTAAATGCCCTTTCTGGTTCTAGAACTTTTGATTGGAGTGCAAGGTTCTTTGTGAAAGACGCTTACTGTATCCGTTTTTTGGCTCGGCTTAGGCTTGGATAGGCTTGGCTTAGGCTTGGCTTAGGCTTGGCTTAGGCTTGGATAGGCTTGGCTTGGGCTTGGCTTAGGCTTGGCTTAGGCTTGTCCTAGGCTTGGCTTAGGCTTGGCTTAGGCTTGACCTAGGCTTGGCACTGGCTTGGCCTAGGCTTGGCACTGGCTTGGCCTAGGCTTGGCACTGCCTTGGCTTGAGCTTCGCTTAGCCTTGGGCTTGAATTCGGCTTGGCGTAGGCTTGACTTAGGCTTGGATTGGGCTTGGCTTAAGCTTAGCGTAGGTTTGGTTTAGCTTTCGGATAGGGTTAGCCTTAGGCTTAGGTTGGCAGAGCCTAGTGCACAGCGCAAGGCAGTCCCCCCCCCCCCCCCCCGATAATGTAAAAGCACAGTAAACTTCGGCATTCGAATTTTTGGCTTTATACTAGCAAATCTCGCAAAACACCAAGTAAATTTTACGAGCAAACAGAAACACCGAGTCCCTGTCAAAAATTTGAGCTGACCCTTATAGTAAGGAAAATACGGTCAAATGATCAAATTGTGCTCAAAAACATTTTCTGCTCCATTCCCACTCCAGTTAGGCGATGGTCAGTTCAGAAGGTATTGAAGTGATCACTGGGCAGTACCTGAAAAACTCCCGAATTATGCGGAATTGGCCTGGGAAAGCTTATAGAGCCACGGAAAGTCCGCTCCCCAGCCGTAGCGCTGCCACTGGTACGGAGTCTCACGCTGACCTCTTCGAGACACTGGGGCGTTCCGTAAAAATCAGGGGAAAGCTTTTTGCTTAATTTCGGACTTTCGCTTTACGGAATGAAGAGCCTTTCATATTTGCTTGGTAACCTAGCGTGCCAAAGCCAAGTCCAAGCGAAGCCTAATTCAACCTAAGCCTAAGTCAAGCCTAAGCCAAGCATCAGCCAAGCCTAACAACAGCCAAGCCTACGCCAATCGGTCCAATTGAATTGGACGACCACCCAGACAGGTTCGTCCGATGTCTCCTTTCGCGTCCCGACTCGCCCCCCACCTGGCCCACTTCCCCACCACAAATACACACCCATCCCCTCATCTATATCGCTTCTGGCCTCTGGCTATGATCAATTGTTTAGTAAATGTTCTTATCGGCTTAATCTCCGATACGTACACTATTGTGTACAACGAGATTAACATATTTTTGGAAATGGTTCGGTTAGCAGAAGCTTGCTTCTCGCCAAACAGCGTCGTCCCGGCATTGCACATGCCGTCGGGCACGGCGCACACCCCGAAATGGGGTGAACAATATTCTTAAATGACTAAATTTTAAAGCTAGTACAAATACACCTATTTACGCCTACTGATAGGCCCATGCACCGATTCCCTGAACGGGTCCTTCAATTACAGTTTTGATTTGTGATGCAGTTTTGGCCGATCAGACACCGCAAGAAACGATTTATCCAAAACTAGCTACAACCCGTATTTGTCAGGATTCATCCGTTTTCGATGGTTGTCATGGCTGTGGGAACGTAACATTACACGTAAATGTAGCCGCATTAAACCCGGGTTTTTTCTTCACCACGTCGTTGTAGTAAACCTGAAATCAATAGTTTAATGAATTTTTCAGGACCTTTCGATTGAGCATTCATAGACCATCGCTCTCTGGTTGAAATGCACCCACCATTGAATGTTTTCCCAAACGTTCCAAGTCCACAAAATCGGGTCCCATGTGTGTCCTATTGTAGATACTCTCTGATAGACAGTGAATGCTCAGAAAGTCAAAATCAGGAATAAACTTGTTGATCATCAAGTAGCGGCTGGAGATGTTTCTGGAATTACCGAGCGTAATCAATAAAAACTCTTCTCTCTGGACCGAAAATTCTCGATATGGCTAAAAAGTTCCCCACTGTTAAAATGTCAGAATGTTAAAATTAATGTTGCAAGTCAAAAAAACAAAGTTTAATAATGCCGAAACTCAAAAATATCAAAATTTAATAATTTCGCAACTCAGAATATCGAAAATTAATAATTTAGAAGTTCAGAATATCGCAAATCCACAATATCGAAATATATCTATCTCGAAACTTAATGAGGCGGACTTTCAGAACACCGAAACTTATAATTTTAAGACCCAGAATAGCGAAAATTAATGATGCCGAAATTCAGAAAACCGAGATTTAGTAACGACGAAATTCAGAATGTCAAAAGTTGATAATTTAGAAATTCAGAATAGCGAAATTTCAACGACGTCGAATATTGTATCTACCGAATTTTGGCATTTTTAATTTCGGTATTATGGAAGTTCGAGCTCTGACTTTTGACCTCCGGAAAATTTCGAATTTCGGGATTTATGAAAATGTATCAACGATCCTACCGAAGCCATGGCAAATCCTCGACTCCCCAAATACAGATCCCGTGCCGCCGTTTCCCGGTTTCACACTTTCCGCCGCCCCAGCGTGTCAGCCTAAACCATGTCGATGACGTCGGATTCTCGAAGTCCTTTCAATATTGCTTACCGCGAAAAGTATGAACTGGGTTGTTTGGCAGCGCAATTATGATGGTAGCCGCCCGGCATCAGTAGCGTCTCGGAATTGGTGAGCGTCGCCAGGAATTGCTCGTCGATGCCGTATCCCTAAAATCTCGTCAATTATATTTTTACGAAGCTCGGAATTTTGAAAAGTTAAAAAAGTAAAAAGCGAGAAACCGCAAAATGTTTTAGAAAACCTAATCGTTTTTACGGAAAAATTGGATTTTAGGGCGCGAGGGAATTGCATGTAATGCCGTCTATAGCCCCAAATTTCTCGCTATCGGTGATTCCTGGGTCAGTTTTGATAATTTAAACTTCTAGACTGCTTAAAATTACGTGAGAATTCCAGTAATAGTCCAAAATATGAAAAGTTACACTTTTACAGGTCCAAAAATGATCAATGCGTATACGGCGCAGTCGCGTTGGCGCTCATACTTACTTATTTCCAGGAATCTATGCTCTATCTATAGAATTCTAGGCATTCTATATGCTTTAAAGTTTTTTTAGCTACTTTTCCATTCAGCGCGTTGAACTGGTCGACCATGGTGGTGAGGTTGACCTCGCGTGTCATCCAATTTACCGTCTTTCGGGCGAGCGCCGCCTAAAGGTATATTTAAGGAACGGGAAAGGTAAGAGTCTCAGGGAAACCCCTTTTGGATAGAGATCCTTGAATTCCAATAATTTGAATTAATAGATTTTACCTCAACCAACCCCTTTCCGAATTCAATTTTGGCCGCTTTCCTTTGTGCCGGCGTGTGGGGACTGTCTAAAGCGGGTTAAATTTTTAATTTCTGCCAATAAGCTAGTTTTAACAATATTTTTGCGACCTGTCAATGCCAAAGCCACTATGCATAGTCGCTTTGGCATTATCAGGGGGGTTGGAAGAAACTTTTTTTCGTTGACTTACTTTTCATGAAAATATTCAAGCCGGCCACGGTCCAATTCAATTTAGCGTTGATGCGACCTTTGATCCACTTTTTACCGTCTCCGGTCGAGATGTCGTTGTAGCCTTTTAGTGGCTAAAAAGTGGCTTATGAAATGAACCGCATTGAGCAATTTGAATCTATCCAAAAAAAGTATAACATTTTTAATGTTTTATCAAAAATCTATATTTTTTGTATCTACCATTCTGTAACTTTTGTATTTTTCTTTAATTTTTAAAAAGATAGCTTTAAAAAAGAAAAGACAAGTTAGAAACTATTTAGAGAAACTGGACACGAAAGGAAAAAGTCGACCCCCCCCCAGATAACGAAAAAGCACCAAGCCAGGTACCTTTAACATCATCATCAGCTCCTCGTTCGAATGGGCCAGGAAATCGTAGGTCTAGAAATAAAATGTGCTTATGTAAACGTAACGCTTACGGTAGGTTGTTAGAGGGTAAACCGTACCTGTTGCAGAATGACATATTCCCATCCGGGCTGCTCGATCAACACCTCGAGACAATCCAAATGGGCTCGATTCACGAAACCTCCAGCAGATGTCATGCTTCTTTTCTCTAAGAATACGATTCAGAACGGATTTTTGCTAGCTTGTCTATTTGGCCACTTTAGTTGGAATTTAGTAGGACAATGAATACCCCGGGGGTACAATTGGGTGATCGCTGGGGATCTCATCTGTCGATGCCCCCTTCACCGTCCCGACTCGCCCCCCCACCTGGACCACTTCCCCACCGGAAATACACCCCCCTCCCCTCATCTACATCGCTTCTGGCCTTTGGCTATGATCAATTGTTTAGTAAATGTTCTTATCGGCTTAATCTCCGATACGTACACTATTGTGTACAACGAGATTAACATATTTTTCGAAATGGTTCGGTTAGCAGAAGCTTGCTTCTCGCCAAACAGCGTCGTCCCGGCATTGCACATACCGTCGGGAACGGCGCACACCCCACGTGGGGTGAGCAACCCTTTTCAAAAAATACCATTAATAAATAATTTATACGCTGGCCTTTCGGTGGAGGCGATTGAAGAAATTCGTCGTCTCTACGAAGGTGCCACAACATCCGTCCGAAGTTCCACTGGTCCGACTCCGGCCATCAACATTCAAGCGGGCGTCAAGCAGGGCTGTCCACTCTCGCCGATCGTGTTCAACCTCGCCCTCGAGCCCGTCATCCGTGCCGTCATCAACATGGATGCTGGCTTCGTGATCAATGACAGGATGGTGTCGGTGCTCGCCTATGCTGACGACCTGGCCATCGTGACCAAGGACCCCGATGACCTTCATGCCGTGCTCAAGACCGTGTCCGAAGTCTCTACATGGCTCGGTCTCGTGTTCAACAGCAAAAAGTGTGCCAGCCTCGTCATCAACTCCAACAAGCACACCACCATGCCGATCGAGTACAAGGTTCAAGGATCCAGGATGGTGACGCTCGACTCCAACGACCACTACGAACATCTCGGCGTGCCCACCGGCTACTACCAAGGCTCTTCTGCAGACAAGACCATCACGAAGATGCACCAGTGCCTCGACAAAATCCACTCTTCTCTACTCGCCCCCTGGCAGAAAGCGGACGCCGTCAACACCTTCATCCTGCCTTGCATCGCCTTCCATCTGAAGAATGGCCACGTCGAGAAGAAGAAGCACCTCATCCCGTTCGACAAGAAGTTGAAGAAGTTCGCCAAGTCGTGGATGAGCCTCCCGAGTCAAGCTAGCCCCGAAGTCGTCTACCTGCCGCACAACATGGGAGGCCTCGGCCTCATCCAGACCAAGACCCTCGCCGACGTGATGCAGCTGGTGCATGCTGTCCAGCTGTTGGAGTCGACTGATCTCGGCCCAATGACTGCTCAGCTGCTCCGTACAGCTGTACAGAAGAAGATCAAGCGTGCGCCAACCGACTCCGAAGTGGCCGACTACCTGAACCAGAAGCTTGACGGCGCCTTCGAGACGTACTACGCCGACACCCGCAACATGTGGACAAGAGTGCGACAAGCGACCGGCCACCTCGTCAAGACCGACAAGCTCGATGTGAAGTGGACGTGGGCCAACGACAAGATCCAGCTGCTCGTGCTCGGATGTGCCGTCACCAAGAAGACGTGTGAGAAGATGCTCAAGCGCGCCGTCCATCAAGCTCAGCTCGTTCACCTCACCGCCAAGAAGAGCCAGGGCAAGGTCTACAACATCACCGCCCACCAGCCCGTCTCCAACTACTTCCTGCGTGATGGACGCTATATCCGCTTTGCGGATTGGCGCTTCGTTCACCGTGCAAGACTCGACGTCGTTCCACTAAATGGCTGCAACCGTGCCCGTGATCAAAAAGACAAGCGCTGCCGAAGATGTGGCTACCAACTCGAGAGCGTCGCCCACGTCCTGTGTCATTGCCCTGCTCACGCCCACGCCATCACCCTGCGCCACAACGCCGTCCTCGACCGCCTCGTCAACGCCATCAAGCTGCCCGCGACCACCACGAAATATGTCAATGTCAAGATCCCCGGCACTGATGGTCAACTACGTCCCGATCTCGCCCTCGTCGACCATGTGAAGAAGCGTGTGACGATTGTCGACGTGACCATGCCGTTCGAGAACCACGACCTGGGCGTCTTCGCTGCCGCACGTGCCGAGAAGCTCCGCAAGTACGCCGACATCTTCAACAAGTTCAACGCGGATGGCTACGACACGTTCCTGGACGCCTTCATCGTTGGGCCACTCGGCGGATGGGACCAAGAGAACGACAACGTGCTGCGCCGGCTCGCCATCTCCGTCAAGTACGCCGCGCTGATGAAGAAGTTGATGGTCGCCGACGCGCTGAAGTGGTCAAGGGACGCATACGTTGAGCACATCACCGCCCACCGCCAATATCAAGCCTAAAAGAAGCGATAACCATTTTCTAGTCATCTTTTAAATTGTAAATTTTTCGTGCCCCCTCCCGAATCTCCCATCCATTTGTGATCAATAGATTCTCCCAATTTCTCCCTGAAAATGTTGTAAGCCCCTATTTTAAATGACCTGCGTGTCATTTCGTGTATTCTTTCGAGATTGTTTTACTGCCGCATTATCCGGCCCTCGGGCCGAGAATTTGCTAATAAACGTTAACTGTTCTTATCGGCTTAATCTCCGATACGTACACTATTGTGTACAACGAGATTAACATATTTTTGGAAATGGTTCGGTTAGCAGAAGCTTGCTTCTCGCCAAACAGCGTCGTCCCGGCATTGCACATGCCGTCGGGATCGGCGCACACCGCCAAGAGGAGGTGAACCAACTGCTATCAACCATTATAACCATTTTTGATTGAGCTTTTGATAATAACAGTGAGCATATCACAACGAAGTGTTTTCCCGGCCCCAAATTCCCCAAAGCTATCTGCTAGCATGCCCCCTTTTCCTACCCGGGGGCACATACACATTCGGCAAACAGCTGGCTAGCATCCGGAAATGCCGCTGAAATTCCGGTTTTGATTTTGAATCGATGGAGAAACAGTAGTGATTCTCGGGGCTGTACGTCGTGGCGAGGGCCAGCTCGAGGAATTCGTAGTCCTGAAGGTTGTGGAAATGGTAAATACACCTCCGAATTACCGTATGAACGTCTTTAGCAAAAGCGATGGAATAATTCAAGAGAGGGGGGAAGAACCGAGCCGATCACTCGACTTCGAATATCTTCACACGACATCGAGAGGTTGGCGATCGGCTGGAATGGAATGGAAAGGGGTGCTTTGGCATTATCGGGGGGGGGGGGCATTTTTTTGGGGAAGATCTGATTTTTCTAAAATAAATAGAACATAGGCAAAAACTGTGCGTTTTTTATTACAAAAGATATTTTTTTGAATGGTTTGTATTTTTTTTGAAAAATACAGAACATGTCGTCTTTTGGAATTTTCGACCAAAACTTCGTATTTTAGAAAATTTAGGGAATTCTGATTAAGAAACGTAACCCCCCGATAAAAGACAAGCACCATTTCTCCTTACCTTTAACTTAATCCGCTGTTTACCGACAAATTGCTTCGTATATTTTACGTCTCCAGCAAATATCCTGGCACAATCCACGTGAGCTACCTATAGAAAAAAATAATATAATTTTTTTTAATGAATTTAATGAAACTAATATTATTTTTGTTTTAATTTTATTCTAAACCCACCTCGGGCCGACTTCTGAAACGCGGTAGCGTCTTTTCAGCAAAACTTGGAAGCCCGATTCGCGCGGAAATAACTATAACCGTCAATTTTTTAGGTTTGAAGGCTTACTTTTGACTTGTGGACCCAGTTCGCCTTGTAGTAAAAATAGTAAAAACAGTCCGGCCATGAAAATGCAAATTCTCTCGACCCAGGGCGCTATTGTACTGGGTTTGGCTAGCATCTAAATGGTGGTTTTTCGGTTTTTCGCGCAAATGCATAGCAATGCATTAGTAGAATTTACAAATATTTCATATTAAAAACTTGGAAACTGAAAAATTATGCTTTTCCTAGCATTTTTTTTTTGAAATGCCTGAAGCGTTTGTAAGAAGGAGCCAAAAAAAGGCCAAAAAAAGTAAAAAGACAAAAAGCAACACAGAAGATTGAAAATGAATATGCAGTAAACAAATCACGGGGAAAATAGCATTGATTGTAATTTTTAAATTTACCCCCGACGCGTTGCCAGGCTTGCCGCGGGCTTGACATAGAGATGTCACCGCTGAAACCCTTCTCCGGGGCATATTTAAAAGGCCAGACGATTTAATAATTACTACAGAATTAATCTCTATAATTGGAAATGTAATTTTTGGGTGTCACCATCTCGAAAATCGTAATCTCGAAAATCAGTATCTCCAATTTTCATAATCTCGAATTTTTAGAACCTCGAAAATAAAAGAAGCCTCCGGAAATTGCACGCCTACGCCCGGAATCGGGCCTAGGCATAGTTCGACATTTTCGTAAAATTCCTGCGAACGTAGGATACGTAACTTGGATTTCGTAGTTCAAATGACTATAGCTGGCACAGGTTTTAATGGTCGACCGAAAGGACAACTACCAATTCAGCGGCGTTCAAAAGGCCCTTCCACCGGCTGCAAAACCGTGAGAAAATATTTACACGTCGACTGGTGGTCTTTAGATTGGCAATGCGGATGCGCCACCGATTGCATTGGTGGGCAAAATTAGATTCCGCTGCAATAATACGGGGGGCAATCACCCATAGATGATAGTAAGATCGCGGAAAAAGCGGCGCCTGACGATTCCTAAATAATCACTGCTAGCTTGCAATAGAGGCTTTTTCAGAGCTTTTAGAAGGCCACAAAAGGTTACGAATCGGGGTTAGCGGGCGTAGCCCGCTAACCCGTTTTGGTTTGAGTCTTGGTACTGGGCTGTTAGCCGGGGATTTTAGCTGTTATAATTTTAATTTTGTGGTGATTTTAATGCTCTTTGATTTTGCGGAAGTTATGAAAATATTTGAGAAATTTCAGAAAATTCAATGAGAATTTTTACGTATTTTTCTGGATGCGAAAGCTGTGTAAAAAGATACAAAATAACAAAATTTGTTAAAGGTTCGTACGGAATCACCGGACAAAAATTGATTTCCCGATCCCCTTGCCCCCATTGGATTTTCAGCATTTTTTTCCTCTTTTTTTTCAGAGTTGGATAGAAAAAAGCCAACTGCTTACGCTATGTAAAAACCGTAGAGAGCGCGTTACACGACAGGCACTAGATATTTGGAAACTGACACGGGCCGTCCTGACGCCTTTAACAAGACCTGGAACTCCAAACTCGAAGCAAGGCTTTTTGGCGTATCAACCATTTACAACCAGTTCCAAAATTCCAAAGTGCCGGGATAATCATTAAGGCGTTGAAAATTATATAATTTTAGGCGCTTTACGGCCACAGTCAGCCGAGAATTTATGTGAATACACCCCGGACGCTTAAGGCGAGATAAGCCGCGTGCAAAATTAGCCGGAGCGACACGGACCAGAGAACCTACAGACCCTGATAACGGGCTGCGACTCTTTGCGAAAGCCCTGTGACTATTTTGACCATAGAAGTGGTGTTTTCAGGGGTTCAGGACGGTCAAACCGGGCGGCGTCTTGGGGGTGTTCAGCGGGCATTGGTTGTATCCAGGATATTCTGGTGCCCCTTCGACATCGACCTGATTCTGAGGCGTTTAGCTGTCAGCGGTTTCTAAGTGATTTTTGGGCTGACAGTCTTCGAGGGGAAAACGCCGACAGCAATAATCCAGACAGCTAAACACCGAAAACCAAAATCCTGACAACCAAAATACCGACATCCAAAATCCCTACAAGCAGAATAGGTATTTAAAAGGAAATGGCATTGCTACTAGCTTCACGAATGCACCTGTCGAGATTGTGGCTGGCTATAGATTTTCGAAAATGACCATGGAAACCGTCAAAAGGCGATATTACGGCAGCAGATGCACGTCATCTGAAATTTCAGTACGAGGCATCTAATCTGGTAAATTTAGTAGGTCAACGAATACCCCCGGGGTACAATGGGTGACCGCTGTGGATCTCTTCTGTTGATGTCCCTTTCCCCGTCCCGACTCGCCCCCCATCTGGACCACCTCTCCACCTGAAATACACCCCCCTCCCCTCATCTACATCGCTTCTGGCCTTTGGCTATGATCAATTGTTTAGTAAATGTTCTTATCGGCTTAAGGGCCGCCGCCCCCCCCCCCCCCCCCCCCCCCGGAAGCCCCCCGGGGGGGGGGCGCGCCCAGGGGGGGGGCGCAGCGGCGCCCTCTTCCCCCCCGGGGTCGGGGGTCTTTGCCCCCCCCTTCCCTTTAATCTCCGATACGTACACTATTGTGTACAACGAGATTAACATATTTTTGGAAATGGTTCGGTTAGCAGAAGCTTGCTTCTCGCCAAGCAGCGTCGTCCCGGCATTGCACATACCGTCGGGAACGGCGCACACCCCACGTGGGGTGAGCAACCCTTTTCAAAAAATACCATTAATAAATAATTTATTAGCCTAAACACACCCGTATCTGCACGAAAAATAGTGTGGAACCGTAGAAACCCGACCTTATGTCATGGCTGTGGAAATGTAATATTACACGTAAAGGTGCTGGAATTAAACCCGGGTTCTTTCTTGACTACGTCGTTGTAATAGACCTCAAATCGATCGTTTTATAAGCCGAGGAACACTTACGATAGCGTGCTTTCCGAGAAGCTCCAAATTGACGAAATCGGGACCCATATGTGTTCTGTTGTAAATACTCTCTGATAGACAGTGAATGCCCAGAAAGTCGAAATCGGGAAGAAACTTGTTGATCATCAGGTAGCGGCTGGAGATGTTTCTGGAATTACCTCGCGTAATCGATTCGTTTATTTTTGTAGAATCCGAAAATCAATAAATCTCAGAAGAGCGTGCTAGAGCGAATGAGAGAGAGAGAGAGAGCGAGAGTGAGAGAGAGCGAGAGAGAGAGTAAGAGGGAGAGAGAAAAAGAGAGAGCGGGAGAGAAACAAACCTGAGCATCGGCAAATCCTCAACGCCCCAAATGCACTGCCCCTTTCGCCATTTCCGCGTTTTACAATCGCCCTTCCAGATGGTATAGCTAAATCAAAAAAAAATAAAAAAAAAAAATTTAAAAAAAAAAAAATTTTTATTTTTTTATAAGCGGTCAGCCCGATAAAAAAAACGCTGTATTTGATTACTACAGCTCTTAGGCATATTTGTATATAGTATACTAGATTTTTCCATCGTTATCTTCTGGCCTACCGCGTAAAGTAGCCGAAGCCCGGCTTTCCCCCACATCGATGGTGCAAACCGCCCGGCATCAGCAGCGTCTCGGAAAGGGCCAGTGTGGCGATGAATTGCTCGTCGACACCGTAACCCTAAAAATCTGGTAGTGCTGAAAATTGGTCATAAACTACGGTCTTATTGTGGGTGAGGTGATCGATGAGTGTAGTGAGATTGACGTCCTGGGTCATCCACTTCACTGCTTTTCGGCCTAGGGTAGCCTAGAAAAAGCGGACAAATTTATTTGTTTGGTCTCTCTCACCCGCTCTCTCGCTCTCCCCCCCCCCTCTCCCTCTCTCTCTCTCTCTCTCTCTCCTCCTCTCTTCTCTCTCTCTCTCTCTCTCTCTCTCTCTCTCTCTCCTTCTCTCTCTCTCTCTCTTTCTCTCCCGCTCTCTCTCTCTGACTCCCCTAAAGTCTTTGCTTACTTGAACATATCCATAGCCGAATTCGATCGTCGCTGCCTTCTTTTGCTCGGCCGTATAGGGACTGCCTGAAAATGTGTAAAAACGGTATTTAAAAAGCTATATTTTACACAGTTCCTTTTTTATTTATTTTCGAAGCTTTTAAAACTCGTAAAACGCTCTTAAAAGCGTACTTTTCGTAAAAAGATTCAGCCCGGCCGCTGTCCAATTCAGGCTCCGATCGATCCGCTTTGCCAGCATTTGTTCCGGCTGGCAGGCAAAAATGTCGTTGTAGCCATTCAGCTTCTAAAAATAAAGCTGTTTTAACGTTTTACTCGGAAAAATTGCTACAAAGGTGTCTCCGGTTGAAAAACTTATAGTACACGTTGATACCTTTAACATCATCATAAGCTCCTCGTTCGAATGGGCAAGGAAATCGTAGGTCTAAAAGCTTATTGTATTTTTGTTACCGGAACGACTACGGTAGATTACTAGATGGCATACTGTACCTGTTGTAAAATAACATATTCCCATCCGGGCTGCTCGATTAACACCTCGAGACAGTCCAAATGGGCTCGGTTCACATAGGCACCCGCTGATGTCATGCTCCTTTTCACTACAAAAAGGACGATGTTTTGTAAGCCTAAGCCAAGCCCAAGGCAAGTCAAGTCCAAACCTAAACCAAGCCTCGGCAAAGCCTAAGCCAGGCCTACGCCAAGTAAGCCAAGGCTAAGCCAAGCCTAAGCCAAGCAAGGCTTAATCTCAAGACTAACCTGGCGTCAAATACACATTCGGCAGGCAGCTGGCCAGCATCCGGAAACGATGTTGAAATTCGGGGGTCGACTTTGAATCAACGGCAAAACAGTAGTGATTCTCGGGGCTGTAAGTCGTGGCGAGACCCATCTCCAGAAACTCGTAGTCCTGAATGTGAAGACCATAGTGCGCTTCAGCGCAACATACTGTATGCACTCCCTTAGCGAAAGCGATCGAAAAGTTGAGCCGGGGATGGGGTATCGGGCCGATTACACGACTTCGGATAGCTTCACATGACATTGAGAGGTTGGTGGAAGGCTGAAAGGCTTGATTTTAAGGATGACGATTGATACATGAAAAATATGGTTTCCGACGTCTTCGAGGAGGTTAGTCTAGGGCTGTGGCGGCTCTGGAGACTCCGGCTGTGGGCTGTGGCGTGCTTAGGCTGCACGAGGGAATAAAGTGGTTCCGACGCCTTTTAAGCAGTTAAGCGGAGCGGGTTATGTGTCGTTACTGCCTAAGGTAACAAAACGGCTTCCGACGTCTTGGAAGAGGTCGAACTAGGCCCGCGCTGCGTGTCGTTACTCCCTGAGGGAACAAAATGGCATCCGACGTCTTCGAGATAGTCAAGCTGCGCGCGCGTTGTATTTGGCATCCGCGCGAAAAAACCCAGCTGGATTCTCTAGCGAACGAATCCATATCCATCCCATAAATATCCGTTTAACGAATCATACCTTTAATTTGATCCGTTTCCGCCCAAGAAACTGCTGTGTATACATCTTATCACCGGCAAAAATACGAGCGCAATCGACGTGGGCTACCTAAAAATATTTGTATCAAACATCAAAAAATAATTACTTCAGGACGGCTCCGAAAACGTGGCAAGACAACGGCATCGGGTGAAGGCAAGATTGTGAATTGAGCGGAAATGCCTAGAACCTTAAGTTAAGGCTAAAAACTTTAAGCGGATACCTTCCATCTGGACACTGCGTTCCCTCTGAAGTAAGAGGAGGAAGCTGGCCGCGATTGCAACTAGGCAAATTCCCTCAAGCCAACGCCCCATATTGGAGGGCTTTGAAAATGACTTTTGTTTTGATTTTTGGCGATTTTTGAAGGCTTGAAAACTGAATAATCATCAAAGCTGGTCAGATTCAACCGGAGCAAAGTAGAGATGGAGAGGCCGAGAGGGGGGGGGGGGGAGAGAGAGAGAGAGAGAGAGAGAGAGAGAGAGAGAGAGAGAGAGAGAGAGAGAGAGAGAGAGAGAGAGAGAGAGAGAGAGAGAGAAAGAGAGACAGGGGACGAGAAGAGAGAGAGAGCGAGAGAGGGAGAGAGGGAGAGAATTTGTTGAGGGAACGCCCGTGAAATTCACCCTAACCCAGGCATCCCCCGCTGAACATCCAAAATTGCGCATTCAACGCAGCCCCGCTTTATTAAAACCCTCCACCCTCCCCTTTTGAACTCAGCAAAAAAGGACTGAAAAAAATTCAAATTGGCCATCGAGTTTGATGCGGTGTCTACCTACGCATGGATCAAAACTCATTGAACAAGTGATGTTCTGGTGTGTTATCGGGGGTGGGCTAAATTTTTCGTATAAGTCCAGAAATCGTTAGTAATAATAGTGAATAAATAAGTTTTAACCGGATTTCTGGCCAAAAAAAATATACAGAATTTTAAAATATGGCTGAAAATGTTTTAAAATTTCAAAATTGTGCTTTTTCTTGACCCATTACGCTATGGAATGATGGCAAGTGGTAAACAGGACCGAAATTTGCATAACGATTTTAAATTGTTATAAACTTGATTGGATTAGCATAACTTATTCCGGCCCGGAAGTGGCTTCTTGTGCCCGCTGGCTCAAAAAGGTGTTTCATTTCCTACTTTCTGCTCCGTGCCTCCCCACCGTGGTGAACATCGTCTACGAAATGCTATTCCAATTCTTCACCTTCCTCATCCTCATCCTCGTCGTCATCGGTTGCGGTGGTGGTGGTGGCGGCCCTCGCAGTAGGTTTTTTGGGATTTATTTTGGCTTAAGTGCAGTTCCCCCCCCACCCCAGCCGACCCCCACCTACCGTATCTCGGCTCTCTGTTCAACTACAGGTGTGTAAAATATGCGAAAATACTCGCCAGAACAAGTCGAATATTTTGGTATATTTTACACACCTGTAGATGAACAGGGAGCCGAGATACGGTAGGTAGGTGGGGCGGGGGGTGTTTCTGCCGGTTACCGACTTTACCCCCCCTTCCGCTTTTCTCTTCAATCGACTCGACCATCCGTTTTCAGAAAGCAAAAAAAAGAAAGAGAAAGCCCAAGAGCCGGTGACGCCGGAATCGGTTGAAGAGCCGGAAGCGCCGTCGAAGGAAGCGAAGACAAAGAAGGCTTCTGCACCCAGCCGGGAAGCCAAGTCCGCCCAGGTCAGCAGGGTTGACTCGTCTTGTTATTAAGTTACAATTTTTCGAGTATAGATAACTTATAGATCGAAATTGTTTTTTATTATTCCTGAAGGTAAAAACTTTACAAATTGCTTGCAAAAATTTCGATTTTCTAAGAAAATTTCGACTTTTTCACTTTTAATAGCGTATAGACAGTTTTTATGGTTGAAATAGCGTTGCATTTACCTAAAAACTAATAAAATAAGTGCTCTTCGCCATTAGACCTTTAAATTGTGCAAAAAAATTGGTTTCCCCCGTTTTCCTTTTTATTGATTTTTGCAGGACGGAGCTTACGAAGACTACGACCTATCGCCCGCCAAATAATCTCCAACTCGCGACGAGCACCCCACCACAATCACCCCCAACGACAACAACACACGAACAATCAATCCCCCCGTCGAGATGAGCCACGCGAAATCAAGGAAGAATCGCTCTGCGTTGTGTTATGATTCGTTTTTTGTTAAATACTGATGAATAAATGGCTGCCCTGGTGCGATAGAGGTTTCTCTCTCTCTCTCTCTCTCTCTCTCTCTCTCTCTTTCTCGTCTCTCTCTCTCTCTTTCGCTCTCTCTCGTCTCTCTCTCTCTTTCGCTCTCTCCCTCTCTCCTCTCTCTCTCTCTCTCTCTTTCTCTCTTTCTGTCTCTCTTGGTTTTTTCTATATACGGGTCTTTCGGTTTTACTCCTTTATTAACACCCGTTTTCTGGAATGTAACGTACCCCAAAATACCTAATAAAAGGCAAAATTTGTCTCTAAGGGTTCTCTACATCTCGTTTGGCTCATGCTCATTTCGGAAACGTCACATTGCAGTCAAACGTTTCCGCGTCAAAGCTTGGCTGCTGTTTTAGCACCTCGTTGTAGTATTTCTGGAATATTGCTTGTTTGAGTTTAAGAAATTCCCATACAATTCCATGTTTTCCCAGCTTCTCCTCATCAATCGGATCCGCCCCATAATGGGTTCGATTCCAGATACTTTCCGCCATACACGAAATGCCGGCAAAATCGAAATCGGGCAAAAACTTGTTGACCATGACGAAGCGGCGGGAGATGTTCCTGGAATTATTGCTGTTTTAAAGGCGTTGTGACAGCTAGACTCGAGTGGAAAGCTCAAGGAACTCTGCTAGTTGACGTATACGCGCCGTTGCCTAGCAGGGTCCATTGTGGAATCCAGCCACTCCGAAAAATCCCTGCTAGTTTGCCCTTTCAGGGAATGGCAGGCTAGCTGAGAGAAGAGAGATACATAGCGAGCGAGAGAGAGAGAGAGAGAGAGAGAGAGAGAGAGAGAGAAAGACCCCACCCCGGAAAAATCGCACAAGATAAATGGCCCGCAGATGACATGCTAGCCTAATGCTCAACCCAACTCACCTGAGCGCCACCAAATCCTCGACGCCCCACACGCACTGATTGGCGCGCATCCGATTTGTGCCGCAGGGTTTGCTCCATTTTGTGTATCTAAAGTGGTACGGTAGATTTTTAGGTTCTGGTGCGTTAGCGGGGGGAGGGGACGGAAAGCTGGGGAAATCAAATTTTCCCTATAACCCAAGATAGATTGGGCGGGAAAAATTATTGATCACCGCTAACGCCTCCCCCCGCTAATAGTCAAGTCCCGTTTTTAACGCAACTTTTTCTGCTAGACCGCGAGCTGACCTCGTCATAAACGTCGGAATCCCCTTCTTAATACATCTGTGATGAAACCCGCCCGGCATCCCCAACGTATCCGAGTTGATCAGCGTCGCGATGAACTGCTCGTCGACGCCGTAGCCCTGCCGAATTTCGGAGATTTTTATAAATCCTTTAGGGCCTCAAACCTTGTGATTCAAAAAGTTGAGCTGCTCCACGAATTTCGTCAAGTTCACCTCGCGCGTCATCCAATGGACTGCTGCCCGGGAAAGGGAGGCCTGATTTGGAGATCTGATTAGAAATCTACGACTTACCTGGACATAGCCCTTGGCGAAGTCGATACGGGCTTTTTGTTTAGGCGCTGGGCCGAAGGAGAAATCTGGAATTGGATTCATCTCTCGATATGCCTCTCTTTCTCTCTCTTTCTCTCTCTCTCGCGCTCTCTCTCTCTCTCTCTCTCTGGCTGTTTCCCCCTTCGGGTCATATCCTACTTTTCGGGAAGAAATTCAACTCCTCCACCGTCCAATTCAACGCGTATTCTATTCGATTCCCGGGCACCAAATTAGTCGTCGCATCATTGGAACCGTTGAGGATCTATAAAAGAAAACTTTGACAAATTGCTAAATATTCCTTCAAGACTGGTTGGATTTAATTTCCTTTAAGCCCCTAAAATCGACTGGAGCTCTGCCACCCCACCTTGAACATGTTCATGAGCTCCTCGTTCGAGTGGGCCACGAGGTCGTAGGTCTAAAACGAGTTTGGAGAGTAAGCTTCAAAAAACTGAAACTACGTACTTGTTGCAAAACGGCGTATTCCCAATTCGGCTGCTCGATGAGAATCTCGAGACAGTCCAGGTGGGCTCGATTCACGAAACCACCGGCCGAATTCATGTTATGGCGCTCTAAAATGGGATAAACAGAGCGCTGACGATGCTGAAGAGACTGGTAAGCTCGAGAATCAACCGCTTCGATGTACTGGGCGTCGACATTACGTCGCACGTCAAGGTACTATCCAGCAGATTCGGCAAAAACACTTTTATCACAGCCCTCCCGTCATCGCGACTAACCTGGTGCCAAATACACATTCGGTAGGCAGGTGGCCAGCATCCGGAAGTGTTGAATGAATTCCGGATCCGCTTTCGAGTCGATCGAGAAGCAGTAGTGATTCTCGGGACTGTAGGTGGCGGCCAGGCCGAGCTCGAGGAACTCGTAGGCCTGGAAGCTGGTGAATTATACCTTCAGCGCTAGAGAAAACAAGAGAGAGAGAGAGAGAGAGAGAGAGAGAGAGAGAGAGAGAGAGAGAGAGAGAGAGAGAGAGAGCGAGAGAGAGGGCGAGAGCGATATTCCGGCAGACCTTGTGCACATCCTTTGCAAAAGCGATCGAATAATTCAGAAATGGATGCGGAATCGAGCCGACCACCCGCTTCCGTACGGCTTCACAAGACATTTCAAGGTCAGGATTGGGCTAAAAATTACTGCAACCTCGAATTTTTGCGTTTTTAATCGTACCAAGAAGCGCGAAAATCGATCTCTTGCCTTGACTGGGTGTCACAGCTACACAACCCTCTAGATAGCAAAATGCCAAAATGGTAAAAACGATCAGAATTTTGGCTGTCGCGATTATAGCTGTCGGGATTATGGCGGGAATTCACGCCATTTGTAATATTCAACTGAATGTAATTTTGAGTGTTCCGTAGCTGTCGAAATCCAGTCAACCAATGGGTCGTCGTCCCTTTAAAAGTTCAACTGACCACCATCGGGATGCGTCGATCTGCCGCAAATAGGTTCATATAACCCGTATCACCGGCAAATATCCGCGCGCAATCGACATGTGAGACCTTAAATACGGTTTTTTTTTCTAAATAATAGAACTTCGAATTATTCCAACCTCGGGTCTCCTTTGAAAACCAAACGCCCGTCCATTGGAATAGTCAAAAATATTTATTCGAAACACGGCCTGCGGGTCTGAAAAACGCTTATCTGTCTAGTTTTAAGTAATAGTAGGAGTAAAACCGTTAAAACACCCACCTGCTACATTTAAATTCGATATTCTAGTAAATTTATAAAATACGCAACAGCCAATTAGCAGAATAAAATACTTATTGGTGACAATGCGCCGGTTCAGCTCTAACAGATAATGGAACATCTAGAAAGCACTATATAAAAATAAACAAAAATATTGGAATTAAAATGTGGCTATTAACAATCAATTAATCTTGAAATAATCCAGGGGTATTATAGGATTTGTTAAGCTTAAAACAAGGATCTTATGAGGGTTTTTTTATCAAATTTACGCCAATTAGAGGACTATAATAGTTGACACCTCTTCCAGGCTGTCCAGGAATTTCGAACCCCGCTCCAGCTGTATCCACATTAGGGCATGGGGCCCAAAGAGGTCTCGTAGCGATCCATCCGCGCGCTGTGGTTTTTGCTAGAAATAAAGCAAGAGATATATTGAGGACTGGTATATCGCAAAAATAAACTAATGCTTAAATATAATCATAATTGTTTATAAATATGTAGCTCTCTCTCCCTCTCTCTCGCTATCTCTCTCGCTCTGGACCTATCTCTTTCGCTCGTTTTCTCACTGTCTCGCACCCGCTCTCTCGCTGTATTGCTGTATCTCTTTGTCTCTCTGTGTTTGTCTCTCTCGTGCCTCTCTCCCTCCGTCTCTTGCTTTCTTAGACTATCTCGCTCTCTCCCTCTCTCTCCCTATCTCTCTCGCTCTGGACATCTCTCATTCGCTCGTTTTCTCACTCTCTCGCTATCTTGCTGTCTGTCTTTCTTTGTCTCTTTGTGTCTGTCACTCTCTCGTTGTCAGACTATCTCGCTCTCTCTCTCTCTCTCTCTCTCACACTCTAGCTCGCGGTCGCACTCTGCCGTTCCAAATTTGCCCAACTTCTGGAAATAATTTATTAACTCCAAGTTCGTCTCCACATATACACACACAAAATGACGGCGGCCAGGGGGGAAATTGGGGGATGTGAAGGACATTAGCACACAACACGGCACAAAAATTCACGCGAGAAATTTAGTGGAGCCATTTAAGGTGTTGAAGCTCATCGTCATAAAGTCTTTAGGAACGTATCGGAAATTGGGGGATGGGGGATGAGATCACAGATTTGATTCGGGGGGTGATGTCGATGTGTATTTATGCGGAATTTTGGGGGGGGGGGTTCTGGAGAGTTGGGGGGTGATTACGGTACCAGTCGGGGGATACGGTAGGTGGGTGTGGGGAATATTTGAACTATTTGCCTAAAAAGCGAGCAGGAGGAACGGAGGGTTACGGTAGGACTTGTAGTTTGTCGTTCATCGTTTAGCCTTAAAAATCTCAAAAAATGCTAGGATGCAAATTTGACTAGCCAGTGCCTGTGAAAGGTCCGAAAGGCCAGAATTATGGTTTTTTGGCGTTATTTTGTATGATTAACGAATAGACGTTTGCTTCACGGCCCCTTTAAGATGCTCAAAAGTTGGGGATAACGTTCCTTAGCCGAGAATTTGGCATACTTAGCATATCACAAATTTCCACGGCAGTCCCTAGCGGCCAAACGACAAACTACAAACCCTAAAACCCTCCTGTTGTGAATTTAGCAAATGTTAGCCGCGACACTTTAATACTGATGATGCCGCAGGTCCTTCATGTAGCCGAGGAAATGCTCGTTCTTGTTGCAGTTGTCGTAGTTGCAGATGCACCGGAATTGGTACTCTGTCATTGGCGATTTCGCCGTCGCCGGGTAGCGCTGCAAAGAAAATATTTGTAAAATTTGGTTTCCTCGAATATTAAAGGGACTAGCAAGTCTTTATCTCTCTCGCTCTCTCGCTCTCTCTCGCTCTCCCTCGCTCTGCCTTTCACTGTCGCCCTCTCTCACTCTCTCTATCTCCCAATCTCCCAGTCTCTCTCCCCTCTCTACGTCTAAACCTGCGCACTCCCGCGCACGCTGATTCACTCTCTCGAGCTCATTCTCCTGTACCGACATTCTCTCTCGCTCCCTCTCTCATTCTCTCTCTTTCCTACGCTTTCTCTCTCGCTCTCTCCCTTTCAAAGAAATAAAACTTCACCAACCTCATATAGACAAACAGAGAGGATGCCATATCGACGATCATTCTGCCCGAAGAGCTCCTTGTACGGTTGCACGTACTCGATCTGATCATCTTCAGGGATGCCGAATGCTGCCGCGCTGGAAATAGAAATTTAAGCTAATTTTAGTTCATTAGAAACCTTCGAGAATCTATCCCTTACTTTAGCTAAGTCAAGACAAGTAGCACCAGACTTTTGGGCTGGCCCCTCCTTTTAATGCCTTACTTCCCGTATCCAAACATCAGCGTTCCATCCCATTTTTCAGCGAAAAAAATTTACGCGGGCAGGTGCATGCCGTAATTTTTGAGCTGAGCAAAAGCATTTTTTTGGGTCTCAGGTGTTTCGGAAGTGCGTCATCTTTGCTATCTGCTGACCAGAACTTGGCCACCTGCCCGCAAAATTGCAATTCTGACGCCAATTTTCATCAATTACGGGCCCGATAAACATCCCGAAACGACCCGAAAACAGCCGGAAATTGGACCGGAACGCATTTAGTTGGCTTTTGAACTTTAGGCTAGAGGATTGCTGCTGATGGACTTAGGGTTTAGGCGGTCGCCTCAGCTAGGCTTCGCTGTCGGGCTTTGCTTCGGTTTGAAAGGTTTGGCTCAGGCGTAGGCTTTGGCTCAGGTTTTAGCTTGGGCGGTGCTAATGCACCTTGGGGGGCAGTCTGGATTTTGACTACGAGACGCTCCAAATGCCGTTTTTTAAACTCCAAGCCTCTTGATAAACTAAGCTAAGCTAGCTACCCAGGCTTAGCTTCATACAAACGAAGCCTGAGCTTAGCTTGAGCCAAGCTAAGCTTAGTTCTAAGCTAACCCGTAAGTGGCCACATTTTGACCTCGTAAGTCAAAAGCTCAATATAAGCTTAGCTTAGGCATCGGCTTATGTTTCGGCTTAGGCTTTGCTTATTCTTGGTTTAGGCTTGACATACGCCTGGCTTAGCCTGAGCTTAGGCTTATTAGGCCTGGGCGCATTTGCCGTCCAAAAAATCTTACGCAACCTCGTAGCTAAGCGCTTTGTTTTGTCGTGAAGCCCCGAAGCCGCTATTTTTCATTTTCAAGTCCAAAAATGCTACGAATTTCGCGCCATTTTCCGTGCAAATCGGCCGCGCGAAAATAGAAAGTCCAGCCGGGTGGTTGAAAATATGCTCTTCTGGCGGTGACAAAATATATTCGGCTCTTTGGGGGGCAAAGAACCCCGGGGTTGGGGTACGGTAGCCGCTTTCAAAAAGTCCAATTTTTAGCCCGCCAAAACACAACAATAATTTCGCAAAAAAAACTCACGGATTTCCCTTGGAGGCCGGGATGAGGGCGCAGAATTTCCACGTCGGGTCGGTGACCGCTTCGAAGTTGCCCTGAAAGGGATACGTTGACTTCAGAATTTTTTAAAGGGATTCGGAAGCTGCAAATCGACCCTTTACATTGGCTAGGTCTCGACAGGTAAGCGGCCGGTCAAAACCTTATTTTCTGATTGGTTTTTGGACCGCGTTTTTGCCCGTATCGCGAGCAATTCAGCCACTGGTCACGCGTATTCAGGCGTGTCGCGTAGCTGTCAAGACCTAGCCGACTAAGGGTCGATTTTCGCACACATACCAGACCCTTTAAAAGGTCTGTCGCGGAATGTTCAAATTTTAAGATTTTGATTTATTTTCTTTAAAGTAAAACTTATTCAACGAGAGAGAGAGAGAGCGAGAGAGAAAGAGAGAGAGCGAGTGAGGGAGTTAGCTATACAGTACAAGAGATCACTAATTTTTAGAATTTCAGGCCATATCTCCCGGCCAGTTCATTGTGAAACAACCCAGACCCCCTACACGCCAATCCAAACGACACGTGTTGTTCTGGTCAGCCGGTTACGGTAGCACTAAAACACAGACACCCCGGATCTCATTAACGGGTCCGGGGGGGGGGCACGCTATAAAAACGGGTGGTTTGGTGTCGACAGGGGATTATAACGCCTGTCCAGGCCCCTCATATATGCAAAGATATTCTCATATAGTGATCAGGGGCTTCACTGCTATTCCCTGACGCCAGATTAGTTGAGGGCAAAAAGTTTCGGGTACAATTGACGGTATTTTGGGGGTGGGATGGGGTTTAGGAGCGTATTACTTCGGGTTTGGGTGCTTGTAAGGCCAGAATTTGTATCAAGCCATCAAGCCTAAATTTGAATGCGGAGCAGATATCTTTGGCTTTTGAAAGTAAGCAAACTAGCAGTGATACTTCGGGAACAGCGAGAACGCGTCCAGAAGACTAGGGACTTCAGGACGTCGTGCTCCAGACAAATTCCAGTACGGTAATGAGAGAGTGACAAAAAGCTCGAGAAACAAAGCTAGGGAGCGAGCGGGACAAAGAGAGACAGAGAGAGAGAATGAGAGCGAGAGCGAGAGAGAATGAGGGAGAGCGAGAGAAGAGAGAGAGAGAGAGAGAGAGAGAGTGAGAGAGAGGCAGGGAGCGGCAGCGAGAGAGATAGAGCGGGAGAGAGAGAGCAAGGCAGCCAGAGAGAACGAGCGGGCAAGAGAGAGAGATGGAGAGAGAGCGAGAGATGGAGAGAGTGAGAGATAAAGAGAGACACAGAGAGAGAGAGTGCGAGGTTGCGAGAGAGATGGAGGTAAAATTTTGGTTTCCAGATTTTCGGGTTATTTCAACACCTTTTTCTGTATTTTTCGGGTCTCCGTCAAGTTTT